TGGACTACGAACACGTCGTCCGCACGTTGCTCTGGTGCCGGATGAATATGGAAGGGCTGTTGGTCGATCCATTGACTTTCGCACTCAGCAGCGATAAAGCAATCGGGACGCCTTGAAATTTGCGACCGGCTTAGCTGTTACATTGAGCATGGCGTATTTTTAGGTCTCATCGTTCTCACGCCTAAGAACGGAGGGGAAAGGGGGTCATAGCAAATAACGGTGATTAGGGTTGGCTGTGTTTGATAGACCGGGAGGATCCTAGCCACCTCAGCGACCTAAAGGCGCCGTTGTTTCCTCAGACAGTATTGGTGGTACGTTTAACGTCAAGAACGTGGAGACGGGAATAAGTGCTGGGCCGCTCGAACTGCTGGGCCAAGGAAAAAAAAAGCTAAAAAAGCTTGGCGACTGGAATCCGGCGAGCGTTCCGAGTGGGAGTCGTAGGTAAATTAAGATGAAACCAACTTCCGATGGTGAGGTGAAAACCTGTAGGACACGGCCGATAGCTGGACGAATCGACCCGTTGAGCCATGTTATGTGCTGTAGGTACGCAATATTGCTCCAACCGATGGAGAGCTGTGCTTAACGCTGCCTCAGTAGGTGATACTGGGGGCTGACGGGTTCGTGGAACGCAGTGACATGTCAGCATGCAAGTGACAGAAGTTTAAGCAGCCGAGAATCGAAGCCACCGGGCGGAATCTAGAACGAGTTGAGACCGTCTGGCAGAGTGCATCCTTAAAGCAAACTTTAAGCCATTGGTGCTGAGCGATCTGTCGAACGGATTGCCCATGGCCTATGTCGATGTCAAAGCTCAACGCCCCAGCGTCAGTCTCTTTTTAGTGCCATCGGGACCGAAGGCTTAGTTTGACTCGCCGCTTCCCGAGTCTCCGAATGAGCAGGCTTAGCCCTAGTACTGTATACAGCACTAAACGCTCTCCCGTCCATGAAGCCATACGTGCAAGTGGACTTCCGCCCCGTCGTTGGGAGAACTGGGTATACACTGAATGTTGGATATCATCAAGAAGGCGAAACAATGAGGTCCTCCACCGGCGGCGGTTCAGCATTTAGAAGTGGATATCCGAAGTCACTGTATCATTACGTCGTGAGAGACAGTTCTCCTGATATGCTTGTTTCGTCGTCCAATCCTCATTGTCCGCTGAGGTCGTCATTCATGCGACTTCATGCAAAGTCTCCGCGCAGTACGCCTGTGCGGGTTTGACATTCGGCCAATAGCGTAAATTCTCCGACTCATATCATTGGATTGCTGGGTCATCCCCTCCCGACAGAAGTGAATGCATCCTGGTATATTTTCAAGGGCAGCGAGCTTGAGTGTCGAGAGGGTCAATACCAGTCAGAGTATTATGACTTGTGGCTAAAGGTGCGAATTTGTCTTCACGCGGGCTCTTTAGCTGATGCGCTCTCCGCCCGGCGAAGGTTGCGAACCATAGGATGTCCGCCGATAGTATGATCAGACCAAGTCAGCGCCACATGGAAGAAACACATTGATGCAAAAATGCCGAAAAAGAGGTCTGGAGACGCAATCCTCCAGCACAAGGATCATTTGCGATACGTAATTCTCTTTGAAGTTTCCCTTTGCTGCGTTGGCACTCAGATAACGGTTTAAGATGATGGCATTCGTCGGCTCGTGGCTCGATCAGTAGCCAATTTCGTCCTTCCGCCGATGGTCACATCGGCTGCGGTAAGAGGGACGTGCGAAGTGTATAATGGCGCAGCGGCTGATGCATAATGCAATGCAGCGAGGAAGAGGCTGTAGTCCAAAGACCGAGATAGGCGCGAGTGCAATAAGTACATCATAACGGGGTAGCATATGTCCGCAACGTATTGCTTAGACGGTCGTTCGTCACCTGAAGGAAACAACGTAGTGACTTCTCACCATCGTAGCAGAATGAGACAGTACTACAAGGTGGTCCTGGAGCACGTCTGTGTCGTTGCTTCGTTGGGTAGTGAAGCACACGTCCACTCGAAATTGATGGTGTTGAATAGGCGAGTCAAGTTAGCACTAGGTGGATTCCCGTGTAAGCGAGTGCTGCTAAAGGGACGTTATCGTGATGACGATCGTCGCTCGAGCACGTACATGGAGTGTGGAGAGAGTCATGGATTCGGAGTCAGGTGGACTCGATTTCGAATCTGACTTTGAAAAGGCGCATTGTGATAGATTTCTGGAAGAAACAAGCCAGCCGTGAGGCCGTGAGTCGGTGTTTAGCGCGTTTCTTGATTCTCGTGTTGGTGGTGGTCGTGCTGCGGATTGCCCATAGCAGAGAGGGGTAAGACAAGAGACGACTAAGGTGGCAAGGATGTAAGATTCACAGAGAGGATGTTGAAGACGGCTTACGTAGTACTGCCACGCTACCTGGATGGCATTGTGGAAGAAACTCGACGAAGCCCCTCACTTTTTGCGCTGGGACTCGCAAGGGCTAGGACTATGAGAAGCATCTACCCAGTTGAAAGAAGCAAGTGCGACTCGTATCAATTGCGTTGGGAAAGGTCGATCTTGTTCCAAGCAAGAACAAGAACGGTCCAGACCTCAAAGGCCGGGAAGTCGAGAGGCATTTCTGAGGTAGTAGCTCAGTGTCCACGTGCCCCGTTGCTACTAACCCCCTCAGACTTGCCCCTATTGCCGTAGACTGAAATTTACAATTGGAGCATAAGGTAGGTCAGAAGAGGCAACCTGGAAGCATACAAAAGATGCTGCCACTTGGACGGACACGAGAGAAGGTAAAAGTCGGAAAAACTTGCACAGTGTGTGTTTTCGGCCGTCTCCTGTTCCGTTAACCTCGTGGACATCCAGACAATTAATCGAAGCGCTATATCTACAACATGATTTCCATCATGTGGCAAGTAGTGGCTTCAACCCACTGCTGTGGTAACACTACCTCGCCTTGTGCTGCACATGCACAGTCCCTGGCAAGTGGCATAAGAGACTGGACACCTCTGGTTAAGAGTGTATAGATGCCGCTGTTGGCGTAGCAGACAACCCTTTACTTACCACCCGCCCGGTCTACTGCGCCCTTAAAAAAAAAAAAAAAAAAAAAGGTTATCAGACCAGCGATATGGACCAGCATGACGGGCATCGGTTCCTCGGAGAGAGACATTGAGGAGGGGAAGCATGCCATGTGCGCCAGTGCGTGGTTGCAAACGCCGTCGAGTCGAGGGCAGGGGGCCTGAAAGGTACGTACCGCGCTTACCTTGCTGGAGCATCCCGGACGAATAAGGTGCAGTTGGAGTGGATGCGGAAATGGGGCGACGGAAACCTTTTGCAGGGTGGCAGGCAGGAACAGGAATAGGATACGTACCTTTGCACCCCTACCCTCCGGGCTCCAGGTTGACGTTCTCCCAGGCACCGGAGTCTCCATTCTTTCCTGAGTAGGACCCCCGGTCCGACAAGCGGGACCCCTCTCTCTTCAGGTTCTTTCTCTTTTTCGCCGCTGTTCTGAAAGCCCCCTGCCTCTTGACACCCGAGCTAGTGGTGGCTCTGGTTGTGCGGCGTCCCTCAGTGCTCAAGCCGTTTCAACTTGTCCCCGCCCACCCGTCGTAATGTCCTGCCCTCGCACCTCCCCCATGCAAGCTGCAGACGCAGATGCAGATGATGCAGATGCACCGCGACGCAACAGATTGCGGGTGCACACTCGCACACTGTAACACTCTGCACATCTTTTCCTCATCTGCACATCAGTACGGAGTACCTTATTCGCACCTCCACCACTCCACCACCCCCAATTCATAACCGTACCGATACACCACCACACGCTACCTTGGTGCTTGGGTACGACACACTCTCGGTTTATGAAGACTCTCACACTCATGCTCTCGCTGCTCCCATCCCACACACGAATACCTACACAGTACGAATACACTTTAGGTTCCTGCTAGCGCGGCGTTCCTCTTCCACACCCACTCTTCGTCGTCGTCTTCTTCTTCTTCTTCTTCTTCTTCTTCTTCTTCGTCTTGACTTGTGACCATCCACTTCGTCTGTGGCATGGCCCTTGTCCATTTCTGGTTCTTCACCCCTCCTGCCCTATTCCTAATTTTGCTTCTCGTCCGGCAGTCGGACATAGCTTCCCTCGTGTTTCGCCCAGTTCGTTGGACTCTGACTGGGTCTCAAAAATAGATGCAATTTCGGTCCTACCTGCCCTGGAGAAGCTCCAAGGAAGCACGTTGGAAGCAACATCTCGTTGAGGTGCTTGCATCACGGACGGACACTTCTCAAGACCTCGCCGCCGCCATGTCCTCTCCTGTCTGTGGCCCCGTTGCCTTCGTTGCCCCCCGTCCTGCAGCAGACTCGTCCAGCTGCAGTACGGATAGCAGGTGCAGACATGAAAACTCCACGTTCCCGGCTGGACACACTCGCACTGCCCAAGGTCGTTGCTTCGCATGGGGCATCCCCGTTGCCCGATACATGCACGCTCATAGTCTATCTGGCCCTATCCGTACCTACTCTTACCACCTTTCCTTCCCTTGATACAGTCTTCTTCTCCATGTCCTTTATCTCTTCTTCATCTCACATTTTTCACACTGACGATGATGCGATACTCACATTTGTCCAACGCATACCTTTTCTTGCCTCCATGCTAAGCTAAAGAAACGCAAGGTTTGTCTACTTCCTCTCATCCTCACTGTTACTCGACTCAGCTCCGTCACTTTTCTGCTCCCATTCCTCTCCTTCCCCCCCGTTCGCCCCAACTCGTGCCGTCCCCCCACACCCCCTGGTCTCTCTTCTCTCTCTGTTTCTCCCACGTCTGTATCCCCCTTGCCATACTGGCCCAGGGCCCATAGCCTCCCGGTCGAGAAAGAGTCAAGGCTCCCTGTCAGAAAACAGACCGACCTGCATATCGAAGCAACCGAGGGGGCCCCCATGTCAAGTCCAAGTCGAGCTTTTTTTCCTCTTCTCCAGTCGGGTTCCTCCACTGCATAGGACATATATAGCCTCACTGCTCGACTTCTTCGTCCAAGGTGCCATTGTTTTACTATAGCGTGGGACCTATAGTTTCCCTGTCCTTGGCTATAGCTGTGCCAGATCTACTCCTGACCTGTACCAGCTGTCATCTATCTCTCACCCTCAGAACCCTGTCTCCTCCCTCTCAATGGCTCACATCGCAAGCTGCATGCTCGATGTTGAAGGCGAGTCCGCCAACCCGCCGTATATAGCGAAGCCGCCCTCCCCACTACCCCCAATGGACCCGGTATGGACATCGCTCTTTTATTCCAACTACCTACACGTCCTCTCTGTCCTTGAGCTGTCCTTTCGCTGACCAAGTTTTTGGGATTCTCTCAGACACAACAAGCAGCATCATCATCAACAGATCACAAGCCCTTCGTGTGGAGGATGCACCACCCGGAGACCCGGAAGTACCAGCTCTTCCCAAAGGACCGTCAGCAACGGCCACCAAACAAGAGCCTCGACCCCGAGCAAGCCTTCGCCCTCGCCATGGGACAGAACGACAAGACAGAGAAGCTCTGCAGCAGCAGTAGCGGCTCACTCCGGCTGCGCATCAAGGAACACAATCTCATTAGACGGCGCAAAGTGAGCATTCCCGAGTTGGGCCCCATGACGACGGTCCAAGAAATTCCCATGGATTCACGTAAGTGCCTGCCCTTTATCTTTGGGTCGCACACACCTGACAAGCTGTAGCCACTATCCCGGGGCGCCCACCGCTTCATGAGAGATCCGTCAGCGCACCCGGACACCACATTAAGCCGCACCAGTCGAACGGATCCGTCTCATCGATTGCCGCAGCCGACGCCGATAGATCTGGTTACACGACTCCGGCTCGCTCACCGGAACGACACCAACGATCCACCTCCGAAAGCCAGACTCCCCGCCAACCCACCTCACCGAAGCAACTGGCACCTCTCGTCATCCCTACTCACATTGGCAACGTGCCTCGTCTTGCCAGACAAATCTCCCACAACCGCATGCGATCCGGCAGCACCGACCAAGACTCTGTCCAGTCTTCTTCCCGCGCCGATGATTCACCTAGATCACTTGCTCGAACTCCGTATACGCCCTTGACCGCTTCTACGGCCCTCACGACTCCGCTGTCCGCCTGCCCTACTTTCCTGTCCGCTACAACTCCCGTATCCGCTCCTATTATGGAGGAATGTAGTTCGACGAAGCTTTGGGAGATCAAAGATGCAGCTACTCCCGTTCAGGCCAAGAACGAGAATTCGGCATCACCTGCCACCGATGGTACATCAAAGTCGTTCATTCACAGCCACCGGAGGGGCCAGTCCGAGTCTGACAGTATTATGGACCGGGGACGGCCACGGAAGCGAAGTGATGTGCGAAACAACAACGGCCACCTTCTTAAGCGAAGCTGCTCAACACGCAACAAGAGTGCTGAACGTCGGGCTTTCGAAGAGCTGCCCAGTGGATGGCGAGCCGGTGATGCACCCAGCCACATTGAGCAAGACGAACTCTCAGCTTTGCAAAAGCAGGCCTTTGGACAAGTTTCACGGTTTGAGGTGCTGAGGAAGGAGGATGTCGAGTTCCTTTCAAGGGTAAGGGTCGTTCTGTGCTTTATTTAGGAACAGAAAGCTAACAGTATGCATAGGAACTTCGTCAGCTCGATGAGCGAACTGAGTATCTACGCCGCACCTACAACTCTCTGCGAGCTGGTCGGCGCAATTTGCACTCTCGCATCTGCCAGTACCTCCGTTCTCCTCGTACGGCCAGGTTCAGCACAGACTCGATGCTCAAGCAAGAGGAAGCTCTCGCTGAGCTCGACACGTCGATTGACGACTGGGTGAACAAGCTGGAACAGGCGGAGAACCGTCGCACACGGGTACGCCAAAAGCTTCTGGAACATGTCGCTGCTGCGGCTACTCTCCCCACTCCCGCCGCAAAGGCCGCGAGCGAGTCATTGCAGCTCGCCATGGGCATTCGCCCGCCTCCACCAGTGGGTGTTGGAAACATCTCCACTCCTCCTCGAAGCCCCGCCAAGAACTCCTTCTCTGCGCACACTGCTAGCAGCTCCCCTTCACCAAAACGGGTCGTCGCCCAAGTTCCCAGCACGATTGTAGTGCAACCCGTCATCGAGGAGTCTCCTGTTACCTCGGTTGACAAGCACGCTTCTTCGTTCAGTCACCGTCGCACCGGCATGGAAAGCATCCGCATCTACGCCGACAGCGACGTTTACGCTCTTCTGGCTGATGTGGAGAATGAAATTACCAAGATGAGCGCCGCGGCGAACCAGGTTGAAGCCACTGCGGGCTTATCGGATGACGAGCAAAAGGAGATCCATCGGGCTCGTAGCCATGAGGCTCTCAATGGTCTTGTTAATGAGAAGCCCACCGACGCCAAGGACACCGTTCCGTCTCCTCGCGCGCCTTCCCCTCCAGCCAAGGATAGCCCGGTAGACGGCGAGGCTATCTTCCTCACTAGTGCCGTCTTCCGAGGCTAGGAGCCAGGCGGGTTCAGCTCTACCCCATCTTATTTCTCCAACACGGCAACAGCACCTATTCTACATTCCATTTCATTTTAATTTTTGTGTTTCGAAATCGTTATTCATTTAACGCTTACGCTCCCTACGTCTTAAACGACTTCACGGCTGACCCATTACCTTCCTTTCCCGAGAAGCGCTTTTTCTTTCTTGTTACATTACCATTACCGACTTGATACCCGTCCGCGACGCTCTTTTTCTTCTGTTTTATTAGCAGTTGTTTCACGTATCGGCCGTTGCCACGCTACCTTTCCCTCACAGCATTGTCGTTTCCTTATATCACAGTTATACATGTATGGTCATTTACTGGGGTTTGGTGGCGCAATCTTTTTTCTTATGGGAAAATGTCTTGGTCCTGGTATGGACGGACAGCCATTTCTTTTCATGTCACAATACCGATTGTGTGTAAACTTGTAAGCTAGATCATCATGGTCAGTGGCCGCAGTATGTCATCTGAACCGCAAAATCCCTTCCCATGGAGGAAGCGACAAATTAGAAATAAACCCCAAAATCCACTGTAGCCATTTCTGCAAGATATCAAACATGATTTCACGGTGGTGCTCATGACCAAGTTACTATAACAGGGTTTATAGGTCTTTTCTTTTTCCGTTCGAAACGTGTTCATTCTTTAACGCCCATCTATCTACACTGGGGGAAGTACTAGATATGGATCCCATTCTTCAGGGACCTCCCAAAAGCAAGGTTCGACCTCGCACTAAACCTTATGACTTAGATGAGGCGTACCTTATCTTGACTGAACTCCACCGCCTGCAGGCGGGTCAAAAATAATTAAAGGATTGTTCATCCACCTGAAAGTAGAGTTTAAATCAGTTCGTTGTGCTTAATTACGCAAGACTGATATCGTTCCAACAAAGACGGATGGTTGATGGTGGTGGTGGTGGTTGTGGTGGACTAGTGGGCAATTTGATGGGTTCAGAGCATGGGCGATGCTCCCCGTTTGACTACCGTTTTGCAGACGATACTTGTGTCACGCGGGGGAAGGGGAAGGGGGGGGGGGGGGAGGGGCACACCTCGTCTCGATAATTTATCTCGAATTTCGAATGCTACCATAGCTTGCTTCCCTCTTATTTGAAATCTGCCGAGTTTGCCTGAGTTTCCGGATGAGATGGAAAGGACAATATATGGCGGGCGGTTGATCCGACTGGGGCTGGTAGACGCTATCGTGGAAGCGAACAAGCCGCCGCCGCCGCCACAAAGGGCGCCAATGTCATCTGACGTGATTAGTCGCATCCATATCTATTATTTTTGTCCAAAGTCAAAGCGAGTTTAAGGAACGCCAAGCGGAGCATAGCGTTTTCGGATCACATCATGTTTCTACGCTAAGGGTCGGCGTGACCGATTCTTGGAGACATACTTTCAAGTGTACGGATACACGTGTGTGATTGCGTGTGTTTGTATGTGTGTGAGATAAGGTAGAGAGCGTGTGCGTATAAGAGATAATGATGATTGATTCCGGCGTGGAGTTGCAAACGCAAGACGGATTAGCGTGCTGTGGGGCGGTGACGATGTCGCCATGAGTCGCCCTGGCGTCGCTACGACACGGCCAAATCTGGTTTGTAGATTAATATCAAAAGCGGGCGGTCGACGGCGGGCGAGCCGCGAACCCAGAGCCATCAGGGCGCTGAAGGTTCAGAGGCGACAGGAACGCGATGGGCGTCCGCGGGTGTGGACGTTGCAGCCCTGGCAAGTTGCGCGCGGCACTCGCTGTGGGGCGAGGAGGACCACCTCCACCAGGCGTGGAAGAGACGGGAGAGTAAGGTTGCGGGCTGCCGGTGCGCTTGCCAAGCAGCGGGTATATCAGCCAGGTTTTAGGGATGTTATCTGGTCATTATGTTGCGATGTTGTGCTCTTGCGCTGTTGCACTGCTACCTTAGGTAGCGGCCCGTCTTCAAATTGAGTCTTGGTGTCAGAGCAACCTTGCGGCTACTACGGTGGCGTCTGCCGATCCCCAAGCGCGGGCACCTACGACGGGTGTACCTGGAGGCAGGAGGCGGTCGTTCTCTTTTCTTCGACGTGACATGACGGCACAGAACGCCATTGGTGCAACATACGGATGCAAATCAACATAATCCGGGGGTGGCGATTCGCAGCGCGCCCGCCGCCCGCTTCGGGGAGGCGCATGCGCCGTTTTAGAACCGTTACTGTCCCAGTGCAGAAGAAACGGCTATTACAGAACTCAAAAACCCCCGCCCTCCCTCGTTCAGTACACTTACTGCTTCCTCCCGGGAATTTCTTCGCGAAGGGGGGGGGGGGGAAAAGAAAGGAACGTGATCAATGGTGTCGCGCGCGCTGCCCGCATCCGGTATGGATGAACCAGGGGATTTGGTGTCTGCCGGGGAACTTCGAACACACCCATGTCGGTTCGCTAGTGACAGGCTGAAGAAATGTTCTAGCCAAGGGGGAAGGGGCAATTGCCCGTACCAAAGTATACGGCGATCGCCGTTTGGTTCTAGTTCGTTGCTCGTGATGAGGGAAGAATTCGCCTAGAGAAAACCGCGAAACGCTAGCGTTGGAAACAATAGAGTCCTATTTCCTTTTTTTTCTTCCCGTTTCGTTTCGTTCGCGTTTCTAGTTGCCGCATTTCTCGTGAAGGTTGGCGTGCATGCAAACGGGTGGTCGCGTTCGGCAGACAGACGGTAGGTCAGTCACAGACAGATGGCCGGAATATCTGCCACCCGCGCGAGGTGGCAGAGATGATGGGGAGCTGTTGCGGCCGAGGCGGGGTTGCGAATCCGACGTGGCTTTTGATGGTGAGGTTCTTCGCTGTTCGCGTTATCCGTCGTGTAAGTCAAGTTGGCGGGCATGTGGCGGGGCAGAACTTCTAAAGGCTTGTTCTGGAACACTGGGGCCGTTTCTTGATGGACCGGGCCTCGAGTTGCCCGGGTCCGAGTTGATGAAGCGCAGGGCGCCCCTCTGTGTCGCTATGCCTCCGTCACCTCCCGGGCGTTGTATCCGGTCCGCCGGCTCGAGTTGAGCAAGGGATCTCGAGCTTCTGAGACGGGGCGACACGAGGGGCGAAGGGGTTCTAGAAGGGTTTGGCACAAGGTTAGTGGGGAAGGGGGGTTTTACCGGCCTTTCGTGCATTCGCGTAGATATATCTCGTTCCAGATGGGTGGAGGACGGTAACAAGAATGCTCCTCCTTCAGAGCCACCCAAGGCTGACACGCCGTTGGTTGTTTTGTAGATCCATAGTAGTATGGGCCCTCTGCCCTTTAGGGGTTGTTGATGGGTGAAGGGATCAAGGCAGGGCCTTGTTGCTTGCGTCTTCATGTACCGGGGCATGTCGCCGACTATGCAAGCATCGGATTGGGGATGGGGGGTAACAGAAAGCCTTGTCTGCAAGGTTATCTTCGGAGTTTTGATTCAAGACCCGGGGAAAGGGGATGTGCTCCATCTCGGGGGTGTGTTAGTCGTCGCAGATATAGAGGATCTCTGTTCACCGGATGGGCTCACTCGACCTGCCTAACTTGGGAATAACGTCGTATACAAGCAGGTCCGACTGGTTCATTGCCTTGTGCTGGTTTCTGCATGTTCAAACCGGGGATGGACGGAGCATTCAGAGAACCCTCAATAGTTGGCATAATCCTGTGGGTGAAGGCCGTATCAAGAGTGGCGTACGGATACTTGGGTGCCACATCATCTAGGACGCCACTCTAGCTATCTTCGCGTTCTCTTCGAAGAGCTGCAATTAGGCGCACATGGTTCAAGAATCAAAGAATCAAAGACTCAAATTGTGCTCCCAACGCGGAGTGGTTCTCCGTTCTCTGAAAGATGAAGAGACTCTAGCCCGGTCCGCCGTGATGGTACCGAAACGACGATGCGACTTCTATCTGTCCAAATCGCGGGTCGAACGAAAAAACCAAGTGAGGCTGGAGTGATGAGAGCATTGAAAAATGGTGTAGCAGGAAACCTGCAAAGGTGCATCGGTGTGGCCACATAGCGGTAATTTGGTTGCTGCTCAGTTCAATGTTGGACCTTGTAAGTTGGTTGGATGTACAGTTACTAGCATCCAGCTTTTGTCGAGTGGCCCTTAGGCCGAGAATCATCGTCGACTGGCCCATGCTGGCGCGTGTAAGCGGTTAAGGCGATCTTAAGATCATCAAGACGACCCCACACGCAAGATAACCGCATTATTTTTGTTGACTTTGACAGGGATTGGCCAGGTGATGGTTGGCGCCACAGAATGGGATGAACATCTGCCAGGCGGAAGGCGGTACGCTTGCAGATACGTAGATACTGGGAGCTGAGCTTGCGAGACTTCAGGGCGGCGAACCGGAGTGATTGACTTAGATCGAGGCGAGAATGGTTTCGCCGCAGCAACACATTACTGGCGCCAATCACAAGGCATGCTAAGACGAGAATCCATACGCAAATGTTGAGGGATTGCCCGAGGCACTTGCGTTCTTGAGTTCCTTGGTTGTTTCAGCGGTTGAGCCTCGCTGCAACTTGAAGCACTTGTCGGAGTAGACAAGGCGGGGGATGCGAGGTCATATGGGTATGGGATGAGAGCAAAAATAATCATCGCCTTAGTTGAGCAGCATGCAAGAGCTTGTGGGCGATGAATGTGCATATACAACCTATATCAAAGGATGATGTTGGTTGTCTTATGCATTGCAAGGTGATGTCTGGCAGCAGAAAGAACGAGCTGACGCGCGCCGGGACCATGGTTCGCAGGACTTAGTCATCTGCCACAGGCACACTATGCACCTCACCAAACCAAATATTGAAGGCGATCACCCCGCTGAGCGGATTGGCACGTGAAGTGACCCTGACCAAAGCTAATTTCCGGCCCAATCAGTTCCCTGCAGAGGGCCGTCATGCGGTGCGCGACCGCGTCCTTCCGAAATTTGTTGACATCGAAGTACTCCGTACCTCTCATTTCGCATCCAGCTCAACGAAAGATCCCTTTTTAGTGCTACGCGATCACGACCCTACGACGCCGAAACGAGTCTGAATTTGTGCGAAAAAGACGCTCCAGCGACGACCGGAAGAGTGCTGTCTGCTGTCCGTCATCGGACGCAACCGCATTGTTTGCGGGGCCCCTGTCTGCCTCATTCCAAGAGCCGGTCTAAGGAGCACCTCACCACCGAATCGAAAGAATCCCGCTTGACGATCCCCGGGATTTGCCCACCGAGACCCCCCGCCCCCTCCGACGCGCGGATGATGATCTAGGGGCAGCTCAAGAAAGTGCTGTCAACACCGCGAGCAGACCATACGTGGACGACGTGAGCCTAATCGCTGTTCGGTCGGAAAGGGTGGCCGAGCCGACGCCTGTTCGGACGATATCAACAAGTAGGCTGTGGCTGACAGCCTGCCATCTGCACAGCTGGCAACTTCTGCCTTGAAGTTGGGTGGCAGGTGCCCTCAAACCAGTCGCAAAGATGCCTCCCGCCGGTGGTGGAAACATCAAGGTGGTGGTGAGAGTAAGACCGTTCAACAGTAGAGGTAAGGCTCAGAGTTGTGGTGTCTTTGCGTCCCCTTAGAGGGGCGCGCAGAAGAGAATAGGCAGATGACTGAATAGCTGACCACTATGCAGAGATCGATCGAGGCTCAAAATGTATCATCGAAATGAAGGACAACCAGACCGTCCTCACCCCGCCGTCTGAAGCTCACGCGAAAAATGCAAAGGATGCCGGCCAGAAAGTCTTCGCCTTCGACAGATCGTACTGGTCGTTCGACCGAAAGGATAACCATTATGCCGGCCAAGACAATCTTTTCGACGACCTTGGCCAACCCCTTCTTGAGAACGCCTTTGGCGGTTACAACAACTGTATCTTTGCCTATGGTCAAACAGGTTCCGGAAAGTCGTACTCCATGATGGGATACGGCAAGGAAGTTGGCATCATCCCAATGATTTGCCAAGACATGTTCAGGAGGATTTCAGCCCTGCAGGAGGATAAGCACTTGCGGTGTACGGTTGAAGTCTCCTACCTCGAGATCTACAACGAACGTGTACGAGATCTATTGAACCCAGCAACGAAAGGAAACCTCAAAGTTCGAGAGCATCCATCAACCGGCCCATATGTCGAAGATTTGGCAAAGCTGGTCGTTGGCAGCTTCCAGGAGATTGAACACCTGATGGACGAGGGAAACAAGGCCAGAACTGTTGCCGCAACAAACATGAACGAGACATCAAGTCGAAGTCACGCGGTTTTCACCTTGATGCTCACCCAGAAGAGATTCGATCCTGACACTAAGATGGAAATGGAGAAGGTTGCCAAGATTAGTCTGGTTGATTTGGCTGGTTCAGAGAGAGCCACATCAACTGGTGCTACGGGTGCTCGATTAAAGGAAGGTGCAGAGATCAACAGATCACTGTCTTCCTTGGGCCGAGTCATTTCAGCTCTGGCGGATATTTCCGTGGGGAAAAAGAAGAAGGGCCCCGGTGGACAGGTTCCGTATCGAGACAGTGTTCTCACGTGGCTGCTCAAAGACTCGCTGGGCGGAAACAGTATGACGGCTATGATTGCAGCCATCAGTCCAGCAGACATCAACTATGACGAAACTCTCAGTACACTGCGATACGCCGACTCTGCCAAGAGAATTAAGAACCACGCGGTCGTCAACGAAGATGCCAACGCCCGAATGATCAGAGAGCTCAAGGAAGAACTTGCTCTGCTAAGGGGCCAGCTAGGAGGAGGAGGTGGCGGAGCAGGCGCTGCTGGAGGAGCTGCTGGTGGTACTATCACGTCAGAAGAAGTCTATCCGGAAGGCACACCTCTGGAGCAGCAATTCGTGTCGATCACGTCTGGTGACGGAGCCGTGAAGAAAGTCTCAAAGGCCGAGATTGCTGAGCAGCTTAATCAGAGTGAAAAGCTGTTGACAGACCTCAATCAGACCTGGGAGCAAAAGTTGGCAAAGACGGAGGAAATCCATAAGGAGCGAGAGGCTGCACTCGAGGAACTCGGCATCAGCATCGAAAAGGGCTTCATCGGACTTTCCACTCCGAAGAAGATGCCCCATTTGGTCAATCTCTCGGACGATCCGCTACTTGCTGAGTGTCTCGTGTATAACCTCAAGCCAGGGTTGACCACGGTTGGAAATATGGACACCAACGCTGACAACCAAGCAAATATCCGTCTCAACGGAACTCGAATTATGCATGACCATTGTGCTTTCGAAAACGGACCCGACGGTACTGTGATGGTCATTCCAAAAGAGGGCGCCTCTGTCATGGTCAATGGCAAACGGATCGAGGAGCCTAAGCAGCTGCACTCCGGTTATCGTGTCATTTTGGGCGACTTCCATATTTTCCGCTTCAATCATCCAATGGAGGCCCAAAAGGAAAGAGCAGACAAGAACCTGTTGCGTCAGTCTGTTACGGCTAGTCAGTTGCAGACTCTTGAAAAGAGTATGCCAACGCCAGCAGTCAGCCCTCGACCAGGACACGAACGAAACTGGAGCAAGGCTGGTTCAGATTTTGGCGACAGCCGGCCGGATTCCCCAATACCCTTCCGTGCTGGACGTGACAATGATTTCATGTTCGCAAGGCGCGAAGCAGCAGAAGCTATACTGGGGCCGAATCAGAACCTGGCCAGCCTCACCGACGAAGAACTCAATGCTCTATTCGAAGGAATCCAAAGAGCGCGCGCCGAACGTGTCAATGGTCGCGATGGGGATGATGACACGGAGTCTGTCACTTCATATCCTATTCGAGAAAAATACATGTCGACTGGCACAATTGACAACTTCTCTCTCGATACCGCCCTCACTATGCCTTCAACTCCGAAGCAAGGTGAAGTAGACGACAAGTTGAGAGAAGTGCGAGAGGAGATGCAGTCTCAACTTGACCGGCAGAAAGAGGAGTACCAGGACCAGCTTAAGACAGCTGAAGCGGCCAACGTTGAAGTGGAGGAGATTAAGAAGGAAAAGGTCAGGATGGAAGAGACCTTGCAGGCCCTTAAGGAGGACATGCAACAACAACTGGAGGTTCAACGTCGTCTGTTCGAGGAAAAGCTCGAGAAAATGGATCCCCTGAAGAGGCCAAAGGCGAATCCCAAGCTTTCTGACGAAGAAATCGAAACCGCGAAGCAAGTCGTCAAGCTTTGGAGGACCAGACGCTACGTGCGGATGGCTGAAGCAGTGCTACAGCACGCCTCAACTTTGAAGGAAGCGCAAATCATGAGCAATGAGCTTGACGAAGGTGTTGTCTTCCAGTTCACCGTCGTGGACCTCGGCCATTCCCTCTGCTCTACCTACGACATGGTCCTTAATGGGCTGACCGGTGAAGGAGACGATATCGCCCTCGAAGAAACGCAAAAGCCATGCATCGGCGTGCGCGTGGTCGATTACAAGAATTCTGTTGTGCATCTTTGGAGCCTGGAGAAGCTGCACGACCGGGTTCGGCAAATGCGGCAAATGCACCAGTATCTTGACCAGCCAGAGTATGCTCAGCATCTAAGTCTCGACAACCCGTTCATCGAGACTTGCATGCCGCAGTATACGCTCGTAGGAGAGGTCGACGTTCCCCTGAAGGCTGTCTTTGAAAGCAGGGTTCAGGACTTCGCCCTGGATATTCTCTCTCCACATACGTCCCACGCTATCGGCATGATCAAGCTTTCACTGGAGCCATCGCACGCCAGAGCGCCATCAAATACGCTGAAGTTCAACGTTGTGATGCACGAAATGGTCGGATTTGCCGAAAGAGAGGGCACGGAGGTTCACGCTCAGCTTTTTATCCCAGGGGTTTCCGAGGAAGACGGCATCACCACAACGCAGATGGTCAAGGATTTCGATGAAGGACCCATTCGTTTTGAGAGCGTGCATAGTATGAGCGTTCCTCTTTTCAGCCCACAAACTGTCACCCTCAGAGCAGCCATCTTCGCTAAAGTTTCACCAATGCACCTGGACAAATTATTGAGCTGGGACGACATGCGAGATGCTGTACCATTGTCTCGAGGGAAAGGCAAAGGCGCTCGCATCGCCGAGTCACAGTTTTTTACCGAAGAGAAGCACGACGTGTTGGCAAGGATACAGATCCTCGAGCTGAACGAAGAGGGAGAGTACGCACCCGTCGAAGTAGCACAAACCAGTGAGATGGACGGCGGTACTTTCCAACTCCACCAAGGACTCCAACGTCGCATTGCCATCAACATCACGCACAGTTCCGGTGATGCTCTGCCCTGGGACGACGCGATGAATCTGAGAGTGGGTAAGGTTCAGCTCCTCGACCAGTCAGGAAAGTCGCCAGACATGACTTCAACGTCCCCTACCATCACCCTCAAGCTAGCCAACAAGCCTGCCTTCCGTGACAACGCCAACGGCACTCGAAGCATTACGCTGACTGGCCAATGGGATTCGAGCTTGCACAATTCGTTACTCCTGGATAGAGTCACCGCGGATAAGTACCGTGTTCAGATGACGATTGCCTGGGAAGTCAGCTCCAGCAAGTTCGCGGAGCCGATGAAGTTTGCGATGCACGTCTGCTGCCAGATCATGTCAAGATCTTGGGTGCGACAGACGTCAATGTTCTCCTCGCTGTGGCAAAGCGTCCGGTTCGTTCATGCAACGAGTGGCATATTCACGCTCTCGATGCGCCCGGCCCCCATCAAGAGAATAGGCGACCTGTGGCGGATGAGCAGCCAACATGACTATGTTAAGGGGGAAGAGCAGCTTACCACCTGGACTCCTCGTGGGGTCTCCCTCGTGAGCGACTTCATTCTCTCTCGCAAGAAGAGGAAGCGAATTGCGGAAATTGGAGCGGTGCAGACTCTCCTCAAAAAGATTGGTCTGCCAGAGCCAAAGTTGAAGGCGGCGGAGGAGGAGACATTAGGAGAGGACCTCCCCCCCCAACCCTCGTATCAAAATGACGATGATGACCTGTTGAATGACACACCAGAGAGCTCGCAGGTGCCAGAGGATGACGAACTTCTCAATGGAGACGGGCAAGAAACGCCGCAACCAGAGGGGGAGACTGATGTAGCGCAAGCACCTCAGGAACCAGAGATACCAGAGCGAGAGAAGCAGATCCTTGAGAAATGCATCAAGCTCTGGAACAAGTATCCTGATCCGCTACTGCAGATTCTCAGCCCAACAAACACTGATCCACCTACGGACGGCTCTGCGCCGGAGGCATCCGCTCCGCCGAGCTTGATCCCTACCATTATTCGAGTTCCGAAGAACCCAAAGGTGCTGAAGGGTGGGTACCTGCTTATTCCTAATAGCAGCTCCACGAGATGGGTCAAGAGATTTGTAGAACTGCGGCGGCCATACCTGCACATTCATTCTGTGACTGATGGGGATGAAGTGGCCATTGTCAGCCTACGAAACTCACGCGTCGACAGTCAACCCGGCGTTATTGGACTCTTGTCCGGTGACGACGATGATGCGGGCTCACAGACCAACGGCAGCGTCGAGGAGTTCCGCCCGAGCCATCGACGAACTGCTTCTGGACGTGTCATTTCAACCATATGGACAGGCACCGGCACAGGGGGCGCAGCCAACGGCCCTGGTGGTGGCTTACAGAGGTTGAGCGAGCGACTGCAAGCTGGCGTTTTCGCGATTTACGGCACGGACAATACTTGGCTCTTTGCTGCGCGGAGCGAGCGGGACAAGATGGACTGGATCTTCCGCATCGACCAGAGTTACTTCTCGAGCAGCGACAGCGCCAATGGGAGCGGAACCGGCACCCCCGACAGATATGACGACTCTCTCATCGGCGGGTATTGATCAGCTGAACAGCAACGAGCTCAATGAGCGAACCTCTTTTTTCCCAATTTTTCCAGTCTAGAAAGACGAAACCCCAATTTGAAACGACGGCATCGCATGAGCAGTGGGCTGGCTTATGCTCATTTCAACGATATTTTCTCTTTGTTCCGTTTGTATAACGCACGACACGAATTGCAGTATACCCTCTATGGCTTGGAAATTAGGAGCGTGAGGGGAGGGGCAAAAGAGGCGGAGAGGCAAGACAGCCGATAATTGTCTTTTGGGGTGGTTGCTATAGACCGGGAAGACGAACCAATGCACAGGAAAGACGAATGCGGTTCAATGAATGATACAAAAACCTAGACGCAGAAGCAGAGCTGCCCTTGGGAAATGAAAGGGTTACAAATGAGGCCAGCCTGGGACAATGCGCACGCGCACTCTCGTTTTGCTGCCACAAAGGTTGGATCCCGGCTTGTGGCGAGGCGAGGAGGGCTTGCACAATAATATTCTCCAGTCATGCTGCTTTGGCGACTGCACATAGTTTTACGACAATATATCTAATGATTAAACGGTCCGAAGAGGGAGACTTTTTTGAAAGCCACGGGTTCACGGAATGGAAAGGTTCTGGAGATGTGGACATAACCGTCTATTCTGGCGCCGGCTATAAAGCCGTTTAGATGTCACGTCTACCACCTCGGCCAATGCGTCGCGGTATAGTCGTTCAGGTCAACCCCACTCTACAATTCTTGGACGTGCTCATTCCGTCCCCTAGATTGGGAGAATCAGGGTGCCGTTGCTGTCGTGAAATCTTTGGGTTGGTCTCTGAACCAACGTCGAGTGAGGTTGTCCGGACACGCCTTGGACTAGGCATGGGCTTGAGAAAACCTCCGATTCCTACCAAGGAGATCAGGATGATCCAGGCAGTCGGCACTCGAGTCGGTTGACCCGGATGCATCCCTCACATCCCCCCCCCCCCCCCCCCTCCCCCCCCCCCCCCCGCCCCCCCCCCCGCTGTCCACCCCCCCCCCCCCCTCCATATGCAACTCCTCGGCAAGCCACATCCATATATGGATCCCCTCCACTGCGCCAGAGAAGAGCAAGAAATCAAAAAGCAAATGCTCAAGTAAAAACCAACTGGTGCAAGAAAAAGAGGGCAACAGATGGAGCGTCAAACACTACAAATCTAGACAAAGGGAGAAAAACAAAATAAATCACAACTTTGCGCTCTCAGCGACTGTGCCGATCTTGAGCTTGCCGCCGTACTTTTCGAGCACCTTTTCGTTGTGGTACTTCCAAAAGACCTTTGTCGCGTTCTTGCCGGCGAAGCGCTTGAGAATCTTTTCGCCGCCGGGGTGCTCCGATTGGAAGGCTAGTAAGCAAGAATCCATGTGTTAGCATTCGGCGATGGCAACAAGAGAGCGAGGGCGAGAGCGAGAGTGAGAGTGGAGGGGAGGGGGCGGGGTGGTTGAAAGAGAAGAAGCCTTGCGGTGACGACGAAGGTATGGTACGCCTTACCAGTGATATCGTAGACGCCGTTCTCGACAATGAGCCACATGTCCGTCTCGGTCTTGTGCTGAGCGACCTCTTGGGTGGTGAACGTCTTTGACATTTTGGCGGGTTTAGAGAAGGTTAGGTGTTTTGCGTGGCGCGGCTTCGGTACCAGTGTGTTATTGCAAGACGAGTGTTGATGGCTTAGTGATGGATTTCAAGTGTTGGTTCTGAGTGTCTGGTGAGATTCGGCGTCGTGTTGGTGAGAAGACGATGAAAAACGACTCGGAAGGGGGGAGGATTGGTTCGGTGTCGTCGCAGCGGCAATGCACACTGCACTCACCGGTCCGGTACGTGCGTGCGTGCTGGCGCGCGTGGTGTCGCTCGGGTCAACTTACCTCGGCTCATCTAGGCGCGAACAAGGGCGGCGGCCGGGGGACATGATTCGATTCGTCCGCTGCTGATTGGGGGCTAACTCCGCCGGCACTACAAACCTGGAGTAACAAAATGCGGGAGCAAATCACGAGACTCGCATTTCTCATCGGGGGCCAGCCTAGCTGCTTACACTAGATCCGAGGCCCCTGCTACACACGGTAAGGTACCTAGTAGGCTAGTTTACAAGACTACCCTTGAACACCTTAAAGTAGTAACGCAGGCCTTTTCTGGGTGTGTATACTTTCTAGGCTTTTTTTTTTTTTCGCATTACTTGTTGGTCAGCAAGGATGTCCGGGGTAACGTATGGGGTTTGGTCGGGCACGTGGGAATGTGGGAACGGTGCCGAGGGCAAACAGCCTCGAGTGTGAAGGGTAAGAACATGATACTAGAATCTGTTTCAATTGTGCGCAGATCCACAATGATCATGATGATCAGAGATGTTGGTATATGGGATCAGGGGAGTTCTCGGACTAAAGACACAAGAATGGGAAGCAAAATCCACGGGAGTGTCATGTCATGACCCTCCCGTCCAAACCCAGCGCCAAAACACCTAGCTAGCCATGCAAACGCTCGCATGCCATGGGGGAACTATCTAGAATTCTACAATCATGCTTCCCCGATCCAGTGCCCGTCTAAACATGTTGGCAAAGCTGGCGGTCCCCTTGCAATCGCTGGCCTCGAATTTATCAACGGCTTTGGGCATCCACTCCTGATATTTTTCGATTCGATGTTCGTTCTGAGAATCAAATTGTTAGCACTGCTTGGGCCAGCCAAAAGGGAGGGGCGTCTACAGTCATAAGAAACATTGAACAAGATGGGGGATGGTCAACATACCGACGGATGCGTGCTCAACAGCTCTGGTATCTCCTCTGCATGCCCCCTCTTAGCCGCCATATCCATACGCTGCCAAAACGCCAAGGCCTCGCGCGGGTCGTAACACGCCTCCGCCATGAGCATCAGCCCAATATAATCCGCCTCGCTCTCCTGCAACCTCCCCATCGGCCGCGTGAACAAGAGATCCATCAGCCCGGAGCCGAGGTACTGCACGAGTATGATGGCCGGCGGGAACATGCCAGACAGCAACACCAGGCTGCCCAACATGATATTAGGCCCGATGGACGAGCTCATGCGCTCGCCAACGTGCTGCGCGAGGTTGTGCGCAATCTCGTGGCCCAGGACCGCGGCCAGCCCGTCCTCATTGCGCGTCACGCGGAGGATGCCGCTGTGCACAAAGACCTTGCCGCCGGGGAGCACAAAGGCGTTGAGGGTCCCCGGGTCGTCAATGACCCTGACCTCCCACTCTAGGCCCTCGAGCCCGGAGACGGGTATCAGCCGGCGCATGACGCGCGCGACCATTTGCGCGCGCGGGTCCCACGAGGGGAGGAACCGGCCGCCCTGGGACTCGACGTCGTAGATGACGCGCTTGACCTGCTCGCCCGAGACGCTCTCGACCATGGACTCGGAGTAGCAGTTGAAGCGCTTGCGGCCCGAGACGGGGACGGTCTGGACGTTGTAGAAGTAAAAGGCACAGGCGGAGAGGACGGCCAAGATGATGACGGTGTGCGTGCCGCGGGATTTGGCGAGGCGCCAGATGCCGTCGTTCGTGACGAGAGGCCGGGCCGTGCGGAGGTTGTACTCGTTGAGGACTTCGCGGTGGGCGGGGTTGCGGGGGTCGTAGCCGCCGGGCCCTCTCCCCGCGGCCGGCCGCCGGACGGTCTGGGAGAAGGGTCGGGGATGGTGTTGTTGCGGGCGGGAGCTACCTCGTATTATGGAAAACGTGGGGATTCGGGTTTGCTGTCGTGTGGGGAAAGATAGGCCGGCGGGCAGAAGGGAGAGCGACGACGGGTGGTGCACGGCGCGGAGGGCGGGCGGTCGCAGGACGGCGCAGAGGGGGAACATGGCTGCGGGCGCAAAGGCTCGCGCCGGAGGAGAGGGGCGAGACCGGAGGATATATGCGTTTGTCTTTGCCCCGGCGCAAGCACCTTCACATCAATCTGGGGTTGGGTATGGCTTTTGGGAGCGGGATCCGAGAGTGGGCGTGTGAGATGTCGGGAGCTTCGTTGATGCTGTCATCGTCCCGGAGCTCTTGGAAAGAGCTGAGGACGGCGATAACGATAAGAACTGTGGCGTTAGTCTTCGGCACAAGCCACAGTTAGGTTGGCTCCGTTCTTCAGTCTTCCGCCAGGTGAAGGTATGTCATTTCATTGACAAGGATTTAAATCCCTTCAGCTTTCGACTTCTGGTGTCGGTAGCTTCCAACCATTTGGCAATTGAAGCCGCGGCAACTCTCGGTATCTTGCGCTTTTTTTTTTTCACTCACTGTCAAAATTACTTCAATGCCATGAACATTCTGCGAATGCCATCCTCTCCAATGATGCCGCTTCTCACAGCTGACTTCTGGAGTAATTACTGGAGATGCCGGCTTGCGAAGCTAAAATAACCTGTTCCTTGGTTCCGCACTTGCGCGTGGTAGGCTGCTTCTTATCGTATGGGTAGTTATCGTGAGGATTCCTCTAAATGCTGACCTGCTGGAATTAATCCTTTGTCCGCTGCTTGTGATCAATCATCCCCGGCTCCTGACTAGGGTCAGTAACTCAGACCATCAGCTCATGGAGAGATGAATCCCCTCACCCTGGTTAAGATTTTCTCAGTGCTTTGTAACCTTCCGAAGAAGATGGATCTCTTGAATCCAACATCATCCTAAAAGTGGTCTATAAGGCGCCTCGTATTCGTCAATCTCATGAGCCATGCTTTCTCATAGACCTCATATTCCAAATCTCTGATAAGCAGCACCCCCGTCACATCAACAATGGGCTCCATTCCTCTCCCAGATCTCTCTCACCTGTCCCCCTCCGCCCTACCCACCCCTCGCGATTCCCCCTCCACCGAAAAGATCACATCCTCCCTCTCCCTCTACCGCCACTGCGAAGGTGGCTTCTACGCAGAGACAGACCGCGCACCGACCACGATCCCCTCCCCTTTCCCAGCCACGCCCGCATCCTCCTCCTCCTCCTCCTCCTCCTCCTCCTCGGGCCCCCTGGACGAGGAAACCGCCAGCAATGACTCATACTCCAACCCAGCGACGACCCAGCAGCAGAGGCGCGCCCTCTCGTCTGCGATTTTCTATTACCTCACCCCATCCTCGCCCATAGGCCACTTCCACCGCAACCGCTCCCGTATAACGCACTCCCTGCACCGCGGCCGCGGCCGCTACGTCATACTCCATCCGGACGGCGGCGTCGAGAGTTTCGTGGTAGGAGGCAACGTCGGTGCGGGCGAGAGGTTGCAGTGGACCGTTGAGGGAGGCGATTACAAGGCCAGCTTCGTGTTGCCGGACGAGGGCGGTGACAAGGACGCCTCGTCGAGCGAGGGGCTACTGATTACCGAGGTCGCCGTGCCGGGATGGGAGCCGTGTGATCAAAATTTTTTAACGCGGGGAAAGTTGGTGGAGTTGGTGGGTGAGGAAAAAGCTCAAGGATTAGAGTGGTTGATCAAGGAGGAGTAAATAGCATCAGAATGAAATGGACAGGAAGAAAAGGGGGGGAGTTAAAGCTCGGAGGGGCCTGGAAGACCAAGTATGGTTTCCTTTGGTGCTATGCAACAATGTATACAAGTCATGATCGTACAGGCCTCTATGCGCCGCTCAAGACGTGGGTTTCCATCGAGGCCTCGGATCTCTCGCACGCCCACCTGATGCTTGATTCTCTCGTCATGATTTTGGGCCTTTTCGTTGCTCTCTTTTGGCCTTTGTTGAGCCCTTGGCGCGGCCACGTCTAGTCGTTCGTTGATGAGTTTCTCGTGGGGAAAAAAAAAGAAAAAAAAGAAAATCAAACTCCTGCTTCGCCATAAGTATAGCTCGCCCGTCTATAAGAAAGTTCGTTAGATCATTGAATTCGTTCAGTTGGTCATGTCCTTGTCCTCTGACGGACTAGCCTCAGGAACTGCTTCGTCTGGGTATGGTTTGCGGCCCCATACGACCCAGACGTGCTGATACGCGTGTATTTGCATGTTGGAGATGTCTCTGCGCACATCCACCAGAGAGACCTGGCAACAGTAATTAGTCGTCAGAACTTGGTCTTTGGAATGTAACTGCCTTGTGCGAGACATACCTGCACCTCTTCCTGCTTTCGTTCCAACACCTGCGTGAAGAGGGCCATGCTGAAGCCGCTCAGGCCGTCCAAGAAGTTCTGCTCCCAAAGCCGACCAACATGCTTGTGCCTGGGGTGCTTGGCCCAGCCGTTGATCGGGATCTTGAAGACGCGCTGGTGAACGTCCACGAAGCCCACCTCCTGGTACCACTGCCGCAGCAGGTGCGACCTGGATAGCGGGCGGCCGATGAGCTCGCTGGCGTAGTTCATATCGTACACCCAGCGGCAGAGAGGGGCATCGGGCGCGAGCGTGTCATCGTCGCTGACGGCCTCAAGGTTGAAGTCCTGGGACTCTAGCCAGCCGCCCGGGCGGAGGGATTCGAAGGCCTGGCGTATGACTTCGTTCTTGAAGTCGCCAAAGGAGCCGAGCAGGACGCGGGTGTGGATGTAGTCGAACGGGTCAGGCCATGCCCACGATTGTGCGCTAGGAGCAGAGGTTCAGGAAACAGTGGACCGAATACCATTGTTGGGTGGGATCACAACTTACGCGTCTTCGACATAAAAGTGAACGTTGGGTGGGACGGCATTGCTTTGGATCGGCGACAGGTCGACACCGATGATGCGGGCCTCTGGGTACACGTCTCCCATGTCCATGGCCCAGGCTCCCGTCCCTGTGCCGACGTCAAGAATCCGTTTGGGAGTTCCCTCGACGGCGATAGGGGCGAAATGTAACCTGCCGCTGAAGAGATCCGTGAGTGCAAGCGATTGGAGGTCTAAACGCTCCTGCTCCGCAGGGTCGTTGGGGAATACATAAGCTGTGTGATTGTTGTGAGCCTCCCCGATGAGAGCCGATTGGGGGGTGGGGGTTGGGGGTGACGGGAATCTATTGAAAACTTACAGCCTGCTCGATACGCATGGTATGTCCTGCCGAAATGTCTGGGAAAACACTCGACGTCGTCGGGCAGTGATTCAGTCTCCCTGCACCAAGGTTGTTAGTCGGTGTAGATGAGGCTAAGGCAGTCCTGGTGGCAGGCATTACCCCTCATGAGGATCGGGCTGGTGGAGTTTGTTAGTGACATCGGACGAACAGTAGATCGATTCAAAATAAGGGGTCCAAATTAACGTACGTCAACTTCGATGTGGCTGTCGTGCAGGGATGACTTGTCGGGGATTGCCTCAAATGTGAACTCGAAACCATGAAGACGACCATCGGCGATGCCTGGTGGGTGAAAGGACATGACTGGGGGTCTGCGACTTGAACAGGGAGACACAAGAGAGAGGCGAGCTCGCAGGCGGGCCTCGCTGGAACAGCAGTGAGTGCGCTATGTATGCCGGAGCTTTTTATGAGCTAACACTGACGGAATCGGAACGATGGTGTTCGATTGCGGTCGAGCACGAGCCTCGTGGAAGACTCGATGGAACGAGTGGATGTGGTTGTCTCAGTTGCTCGCGATTATCGACGAATCCTCGGAACAAAGGAAGAAAATCTATTGGCGTTGTTCTTTGCAACGCTGCTCTGGAATATGTGTGTTTCGAGAACCTCAAGCGATCTTGGTTGCTGATGCAGCCGCCTCCTGGTACTAAGACACTGGCGAACTACCTGGGAGCGGGGGACGATTCGAGTATCAAGAATGGAACGACCGGCCGGTATAGATAGTGGGAGATCTGGAGTCAAGGAGATTCGCAAGAACAGCGGCAAATGAGGCGAGCACCAGGCCAAGTCCCGACCGGGAAAAAAAAGTTTGGATTATTGAGCGAGATCGAGGTGGTCAGGTGGACGAGGGGAGGAGGGGAGGGGGAAGTGTGTGGCCTTTGTGTATCTCTGAGTGAGTTTGAGTGAGCGCGCCATGGACCCAGACAGCTGGGTCGGCCTCGGTCGGTCTGAATCCGCGAGGGCGGGAAAGGCGGGAACGAAAACACGGGGAGAGCCAGACCCAATGGGTTGGAACTTGGGTTGGTGTGTGTGTGTCTGATTGTTTGCACTGGTATCCGTATTTGGTGGTGTTTGTTTGACTGACTGACGCGATACCTAAGACCCCGGTGACCCTGGACCCTGGGACTTGGGAATTCTGGTTCGGCGCCCCCCCCCTTCCCCCTCCCCTCCTGCTCATTCATTAGTCTGTGGTTATTCCTTTTGGGTGGTGGGTGTTAAGCTTCTCCCAAAGTCACCCACTCGCTGGTTGCCAACCCAAGGATTGACAGAAAAGAAGCCCCTTTGAGAAGTTTTGACTTTGGGGCCTGGCGCTTTCTTCCCCGATTTGCTACCGGGTGTCGGGTCGTTCTCCAGTAGGGGAGCAGCAGGGGTGGAGAAGACGACGAGCAGGTGGCCCTTTTTTGGGGAGGGTAATCGGCCGATAAAGGGGGAATGGGGGCGTTGAACCACCGGGACTGTTGACTACTTCTAGGAGTTATCTTGTTTTAATCCCGCTTTCTCTCGTTTCTTCTTCCGTGTCATAATTTGTTGCGTACACTCTTCCAAGTTTTATCTATCTCGTTGTGTGGGCTGCTGCATGAGGAGGAGACCAAAAAGCCAAGGGGAAATAGCAATAGATATGCATGGTGTATGTATGTGTGATGCGCGAATATCAGAACCAACGCAGTTTTCTGGCTCGTCCGTATGCAAACGGCTGCAGGAAGAGGAAAAGTGTGCCACGGCTGCGGGAAGGGAAAAAATAACTCATTCGAACGTGGATCGTGGTTCAAGAAGGAAAGTAGACCGAATCCCAATCGACTAATGAGGATCCATCGTTACCTCGGCCGCAAACCCGCCAACAGCTTCACCACCAACCGGAAATCTTTCGAGGGAAAAAAAGGGAAGAAAAAAGGGATAAAAAGATGTCAACGTAACATCTGACACGAGGGGGAAAGAAAGACTCCATGTTGCTCGGAAAGATGGACAATGTCCAACACCACCACCACCCCTCAAGGATCACGACTGTATGCAGCCATGCGGGCCACCACATGCGGTGGGAAGCTGCGCGAGTTGGTGTCTGGCCCAAAGACTAGATAGAATGACAGGACGTGATTTGCCTATAGCAGGTGGGGGGAAGAGCAGCAGGGGTAGCATCGGCTCACATACACACAGAGACGAGTGACTGAGTTCTCAATGTCTTTTTCCCCCATCTACTGTTCTCGGCCAGGCGTTTGTCAGTCAACGAAGATGCCTCTGGCAGTTACCCTGTCGTTCCATCTCTCTTTCTTATCTCTCTTTCTCTCGACCAGCTGATGGCTCATATGCTTCCCCGCCAGGTCCCATTATCCAAAGGATCATTAAAATGGGTATTCGTAGCCTCGCAAACCACGTTGGGACCGCCCGAAAGACGGTGTGACGGACGGAGCTTGACGGGGTCACGGAAGGGGCCAGTCTAAGCATGCAGCAGGGCGTGATATGCATGCGCTACACTACACTAACAGGACCAACCAACCCGTCACTACTGCGCCGCAGGGACTGAACTGTCCCCGGTTCTCGGGCCCTGTTCCCAGCTTCGCTCTCCTTCCTGTTGCAGAGAGGGGAAGAGAAGAGACAGAAGTATGTGTGAGTGTGTGCAATCCAACAACCAACCATGGCAGATTGTCTACTGCCCCTGCCATCTGACACACACATTTCTCTATGCGTTGCTCTGCAGTGTAGTTTCGTTTGAACTTCAGACATGGCACTTCCGGTCCTTACCCGGGAAGCAGGGTTAGTACTAGCACTAACACTAATACCATTACTTACATTAATATAAAGTATGTTTCAAATTAAATGTTTAAAAAAAGAAATTATTTTATACAATTTTCGTTTAAATTAATTTTTTTTTAAAAAAAATAATTATGTTATAATTCTTTGAGTAGTTATTGATTTACCAATTAGTATACCAATAGTAGCTAATTTAGTATTAGCATGGCCTAAAACTAATTTCCAACACTGCCGGGAAGACAGCTCCCGTCCCATAGGGCTGGTGATTGTGTGTGTCTGGTGTGCCCTGCCTGCAATGCATGCCAAAGCTGATATGTCACAATTTTTTCTTTCTTGCCAGGTAACCGTTACACACAGGCTTGTGTTGTATCACCCTGTCAGCAGCTCGCACGCGCCCTCGACCGTGTTTGTCGAGATGCATCGAGGCAGAGGTCCATTCGCTTCCACCAGACCCAGCTTTACGAGTTGTGTGGTTTCGTGACCCCGGGGGGGGGGGGGGGGCACCGAGGCCGGACGCAGTTGTCGGCAAACAAATTTGTCCTTTTTACTCTTCACATTAGTTCCAAATGATGCTCACGGCGGTATGGCTTTCCGTTGAAAGCAACGGGGCGTCGGGGAAAGATCCTCATCAGGTACCGTACGAATATTTTAGCCGTTCATTCCAGTGTTGGAATTGTGTTTTCGATATCCGCTCACGTTCTCTTCTCTGCTCTGATGCTGCTGTCCTTCCCAGGCCGTCCGCTAATTCCCGTCGCCGACCACACACGTAGCTTGAATAAGCAACCCTGTCGACCCCTGCTAAGCCAAGGCTATCCCGAGTCACCGAACCTGTTGTGTTTCAATGTAGGAACGCCGCCCGCGTATAACAATTCGTTGGTGGCTGGATTCTCCCGGGATATCGGGACCGCCAACCCCACTATTCATGACCCTATAAGTCGGGTGCGGCTGGCATGAAATTCACTCTGATGCTTTTAGCCAAGTGAACTTCCGGCAGGCAAGACGTGAAAGCGTACATTAACATCTCGCCTTTCCAAGGTTCCCCACATTTAGGACCAGTCAATAGGTGGGAGAGCGGTTCGACCATGGCCGAAGACCAGGTGTCGAGCTTGTCACAGAGCTGATACTCAAATCCATTAACGGTGTCCAACCCGGCGACTAGTCGCGCGGGTGAAAAGAAACGATTCAGACAGACCGAAATACTAGATTGTGGCCCCTATTGTGCGTTGTCTCTTTCTGTCGTGACTCGATATACGTGCTGTCCCTTTCATGCCTGCTCCTCTTCACAGCTGATCGGCAGCATCAGCAAGGCCAGACGAGGCATCCATGGAAAATATGGGGGTTCAGAAACCACGCAAAAGAGATGTCTCCTGAATAGGCATACCCTCTTAATACATCACTCAGCTGCCAGTCTCGAGACATTCCAACCGCCTCCAAGTGTGACGCAGCAAAATCTCAGTGACCCCTCTGAACCTTTTCAGACCGCACAATAAACTCCTCAAAGCTCACCGCGTCGGCACTCTTTTGGATCATGGCATCATCGACGCGCACAACCCGACTCCAGCCCCTCACGAGTGCCCTCCAGTAACAAACCTCCGCCGCGGGGCTCAGATACCCCCGACCAGAGAACAGCGCCCGCTGCCGTCGAGCGATGCCGCGCGCAACCTCGGGGTGGTCCTCCAGCCAGCCGACCGTCGCCTCGAGGTCCGACCAGTCCGGCTTGAGAAAGACCATGTTCGCCTCGTCCGGGCGGACCGTTGCCGGCCACTGCTCTCGTGCCCTCGGCAAAGGATGATGCTGCTTGTCCCGCTGCTTCGCCGAGGGGGCGGCGGCAACACTGCCTTTCTTCGCTGACACCTCCCCGGACCCGGACCTGATATCGGAAGGACCCAGCAGCAGAGTGCTCGAGTACACCGGCTGAACGAGGTGCGTCGTATGCTGCATCCATTCCACAGGCGGGCTCAACACGACGCTCTCGCAAAGCTGATGAAACTGCAGACGACCCGAATACGACACGCCCTCGGTATGAATTATGTACTTGTGCCTACAAAATTCCTCAATCATGAGCGCGTTGGTCGCATTCTCCCCATTGTTCGTCCACTCCAACGCCTGCACATCTGCCCACGTTGTGTTCTTCGCGGTCCTGAGAAGCTCCTGTCGAGACCGGGGGTTTGCGCTCGCGCCGTTGTTGAACCACGGCGTGCCGCGCCAGACTGCGCGGGCGTCCTTTTCGTCAAATGGCAGGCTGGACTCGATGTCGGCGATGGCAGAGGCCGCATGAGGGAGGGAGCGGATGAAGGGCTGGGTCCATGCCCAGAAGGAGAAGTGAGGGATGGGGAAGATGTGTCTCGGGGGCGACGATGAACGCCGTGTCGGACGGCTGTGGGACCACGTGTGAGGAATGGGGGTGTCTTGGATGTAGAGGTTGAAGTGGGTGTCTGGTAGGGCAGTTGGTGAGGTAAGGACAGCTCGGTGTAGCTGATGGAGGGCGGCGCTTTGTCGCTGCTCCACGTTAGTTTCTACGTACATGGGACCGTGGATCTCTCCTGCTGAGATTATGTCATTAATAGCGGTTGAGATGAACCAACCTCGATCCACTGATCCGACATGTCTACCGTTCTTGGAGCTTGTAGTACAAGTATCCTATTGTCCTTAATTTGCCCCAGCAGCGATACGGACGCATCGCCGATTCCGAGCCGGAACCCGCCCTCTGCCGCGGCCAGGTCTATCTCTTTCGTCAGGCCAGGAAATGTCGTTTGGCATTGTTCCTCAGTCAGGCGGAGGTTGTTGAAGTCAGATGCCGCCGCAGACGGAGGGCTAGTCTTCGTTTGCTGGTCAAAAAAGGATGCGGTCGGGCGTCCTATCAGGGGAACCCGAAGCCTATCCTGTGGGCAGAAAAGACCGTAGACGATCAGGGCGAGAGAGAACGCCACGAAGACTGGCCACAATCGCCGCGCGGCCTTTCTTTGGCGCATGTCTGCCTCCCTAGACTAGACTGACATTTCGCAGTGTCGTGAAAAGGGTATTACAGGGAAATTACGCCCAGGAACAAGTGAGGGCGATGTGTTCTGAAGATGGTTTTCCAGGTGGCTCGACCGGTCAGTCGAGAACGGGATTTCCCTGCTCTATACATGCGACATGTCGGGAGGTGGGGTTTGCGCGGAGAGAGTTTTGTGTCAAATTGAAAACCTCGAATGCTGGGAAGAGCCGACAATGTTGCTCCCAGTTTTCGAAAACGTGAGCGCCACTCCTCGGAGACTCAGAGAATCCTTACAACGCCATGCCGAGCACCATCGGCTGTGCCGAGCGGACCCGGATACTCGGCAATTGAAGCCATTCGAGGGTTGGGTTTACAACTCGAGGTCCCTGAGGAATGCTGCACCGCGACGAAACAGGATCGGCAATTCCGTACATAGAAGCCAGGTGTCTCGGACCTGGTGACCGTGGCCTGATCTATCCGCCAAGTGTCAGCGGATACTTGTTGAAAGGCGTGCCCTCGAAGGACATGGAGAAGGAGGCATTGTTGTCGGGCGGGGGATATCGATGCGGATTGGCTTGGAGGTCATTTCCCCAAACACCCGTTCATCATGGTCCACCAATCATCTTACACATTGATATTGATCCGTTGCAACCGCCCCCGGATTTCTGCTAGACTGCCGTTTTCCCGAAGCAACGAAATTTCACTGACAGAGCCACGGGAGGACCTTTCTTGGGATCAAGCACTTGCGGTGCGCTGACGATGACCTTGACTCGGTCGCAAACATGAGCTAAAGACTGTCCGTCCAAGATCTGGTTTGACAAACCGGCAAAAACAAGCCTTTCGCTGGATAAAGTATTGGCTGGGAAGACAAGTGAGTAAAGATAGGTACACACGCATGGTACGATACCTGGCTTTGGGCGCTGAAAACCCCACTGTTACACGGTCACTAGCGGAAGCTACGGTACAATCCCACTTTTACCGGTGCCGTACACGGGACCGTCCGGGGACTGTCTGCCCCGTTGGGATAGCGATCACAACCCCCTTCATCACGCACCAGCCGTCCCGAATACTGGGAACGAGGGAGGTTCACCCGTCAGCGACAAAAAGTTTGCGTTGCTCAGCCTTTCGGCAACTACGACGATCGTCCGACCATCTGAACATTGAACTAGCCCACAGACCATTGAGGAGTCCCGGCATGAATTTTGCCAGGCTCGAGCTTAAACGTCACCGCCGACCTCGATTTTACCTGCACACATTGCTCGCCTTGATACTTAATTTTGAACCTGGGCAGCGCAGCATTGGTCACGTAGGTATAGGTGATAGACAGGCCACATGGAAATGAAACAAATGAATTATAATCATCGTTGCTTTTTGCAATACGTACAAATATCTTGCGCCTGCATAGAAAAGGATACGTCGTCCCTCGTGGCTATTATGAAGCTGCAAGACCAGCACCAAGAACCCACTCCCCAAAGAAAAACCCATTTCCATGCCATGTGATTCACTGTTCCAGAACCTTGGGTGTTATTGATAAACTAACGAAATAGCGGCAACCCGTACATCAAATCTAGTGCTTCATGCGAATGAAGGGCAAACGCCCTCTGGATATCGTTTGTACATCCAGCACAACTGCTGGGCCATCATCATGGCTTGAACTTCTTACAGCAGGAAGGCACCGAACAAAGTGAACATGGCGGCCAGACCGGCAATAGCCAAAGGAGCCTTCTCAATGGGGCCGCCAAAGGTCATGCCAGGAGCAGCGTTGTGGGAGCCAGTGGCGGAAGCGTGGCCGGATGCACTGGCAGATGCAGTACCTCCGGTGGTGTCACCGGAGGAAGCAGAGTCACCAGCGGTCTGGGAGCCAGGGCCGTCCAGACCCGGGCCGGAACCGGCACCAGCAGTCATGTACTATTGGGGTTGTTAGCGAGCTATTTCTTGAGAAAAGATGACATGCAAATTACCTTCTCGGCGGCGGAGGGGATGGTGGGAATCTGAGAGGGGTCGGCCAGCCAGACGGAGTCTTTTGCAGGGCAAGCGGAGGAGTGGGAGGTCGAATTGGCGCCACCGTCACCGGTGGGGGCGGGGTACTTGGCGAGAGCGTTCTTGAAGTTGGCGTATTCAGGAAGATCGGACACGGTGTTGCCGTTGATCTCGACGATACCATACTTGCTGACCTCTTGAGAATACTCGTACATGAGACCACCAGAGTAGACACCAGTCATCTCAGGGTTCATGAGAGCCTCCAGCTCGCCAAAGGTACGGACGTTGGTGTTGCAACCATACTCAGACAGGCTATGTCGCTGTTAGCGTGAGCAGAGAAAAGCATGAATCAACGCTGCTTACAAGATGGGAATCCCGTAGTTGGTGAAGTTCTTAACCTTAATATCCCAACCGGACTCCACAAAGTTGGAGCTGCACCAGGAGTAGTCGTTGAAGGCGAAAAAGTCGGAGCGGGCGTCGTCGCTGCCGCAGTTGAAGTACTCAGCGGTCTGCATACGGTTGTCGGAGACATCGGCAGCGGAGTAGCCGACAGGGACGTGGCGGAGGCCGCGGGAGGCCATGTAGTTCTTGATGTCACGGGTGACGGCCTTGACATAGGGGGCGGTCAATGTAGTGTTGGGCTCATCGTGAATGACCTCGTTTCCGGAGAAGAAGGCCAGTGTGTTTTCGTACTTGGCGAACTCCTCGACGGTGGCGAAGACGCTCTGGAGGTAGACGGCGTTGTATGAGGGGTGGGGGTCGGCACGATTGATAGAGTACTTGGGGTTGTTGACATCGGCAACGAGGTAGATACCAGCGTCGGCCAGCTGCTGCATGCACTCCTTGTGGTCCTTGGAGTTATCGACAGAGTAGACACGGATGGTGTTCACACCGAGGTCCTTGAACTTGGGAATGTCACGGCCGCAGATGCTAGTATCGGCCAGTGGGTCGATGTTCTCGGACGAACCACCGGGCTGGTAGTCGATGCCACGAAGGTAGAAGCGGTTGCTACCAGCGTAGAAGGCTATGGGATTGAACGTCAGTCAAGTGGTATGGGATGAGGCAGTACCGGTAATTCATACCATTGCCAGAGGCGGAGACTGTGGGCAGGGAGCGGGCCTTGATGGGGGCCTCGGGCTCAGTCGCAGTAGGGTTGGCCGAGACGACGGACAGGACCGCGAGGGCGGAGAAAGCAGCGACAGACTTCATTGTGAATATTTGTGCAAAGGACCAAAGTGATTTCCCAAAACTCAAGATGATGATCGGAAGGTGCCAAGTGATGAGTGTTCCGAACGAGTGAGGAACAGTTGGTGGGAGCAGCGAAAGGCGCAAGATTTCGGAGTCAAAAAGGGTTGGTGATTAAAAAGGGTTGGTCGGTTTAGTGAAAGGTAGATGCGAGGGGGGAAAAAAGTCAACCAAAGCGAGGGAGCTGACTATGCGGATTTATTGAAGGGGAAAGGTTGGCGCACTCGAGACCCGGGAAGCGGCAACGAGAGGTCGAACGAGGATTGGGAGAGAATAACGAGAGAGAGGGAAAAACGAGGTCGGGCGGGAAGGAGGGATGTGGATGGTTAAAAAACGGCGTGGTTGACGGTGGTGCTAAGTATCCGTACATTGTCTGGTAGGTCTGTTAGTGTACGAAGGAGACGAGCAAAGTGGGATTCGTTCTTGCAGCCCACACCCCCCAGACTTTGGGAGGTGAAGTCTCCACTTTCCATCGCGCGCACTCTTTCCCGGTCTCCCAGACTCTGTGGCCCTGGTCCAGATTTCCCTTGCCTTGCCAAGGAAAGGACCGACAGGAGACGTAGAGGTGGATCAGGACGAGAGGAAACGAAGGAAGGGGGGAGGGATAGGAGCAGCCGTTCATTCGCCTAGTGGATTCTACCTCACGGATAGTCTCTCCTGTGTCTGTCAGACAACGGCACCATCGTCCATGACTGGCTGGGTGGCAGCTGCTCTCCTCTTGCTTGGACGTTCTCCTGGGAAGACATTTGTGAGTCCAATTCAGGGGACGGGAAGGCGTGGGTCGACGATGTGAGGAGGAACCTGGAAAGAAGGGGGGGGCCGGGGGGGGAGGGTGTGGAAGCAGATGACGGGAAGGTGAGATGGAGCTACGTCGGGTTCCCGGCAAGCAAGTGCAAAACTCAATTGGCCGTTGGGAAGCAGCCTGGCTTGCCAGCCCGTTTACAGCCACCCCTCGTTGCTGAAATTGTGTGGACTGCGTATTGTAAACACTGGCAGACAGATTATTGGTGATGTAATACAGTCATGCCGTCCAGCAGCGTCCGTTTCTGGGCGCGTTGCGCGTACCACCGGCGCGTCTAAGCACAGACTTTTGTCCACGCTCGTCGACTACCATCGCCTTGCCGTGGCCCGTTTGGCTCCTAGTCGCTGGTCGAACCCGCTGAAACGAAGTAAAAACGACGATCGACTTTCGAACCCGCCCTTTTCGAGATACCGGGCCGCTACGAAGCAGTAGCATGCCCATCAGCATGCCTCACAATGCCGCCAAGCCGTCTCCCAGTCAGTCTCACTCAGCTAGGTAATTCGTACCTAACAATGTGCTGACGTTTTTCTTTCCGGTTTTGCTCGTATCAAAACTCTTATTGATTACCTGTGCCTCTCATCGCCACGGCCATGAACACGCCTCTAGACCAAAAAAAGAACACGAATTTCCCCACACACCATCGAAGCACTAATGCATTTCGGCCGGCGCTGCCAGTGCCACTGAGATTCCAACCTGTTCACCACATAGCAGGAGTATCCATCTGGGGGCAGTGACGATAACATAACCCACCAAGGTTCAACCTTCAAGGTGGTACTTTATCAATTCCATGGAATCCATGCGCGCAAGCCCGGCAAAAGGCGTAAGGTCGTCCGTCTCACCCACCCTCCACCCCTTTTTTTGCATGCCGACAGAGACATTGCGACCCACCTGCAGCCGCCAGTCAGAAAGTGGAGATCAATCTCCATTCTTTTGCCCCAGTCGCAAACTACACTCCATGCACTGCCACAGCGATCAATGGAGGGCCCCTGCCAGTCCCCCTCGACTAGGTATTCTCCAGTCCGTTTTCTCCTCCACTTCGGCCACCGAGAAAACCTCATATGCCTCGTTCCATTGGCCAAGACCGGCTTTCTACTCGCGAGAAATGGTACCCAGAAAGCTCCAAGTAAAGCGCTATGCAGCTAAGAACTGCCCATGGCAAGATTTCACCTCGCTACACCGGCGATCTGGAGAATGCCGCGCCGCCAAATCCACGTCAACACAGCCACCGCCCACCGAGACCCAACCTCCACCCCGGCCCGGTCTGGTCTCATTCTCAAGTCTACCGCAACTCTGCTGCCGTCTGATGCCGCGCGAGAGAGAGAGAGAGAGAGAGAGAGAGAGAGAGAGAATAGAGCAGGTGTAGAATTCAACAGTGTACCGACCTTCTCCAGTCCAACCTCTTTTTTCACCACGATTACGAATACTCGAGTCAACGTTCGGACTACTACCTCTGAGTACACCATGCACACGAGGAACTGTCCGATCGATGCTCACATTTCGAGTCCAACATCGCCGGTTCCACTACGTCAGTCCCGCCCATCTCAATGTGCCCAGTTTCAGACCAACATCGACGTGCCACCGCCCAGACCGCGTAGGTTGAATCTTCGCCTGCGTCCTTGCCTGTCCGTTGTTCCCAGAAAAAGAACAAATATCATGGCCAATCAATCCAGGACTGGAGGGAAATAAACAAAACCTCTCTGTTTCTTCTCTCTTCGGTACGTCTGTCCACCTCCCCCAGAAATGACGTTTGACCCAATGACTGGAAAAACGGCCATCTCTCCAAACGAAACGGCATGCGATCAGCTGCCACCATTCGTTGCCTCGCCCTTCTTCCCCGTTGAAAGGCAAACCCTACAGCCAAAAGTTCGCTGAAGCTTACTATGTATGCAATCCTCGGGCACAAGAAATTGCAATCCCCAATTCGTCCAAAGTTACCCCCTCCTTCATCCCTCCATCTTTCTGCACGCCAACGCCCATATCTGTGTGTGACACCCTTCAGCGGGGGTTTTTTTCCGTCAGGGGTTATCCGCCTTCAACTTGTCATCTGATTGGCGCTTGGTCAGTGCTTGGCCCGGTCTTGGAAAGGTCATTTTCGCACCTTGCCAAACCTTGGCCACCTCGAACTGCTTGCTTTAATTTTGCTTTTGCTTTTGCTTTTACTTGTTTGGAGGAGAGCCCGAATTTGTGCCAAGTTGGCCCTACACTTCCAAGCGGCAAGGAATTAGTAGCATCTCCTCGAGAGATTATTTCTCATAGAAACGACTCTTGGCGAATTCTCGAAAAATAAAATAAAAAATTGTGATAGTCTTCTTCTCTCGACAGTCGACAGCCCGCTCCCACCCTCACACGACTCGGACCAGGCACTTCCCTATTTACTCTCCCGCGACTCGTCATCTTCCAGGTACACCCCCGCAAAAGGGCCCGTGGGCTAACTACTCGCAGTGCAACTGGAATGGTGCCTATAGCGGGTGCCCGCCTATCTACTGGCAGGGCAGCGGGAGGGCCGGCTGGGGATCTCCCCGATCCTCCCCTCCCATCCAACCGCTCCAGGTCCTCTGCCCCCATTTGCCGTTTCGCCGCAAGCGGAAAGGGCCACGATCTCAAGTCCTGGTAGGGGAGACGATGCCACCGAGTCGTATTTAGATACTTTTGACAACTTGTTGACAGCAAACTTTGACATTGTATATTTGACACGGACGCTATCCGCCGTCAAATTTCACGCACCCGCACCAAACACCTTCTGATTGCATCCGCACTTGAGAAACGAAAAAAGTGAATGCTTTGCTATTTTCAACTACTTCAAAAAAAACGTCCCCGCAAAACCACCGGAAACCCCCCAATGCTCCAACTCGGCTCCCGGCATATATGTAAAAAGCAGCGCGAATGCATGCACCTTAACCTATGCTACTTCGTTCCCTCAACGCCCGCCACGCAGCAACCTCGTCAAGCTTCGACTTTCGCCGCTCTCTCTGGCTCTGGTTTCGCTTCACCAGCCGGACGCTGGTCACAGGCTCCGTGTTAACCGTTGCCGCAGGATCTGCTCCCCATGGCGGCTTTTGATAAACCTTCCTCTCCTCTTCAAACACCTTTTGTTGCGTAACATGCTTCTGCGGCACCTGTGAGATGTCTCGCAGCACAATGTCCGCCGCCGTCGCAGCGAGCGATTCCGGTCTTCTGTGACTTCTCCGCCTCCGTGCACACGACTCCTAGACTGCCTGTACGTAGCTCGCAGGCACGCTCTTCGTCACGCCGCCCTTTTCGACCTCGGCCCATCCGTCGCCCGGGTCGTCCTTGATGAGGACAAATCTCTCGCCCTCCGTCATGTTGTGCTCTGCGTCGCTTTGCGCCGTATACTCGTACAACGCCTCCACGTACTTGAGTTTCTTGGCCCCACGTTTTGGAGCGACTGCCGGTCCCTTCTTCTTCGGTCCTGCAGTCCCTATGGAGGAGCCAGAGTTGGAGTAGGTCGACTCGGGCCGTGCAGACGCCCCGGTGTTCTGCGCAACCATGGGCGACGGCGGCGCCCAGTCGACGTAGCTTGCGGGCACAATGCCTTCTTTGTATCCTGCGCGCACCTTCACCCAGCCAGTGCCATCTTGGAAGATCTGTTAGCATATAGAAGAGAAACCGATGAGAAGCAACAACTTACCGTCAGGTTCCAGCATTATGACTTCCCGACCTTCGACTACAGATACCTCTCCGTCGCCACTAGCTTCAAAGGTGTAGAGCATCTTGCCCTTCTGCTGGTCTGCGGAGCCCGATCCATTAGGCGCGCTACCGGGTAGCTCGCTGATATATGCCGCTGGAGGCGGTGCCATAACCCTCTTACGGGCTGTAGTAGAGCTTACAGTCGACGGAGGTGCTGCTGGGCGGGGCGTTGACGGCTCAGGAGGATCCTCATCTATGGGCGATGTCGGTCCCGCTGTTATTGACCGGCGTGCGCTATGCGCGTATCCTGAACTCAGTGAGTTCATCGTGTTTGATCTCGTTAGGGTCGGCGAATCCGATGCGTTGGTAGGTGAGGTTGCGGTCGGTCTCAAGAGCGAGTTGGCGGCTTCCTGGCGTTCGCCCTTGAGCTTCTTTCGTTCCTCCTTCGTCTGCTCGCCGGGGCAGTCGGCTGGGACCTTCATCTCGCATTTGTTGTGACACGTGTAGCCACAGTCCCTGCAATCGAAGCCTTTGGCCGAAAGACCCCAAATTCTTTCGCCACACAGATCGCAATTCGTTGGAATCTTGAAGGTTTGCGCCTTAAAGTTGTGGTTCTTCGCTCCCAGCGTCACGTCGCCAACAGCCGAGGTAATGGTGGAAGTCTCGACTTCTGCTGTCACTCTCCGCCTGTCGACGGCATGGAGGTCTTCTTGTAAGGCGAAAATTTGAGTGACCACGAGGACCTCATCCTTCTTCTCGGTGCCCTCCCTTACTCTCTGCTTTATACGCTTGATACCCTCAACCTCTCGTCTTTTCTTGTCAACCTCTCTGCGCAGGTCTCCAAGATGAGCTTTCGATTTGCTGAGTACGTTACGTAGATAGACCTTGGCGGATTCGTCCACAATCATCAAATCGTCGTCATGCCATACGGGACTGGGCTCAAAGACCTTGTCGGGTGGCTCATGGAATGCGCCGAGGTTGTGACGGATGTACATCATAGAATCGAGATGAGGCTGGTTTCTGGAAATCTCGGTCGCTAGCTTTTGCATCAACCCATTGCTGCTCTCCAACATAGCAGCTTCCAACTGGCACGCGACCGTCCAGAGACCATTTAGCTTCATGGTGCGGAATTCAGCCAAGTCCTGCAAACTGTCCATGACCTCGGGAACGTAGTCATGGTAGTAGCGCTCCTTTTGCTTGTTGGTGACATTGATCGCGATCAAGTACGTGTTCTTGACGTTATTCATGTCTAGAATCTGCTGCTGATACGCACTTTGCGCTTTGGCCTTGTCAAAGGCTGATTCTGACTTTTTGCGCCTGCTCTCCACCTCTTGACAAGCAGCATCGTATTTGGCCTTCGTCTTGCGCAGGTCCGCGTATTGTGAATCCCTTTCGTGTTCGAGTTTACCGGCGTAATCGGCATGACGTTTGCGCAGCTCTTCAAAACGGGTGCCGAGAAACTTGAGAGGTTCGGCCACTTGAGAAAGGAGGTTGTTACCGTATCGATCGTGTTCGTCGGCTCGGGCTTCGAGTGTGGTGAGCTGCGTGGACCAGGTAGTCAAGGAAGCGCTTTCGAGAGAGCCTGGTGTCATGGCGGGGGTGTCGCCAACGCTGAGAGGGGCCGACTTCTTGTTCTTCTTCTCAAAGTACTTCTTGGCCAAGGCATTGAGCTTCGCAGCATACTCCTTCTCGATGGCACTCCTCTCGCGGTAGAATTGCTGTATTTCGTCGAGCCATGATATACCGTGCGCGACCCATATGTTGGCAGGTTTGAAGCCATCCTAGAGGATATGTGAGCGTCTGGAGGGGCCAAGCCGAGCCGCGGGGGAAACAGCGCGGAGAATACGGACCTTGAGCTCAGCGCCAAAGGTCGGCGCAACATCTACGTCCGCCATTCTCCAGATGTATGCTGTTGAAACAGCATGCAAAGTTTGAGGATCCAACAGAGCTGGTTGAAACTGGGCGTGACGACCACAAGTGTCGTTGGTAGGTGGCGAAAGGGGTTTTCGTGATTGAATCTTCCGAAGAAGCGAGAACGAGGAGAGGACAAACCGCCAACGGTGAACTGCGGCCCGAACAGGAGGTCGGCGGTGGGGGAGCAGTCGTATAAGGCTAACCGCGCCAAAACGGTTAAAACTGGGAGAAAACTGGGCAGACAGAGTAGATGGATGCTAGCAGGAGGCGCAGGCCGCCCGAATGATATGTACAGCGAATAACTGAGATAAAGTGTAAGGTATGCCTCGCGTTGGTGGCACGGGTGGGTAGAGATTCAGTGAGACGGTGATGTTCAACAGCGACAAAGAGATAGACAGGTTGTTTTGCGCTGCGCTGCTCTCGACGCCGACACAAGAAATTCAAAGTATCACTGGCGGTTCTTTTGGCTTCTGAGGTACCTTGGGGTCGGATACCTGGGGGCATTGACATCGGACGGAGACGTCGTCAGCTCCTCCCCTTCACCCAACTGGAACCTTCCTTTGCGGCACTGTTGTGTTTCTCCGGCTGCTCGGTCCACTACCTACCTTGAGCAAGTGCCATGTTGCGCGCTGAAGAGGCCTGTGGTGGAGTAACGGACCGGTCGCCAATTGCTGGGAAATCCACATGTTGGTGCCATTGGTGCCTGAGAACAGGGGTTTCGGATTCGGGCTCCCCAAGCAGCGCAGAAGGTTGCTGGGGGATGCATAGCAATGCTCGATGCGCCGGAGCTTGAATAACTCCATGTCATTAGTATGCATGGCTGTCAATTGCATGAATGACGTCGGGTTACAATGAAACTGATGGCCCATCAACAGGGGAATTCCATTGACATGAAGCTTTTGGACTGAATGGCCACCTAGATATGAGTGTCACGTGGCCCCTACACACCTCAAGAGAAGATGTGAGTGACTTCTTTCCTTTTACACCTGGCCCGATATGCCTTACCTCAGCCACTTACCTCAGCTTAGCTGGGCTCGAGACCTCAGCCCACCCTGGCCGGTAAAATGTCGGGCCAAAGGCGAGATGTTCTGTTCCTGACTAGTGTAAGGCCTTGATTATTAGGCGACAAAAATGCCCCGCGTAGCCCCGCCATCGATTTGGGGTGCTCTTGATCGGTCACAGGCACGAGTGACAGACGACGTAGCTTCCCAGAATTTTAAGGTCGTCTCTGGGAGCTCCCAATTCATCGTCACTAAACAAACAAAAAACTCCCGACTCCCCTGCCCTCTCACGCACCCACATTCAGAGAAGGGACAGCCCAATCGCATGTAAGTCAATCCGCCATCCTGCCTACAATCTCCGATTATGATTCAATTTCCTGCCCTAATCTCTTTTCTTGCTACCGCTAATTTGTGGTTGAAGCCGCACAGGTGACGGGTGACCATACCGCTCCCCCCCTAACTACTACCATCCACCGTCGACAGAACGGCCGAGTAAGACTCCCGACTGTCGCAGCTTAATATAGACACGATCTCTAATGCTCCTCCCCCAGACTCCACCTACGACCGCGCGCATCCCCAGCAAAGATGGCCGACCTTGCTAGTCGCATCACTGAGCCTGCCGCCGAGGGCGCGGCTCAGGAAGCCCAGGAGGCTCAGATTCCCCAAGTTGACGGGAATGTTGAGGCTCTTGGTGGATCTGGTCTCATTGAGAATACTTACGATGTCGATGTCAAGCTGGGCGATCTCCAGTCCGACCAGAACAGCACTCTATACTCGGCTTCAACCTTCGCCGATATGAACCTGTAAGTCCACAGTCGAGTCACTCGCATCCAGGTTTCTAATCCGTTATGGTGCAGGCGCGAGGAAATTCTTCGCGGTCTTCTTTCTCTCAACTACCAAAAGCCCTCCAAGATCCAGGAGAAGGCTCTTCCCTTGATGCTGTCCGACCCTCCTCGAAATATGATTGCCCAGTCGCAATCCGGAACCGGCAAGACCGCTGCCTTCGTCGTTACGACCTTGTCGCGAGTCGATTTCACCGAGCTCGAGCAGCCCCAGGCTTTGATGCTGGCTCCCAGTCGCGAGCTTGCTCGTCAGATTGAGGGCGTTGTCGGCAAAATCGGCAGCTTCTGCGAAGGTCTTAGAGTTGCTGCAGCTCTTCCTGGTGCATTGGAGCGCAATGCCCCTGTCAGAGCCAATGTCATCGTTGGAACACCTGGTACCGTTATGGACATCATCCGCAGACGTCAGCTGGATGTTACGAAGCTTCGGCTCCTCGTCATTGACGAGGCCGATAACATGCTGGACCAGCAAGGCCTCGGCGAGCAGTGTCTCCGAGTCAAGAAGTAAGACGACCTTTAGATTTCTTGCAGAGAAAATTGCTAATTATATCAGCATGCTGCCCCCCGACATTCAGATCCTCCTGTTCTCCGCCACCTTCCCAGACAAGGTCATGGGCTTCGCCGAGAAGTTTGCGCCCAAGGCTGATCAGATCCGTCTGAAGCACACCGAGCTCACCGTCAAGGGCATTTCCCAGATGTACATCGATTGTCCTACCGAGCAGGACAAGTATGAAGTGCTAGTGAAGCTGTACGGTCTCATGACCATTGGCTCCTCCGTCATCTTCGTCAAGGTGAGACTAGCGAAATCCTGTGGCTGAAACCAGACTAACGACACAAATTCAGACTCGTGAAAGTGCGGATGAGATTAAGCGGAGGATGGAAGCTGACGGTCATCGTGTATCCGCTCTCCACGGTGCCAAGGATGGCCCAGAGCGCGATCGTCTTTTGGAGGAATTCAGAACCGGCCAGTCCAAGGTCCTTCTCACCACCAACGTTTTGGCCCGCGGCATCGATGTGTCCAGTGTCTCCATGGTCATCAACTACGACATCCCCATGAAGGGACGTGGAGATTCGGAGCCTGACCCCGAGACCTACCTGCACCGCATTGGCCGCACGGGACGTTTCGGCCGCATCGGTGTGAGCATCAGTTTCGTCTACGATAAGAAGAGCTTCTACGCTCTCAAGAATATCGCAGATATGTACGAGATCGATCTCGTTCAGTTGGATGCCAACGACTGGGACCAGACAGAGGAAGACGTGCAGAAGGTCATCAAGTCCAACCGTGCCAAGGCTGCATTCGCTCCCAGCGCGACCGATGCCAGCGTCAAGGCGTAGCACTAATGTGTCGCTCAAGAAATCGTAGATGGAGAGACGGTGTTTGAAGTGAGAAGAGGGCTGCGGCAGACAAACCTGGCAAATGGCCACGTGCGCCTGTTCTTCAAGGTTGTCACTCTCGGATAGGATGTGAATCTGGAAGGCTTCGGATGAGCCCACAAGCCTCTCAGCGGAGGCTACGAAAAAATGAGATACCATGAAATGGAGACAATGGAAATTCCTGAACGCTAATAACACTCGTCAGACTGGTCATCTGGATCGGCCAATCCAAAAACCTCGATCCCGTGTACTTGATGGCTTCAGCTGGAAATCAGCTAATGATGACTAGGGTGAAATCCAACGACAATCTTAGTGTGGTCTGATATTGGCGGCTACAAAAGAGCCAGACACTAGACCTTCGGAATGGTCGGTAGGAGGCGAGGTTGCGTTGGGGGTGGCTAAGCTGCAGCAGTTCGCATCACAACTCAGCGGCCACAATGGTGCACACTCATGAGAACTGCACGAGCTGACTTCGACAAATGCGACGGTGCCGAGAGGACTCGGAGTCTACAAATGACTAAGAAGTCGGTATGTCGCATCCATGCCTCATGGCGGTTTGTCGGCGTTGGAGAAGCGTGTCAAGCTCAGTCGCGGTACCCAGTCCAGAGCAACAGCACTCGCTCATGTCGCATGAAGAGCTCCTATCGTCTTAGGACGGCAGAGTCAATCACAGCCATCAATTTCGAAGTTATGATTTTCGAAACGAAGGAGGCGGTCACACCATTGGAAGGATATTGAACAACAACTGGCCAGCGACTACGTCTGACACTCGACCAGCATGCTTGGCTCAGTTTGACAGCTCATTGGCCTGGGATGCCTCTGATCTGCATCACGTGATGCGGTCGATGTTTTGGCGCCCGGCTTCGGGGCGGTTCGCCTCAACGTCTTTAGGGGCACTTGTTCGGTCTCCGCGCTTAAGAGGAGACTGGGCGCCTAAATTCGGGGGCGATGCGGGAGCACCTCAGCCACTCAATGTACATACATCTGTTCAACATGCGCAACCTCATTGGATATTCGACCTTCTAGGTTTGGTATGATGGCATGCAGGAGGTGTTGCACTCTGGCCTGGCCCGCCACACAACTCTGAATCTGAGATGCAACTTGCAAACCTCCCCCCAAACCCAAAATAGAGCAACTCGCCCAACCAACCAGCTGGGATGTCAGCCGCCCGAAACGGAATCGGATAGCCCCCGGATTGTCTGGCCTTCGTCATTTCAAGAAATCCCCAGCAGCGGCTCGCGAGCAGACCGGGCCGTTGTGGATGTGACTGCAGGAACCGCATCCAACCCTGCAGGTTGGCGGCATAGTGAGGCAGGACATTGGACTGCCTACCCGTCGTCCACTTTCGTCGCAACGAGATTTCTGGCGTTTCCGGATGGAGTCACAGGAAAAGCGAAGCGAAGCGCGGTTGAGAGGCATCAAGTGAGCGTCAGCGTTCCAGTATGACGGAAGAGGCACCAGTGTTCCCTTCTTCCAACTTCCCTACGTCAACCTTCTTTCTCCGTCTGTCTTGGGACGTCTCCATTCATGTATGAACAGTTACATGCCCGCTGCTGAGCCCCAAGGCCGTCTGTTCTCATTTTTAGCTTTTTCTCAGCTTCTTCTTTTACACTTTGCATTTTGGTCGCATGGAATAGCCTCTTTCTTTTCTGGTCCCTTCTCTTCGGCTGAACCTTTCCGCAGCTGATGCTCTTGGAATAATCGGATGATACTCCATCCACCGAACCTTTTTGTTTCTCTTATATGCTTTACGATATTGAGATGCGGGTCGTCTCTTAATAACCTAATAAGAACGCACTCTCTATAGGTTCGTTCCCCGGATTGTCGATCATCCCATCCCAACCAGGCTGATACGCGGTCCTGCTTTTGAAGTCATTGATATCCAGGCCCTTTGTGCCTGCTTGCCTGTGTTATTCACTGACGTCTTACCAGACTTAGTTGGTTGTCGGCAGACCGTATGAAGGATGGGACCTTCATCCAAGTAAGTCTACTTCTTACCTGTCCTTGATTTTAGTGATGTTGACTTGAAATACTCAGATGTCCTCCCGTACCATGGCCCTCAAGCCTATTCTTTGGACACTCTCACTCACATTGTCGGCCTCCCTTACTGCGGCGACGTCGTTCAACCTGTCGAGCGAAATTACGAGATTTGTACCGACGTGCGCCCGTGAATGCTTCCGCTCCCATCTGAGTGCCAACTACGACATCAATACCTGTGGCAGTGCTCCCTCTTTGCAATGTCTTTGTGCCAATGTTGGATTCTCAGGCCTTACCATAGGCGAAGGTGCTTTGCAGTGTATTGTTGCCGAGAAGAGCATTGGTTTCTGTCGCGACAGTGACGCGCCACGTACGTATTCCATGTCGTTTGGAGTCAATCGTGAGCAAAATCTGACCTGGAGTAGAGACTGTAATCGAAGCAGCATACCTAATGTGCTCGAACCAACCGGGAGCTATACAGCCCACGCACACAGCCATCATTGCGACGTTGATTCTTCCCACTTCTGGAGGCATCATTCTCGTGCCTCCAAGGACAACCACAACAAGCACCATATCAACGTCGACAAGTCATCTAACGACTTCGATCCCGACGACTCTCATCTCGGCAACAGGCACACCGTCCATCCCAAATACGTTCACAACTTTGACTACCTCGACTACATTCCAAGCTTCGATCACGAGCAGCAATATCACACCGCCGCCTGTGCCGCCATCATCCACGGCAACCCCATCCGCATCTGTGACCGCAGTCCCAGGAGCTGAGGGTGCCAGCTCCGGTGCCTCCAAGAGCTTAGGCACCGCCCAAGTGGCAGGTCTCGCGGTCGGTATCGCAGCCGCCGTTGGCATTGCTATTCTCGCAATATGTTTTGCCTGCCGCAGGCGCAGAAAGGACTATCCGGATGAAAAGACGGGCTTCTTCCCCGTGCGAGAGAAGGACTCCTGGGAGTTTCACCCGCAAGATGGCCCGGCCAATATCTTCCACATCTCCCCGCCTGTCCACCATGCGCAATCCCCTTCCCCACCGCCGCCGCGCCCGCCCCCGGCAGCACGCACTCGGACCAGTCGCCGCATGAGCTGGTGGCCCGGCGCAATTGGCCTTGCCGTATCCCGACCAGAGAGCACATTGGCTCTCCGTCCTTCACCTCAGCAGCAGAATCGTCCAACGTCACGCCTCCTCCCAGCAAAACCATCCCTTTTGTCGCCAAAACCGGTCCTCTCCCTCAAAATTCCCGAAATAGACCTAACCCCTTCGTCGCTCCCGAGGCCTCAGGGGCACAGTGCGTCTGCGCCGACAAACTCCCAGATCTTCAAGACGGCCAAGCTCACAGCGCCTCCAAAGAGCCACTACAATGCCCGCGAAAGCACAATGACGGAATTCGAAGAAGATGACGCCATCACCTCGGCCCGTTCGGCTCGCTCAAACAACATCTGGAGACCGCCTTCGGCGACGGTGGGCAACAGTAACGTTCCAAAGTCCGCCACGTACTACGTCGCCGACAAGAACGGCAACTGGGTACTTGGGGATCCCAAGAGCGCTACTCATATGGCACAGATCGCCGAGCTCGATGCCTCGGGTGCGAGCCAGGGAGGCGGTGCGAAAGCTAAGCCCTCATATGCCGAGTCCGCAATGCTCGCGGCTACGGCTACGACAGCAGGCATGGGTCACGGCGCCGGGAGCCCCGTCGCCCCCTCCGCTGCGCGGATGATGCCACCGCCCCCGGTTCTTCTCCCGCCGGCAGAGATCGTTCAAACCGATGCCCTTGCGGCCCCGCCCACGGCTCACCAATCCCGACCCTCGAGCGTTTACTTTCCAGCCAACACGCGACCCAACACGGTCATCCAGAACAGTGCTCCTCCCCCGTCTGCCAGAGCACCTCACCCGGTGCCAAGCATGTCCTTCTCCCACCCGGAACCACCACGCCGCCGAAGCAATTCTCTCGGCCGCCGTAGCTCCTCAAAGTCGAAGTCCGCAGGGTCAGGCACCGCTCCTCTTCCCGCTGCATCGGTTTCCACGGGCGCGGGTAACGCACCACAGCGGTCCGACAGCCACGACTCCCATGCATCGGCCACGACGATTGCCTCTTCCGTCGCGAGCGTCGAAGCCGAGCCCGTGATCGAGCAAAGCAGTCTGTCGCCCGTCTTCGAGTCACCGACCTCAAAGGGATCCCCAGGCGTCGGCCACTCACCCGTCTCCTACCCTGTCATCCCCGGCCGCGTCAGCTCCAAGCCTCGCTACGATAACCTCCGCCATCTGGCTCCTCCGACCCGACCTTTTGCTGCGTTTCCCGCAGGACAACCCAGCCCCACGCTGGGGATGATGCAGCAGCAGCAGCAGCAGTTGCAGCAGTTGCAGTCGCAGCAGCCCAGAAACGGACCGGATATGGCCAGCTACGACGTCTCCCGCAAACCTGTCGGGACTCGCCCGCGCCCAACCGGTCCCGCCGCCGACCCGAGCAGGATCGCCACCGGATCACCCTCGCTCCGCCTAGTGACCCCTTCCCCTCCCCCGTCCTCCTCCGAGAATAGAAACAAGGACCAAGGCCTCCAGCAAGAACCCCATTGGAAGCCCGCGCAAACCCAGAGGCCGCCGCAGATGAGACCGCTCTACCCGCCGCCTCTGAACCCCAAACGCCCCAAGCTCGAGCGCAACGATGACGTCCACCCGCAACCGCAGGCGGCCACAGTTCAGCAGGCGCCGCTCACCCTGGAGCCTCAGTCGGCTACCGTCCACAAGGCGCTCTGGGGGAACCTCCCACCTCCCACCCAGCAGCAGCAACAACAACAGCCAGCTCTCTACTCAGGTCTCCCGTCACAGCAGCCTCAGCAGACTCAACGACAGCAGCAGAAGCAGCAGCAACAGCTGAACCAATCATCCTTCCAACAACGCCAACGCCGCCGCTCACAGCAAAACCGCCAATCCATTCAACAACCCCTTCCCCCCAAATCCCCACCCCCGAAACAGCCCCTCCCCGAAAGACCGTCTTCCGCCTCCCCGTCACCGCACCACATCGCATCCCAAGCCATACGACCAATCTCGACAACAGCACCGGCGCCAGCACCACCGGCATCGTCAACCATACAACCAATACCACCCGGCCCCCCGCGTCATCCATCCTCAACAGCCTCCCCGTCAATAGCAACCCCCTCAACAGCATCCTCCCTCCTCTCCAAACGCCTCGGCTCCGAACGCGCCGCCGCCCTCGTCCTTCCCAACGCCGGCCTCCGCCACAGCCCCAACTGGAGGCCCTACCGGCCTGGAGGAGCCGGGGACGGAACAGACTTGTTGCTGTCGCCAGACGCCGCCCTCTTCCCCACACCCCCAGGCCTCTCATCCCGGAATGGTGGCGTCGGACGCGGAGGGCATCTGCCCGCTACGCCGACCTGGCATCCTAGACTGACGCCTACCCGACGGGGCGATGACTTATTTTTGAACGTGCAGTGATGAGGAGGATGAGGCTGGACGGCGCCTCCTCCCAAGGGATGAGAACATACGGAAAGAACCCAAAAAAAACATTTTCCTTTAATTTTCTCATACATGACGAAGACAAAGATCATTTCTATACCCACTCTCTTTACGAGGTTGACTATCTTTTTTTCCCCCCCATTCCAACCACTTGTATCAGTAGCACGCTTTTCCTTTTTCACTACTCTCTTTAGATGTGATAATATCGGCAAGTCGCAGCAAAAACGGACGTAGAAGAAGAGACTCGGCAGATGACTCTTGCATTACCGGAGTTGGTTTCTGAAAAGAGGGTTTTCATTCTAGCTTTTCTATCATACTGTGTATACGAAGGTACATTAACTATGGATTCCAGTCGTTCTCCTAACAAGAGTGTTAGCTCGTAATCATAGGTGCTCTCGTGCAAGACCGCCCCGAAGACGGTCTCTTCTGCTCAAAGTGATCTTGTATGGAAGTGCTGCATTCTTTTCTCTCACTCCTCCTTGACTGTTTGGCCTCTGAGACATTCTCGTTCATTGTATACGTCGTCAGGCATTCGGGATCGGCGACCACCCGATGATAGTCTGTTCTCCATGGAAGCCATTTCAACAGAAGAGTGGCCACTTCCATCGCTTGTTGCGCTTCGATGATTTTGCCGCGAACGTGAGTTCCGGTCATGTTGGCTTCGCTGGCTTCGTTGACTTCGTTTGCTTCTTTGACTCCTCTGACTTCCTCTTCTCACGAGATCTTTGACATCATCAACGATATCACTCATGACATCGCTGATTTGGTCATCAAGTGCATCGATCCCAGCATCGAAAGCTTCTCGGTTGAGATGCTGGTTGGCGTCTACGAGTTTATTTCTCTTCCTGATCTCCGTGAATCGCGATAGACTCCCGAGCTCAAGAACGTTGACTCGCCGTGTCTTGCTGGTGGGATTGCCAACAATGAATGGGCGCCATGGCTCTTCCTCGGCGATGACATCTTTGTCGCCCATCACCCCGGTTGGCATTGAATAGCGACGTTTGATAGATTCTCTGCGCGCCGCTGTCCACCTATCCATCGCCTCGGTCTTGCTCTCCGGGATAATCACCACCTCTTTGAACCGAATCAGAGTCAAAGTTAGTATCATTGTCAAAATGAACAAGATGCCAGCTACAACTCCGGTCGCTGCTCTTTGACCTAGGTTTCTCTGAGCCATGCCGCCTAGTGCAGTTGCCCCAGCTGCAAATATGAATCCCAAGGTATGACAAACGGCAAACCCTGCAGTCACACGAGGGTACGAGGAGTAGTTCTTCTTCTTCTGTGCATTGTCCGAGTTACCCCGAGGCCGACCCGTCAATCCAGATTGCAGATCCGAGGTATCAAAGGTTTCCATGATGAGTCCGTTGCATTCTGAGATTGCCAGGCACGAGAGAAAGCCGATAGCAGCGGCGACGATGGCAGGCGCGACTGGATGCATCGGTGGGCCCGTTGAAACCAAAGTATAGATAATCCCAGCGAGTGGGAGACCTATGGCAAAGATGGATCGACGAAGGAGGTGTGATGTCCACGTTACCTGCTTGTCGAATGTCATGCGGCTGGTATTGACTTGGGTATGCCTCGCTCTGGAAAAGTAACTGGCCTTTTGGAACGGGATAGCAGCGAGCGCGCCAAATGCTATTGCAGAGACCATGAGTCCGACGAAGGGTGATCGCATTCGGTAAAACCTCGAAGTCAGTGAGCCCAACAAGACGATAATGAGAACCACTTGAGCGTAAATCCAACCAGAATAGACAGCCATGACAGCGAAGCCAGGCTGTCGAAGCATCTCGAAGCAAAGAGCGATGCCATGATACAACTCCTGTCCCCACCACCTGGGTCCAGTCTTGACACGGTGCATCATGATCTCGCCGCGAGCAACCCGCCGCGAGATATCCGTGCCAGTCCTGACTTCAACAACCGATCGCCGAAACGCCGAGCGACGCACTTCTGGACACAAAGTGTTTAGTAAAAGGGCGATTGCAGTCAGAGCGATGCTGACGTAGAATCCGAAATCCGGTGGGAGTTGATCGATGACCGCAGCGCCAATGAGGAAGCCAAAGCTGAGGGAGGCAATATAGCAACATGTCCAGATACCGAGCCAGACTCCCATGCCTCCTCCATGCCTCCTTACATCAGAGTCGTCCACGACTTCTTGGTGGGGATTACTGCTCATGAGAGATGCACCAAAAAGATCTGTTAGTATTGAGTGGAAATTCATGCTCGCGAAACCGAGGCAGACACCCATGAAGCCTCGCGGGACCAACAACGCCATTCTCTATCCGGTGAGGTTGTAGAATCTTTGAGCACTGACAGCCAAGGCCTGGGGAAAAAGAAGTGGCATGGACAAAATCAGACCAGTTGTGATGTACGGCTTACGCCCGTGAACGAGGGGAAGTGGCCAACAAAAGAAAGTCGGAATAGCCATCCCAAGAAAACAGCCCACATTGCCATTGATGATTGAGTGACTTGTGTCTAGAATATAGTACTGCAGTGAAGGTACTAAGCCGGCATAGATGCCGATTATCATGCCGATGAGCGCTGTACTGATGCAGGCTACTGTTGCGATGGCTCTCTTCCGAACTGGTGACCAGTCTCGAGCGATAGGCTGACGTCGATTCGACTTGACTAGGCTGAAGGCCTGCACACCACGCAGACTGACATGAGACTTGCCGTGCAAGCTGACACCTCGTGGATTTCGAATCGGACGTCCAGCCAAGTCATCCTGAGGAAGATTGTCCTCGCCGGTATTGCGAGATATAAAAGGTACCCGCTTCGTGCTTGCCCGGGGTCGAGCTGGCTTGTTGCCTTCTTGAGCTTGATTTCGAGTCGACAAGTTGACTGCAGAGGATTCATCGGATCCGTCCATGCTAGACTCTGAACCTGTCGGGAGTTGCTCGACGATCTCCTTCGGACTTGTGTGCTTCGATTTCTTTCCATTCTTGCTCCTTTTCCTGCTCGAAATTCTGTCTGGCACAGGCGCAGCTTGTCGAGACCGCGTTTTGTATCTGCGATTAGTTTTCTTGACAATTGACGGTTTCTTGTGGTCAAGCATGTTCTCAAGTTCTACCGTCTGCGGAGTGAGAGAGATATTGCGGTAGAGATCGTCTACAAAACTGATTCCTGGTTGCCCAGCATGCGGAAATGTAGCAGCGCGCTTGAAAAGTGTTTTTTTTGATATACTGTTGTCGTTTAAGTCGATATCAGAAAACTGTAAGGAGTTATCATAGGCCGCCGCTTCCGTTGAGACATGGCGCGGGGGTTGCACAGATTCTGGAGACTTTGCCTCTTCGTCGTCAGCAACTCGAGAAGCCAGCGTTAAAGCTTCTTGAAGGAGCCGTTCTAACTCTCCAAAGGTACTTTGGAAGAAGCCTTGCTCAACATCAGAAGGTGGGAGGGTCGGGTGGCGAGTCATCTTCCGAGGGATTGGACTTTGTTCCCTAGAGGCCTTCAATGAAATATAGGACGCTCTTTTGACCTTGGACGGCTTTTCTGTCAACTTGGCGGTATGAGCCTCAGGGTTCTTCAACAAATGCCGAAGCCACTGAGTAGTGCGCTTATAGTCGATGGTGCTTGCTCGGGAGCGAGATGTGCTTTCGGAACGTGGCTTGGGAACTCTGGTGGACCCATCACTTGCCGATTCATCTGAACCGACAGCGAAGTACGCATCTTGGTTTTTCCGCTTGCCATTTTCGGATTCGTCACTAAAAGGCCGAACCTTTGAGACGCTTTGATGTCCAGCGTGGTGATTCAGCTCGGGGGGTTCCTGGGCAAAGGGACGCACCTTGGAGACTGGTATGTTGGCCGATCCGTCTCTGTTCTCCTCGATGACTGTCGATTTGTTGATATATCTTTCGGGCAGCAGGTGTTCCTTGGCCGGGTCAAACGGCCGTACCTTGGAAACTCCGAGAGGAGAGTGCTGTTGGCGACCTATGCTGGGGTACTGGAAGGTTGGTAGATTGAAAGCTGGCCGAACCTTCATGGCATGACTGTGTCCATCATGTTTTGGGACGGTGACTTCGACTGTGGAGAGACAGAGATCATCTCCAGTCATGGCTCGGCGAACCTTGGCATGGACAACTTCCGCCTGCGAAGAAGCAGATGACGTCAACGAGGATAAGCTGGATGTCTCTGGTAGCTGAGCAACAGGTTGTCCAGGCACACCAGTGTTGCAAAAGTCGGCACCTTTCAGGAGGCCGCGATGGTGGGCCTTGGTGTGAGATTCGTCCGGGTGGATTAGAGGATCAACACAAACAGTTTCCCGGGGGAAGTAGGGGTCGAAATTGGTCGTGTTCTCCATGAGATGCTGAGGGATAGTTGGTGCAGGATTATCTACCATCTGTGTAGGCGAAAACTTCCTTGATGGGATGGCAATCTTCGACTTGTTCTCGTGGCTAGTCACATCTTTTTGCGTGTTCTGTAGTTGACTCTCACTGACTTGCCGACTGAGGACTGGGGGCACAGGTAGGTCTCTGTCAACTAACATCGGGCGTCCGGAGGCGGTCTTTAGGAGCGCATGTCGAAAGCTACCACTTTTTGCCGAAGAAAAACTTGAAGCGACATCCTTTTCGGGCTTCTTCAGCGACATGTCCCTCATAGAATGTTGAGCGCTAGGTAGGGGTGTGTCTTCAAAGTCAACAGTAGCGTTAGATGGCTCTCGAATTCGAGTTGTAGTAACTTTGGTCGGGTGGAAGAAGTTTGATAGCATTGCTGGCTTCTCGGCGGCCGTGCGGTTCAGCGCGAGGTCGGCCTGGGAAGGGCAGCAGAAATCGATTCGGATGTTGGTCGGCGGTGAATCTGAAGAGCGAGATCTGAGGCTGCGAGACGTCTCGGTAAGTTTGTCCGCGGAACTGTAGCGTCGCAAAGCCGTTTGCTTGTAGGCCGACGTATTGGGATCTGTGAGTCGCTGGACTTCGGTCGGTGGCGTTAGGGATCGGGTCCTCGTGGCCTCAGACATGGAAGTTCAAAATAAAGAATGCATGAGCATTTGAAGAGCGTACTAATGATAAAAATTCCTTCTGGAGGATCGAGAGCTGATAGGAAAGTTCCTCACGATAGGGGGTTGAGGAACTGGGGAGGTCGTCGAGAGGGCGGTGGTGTTGACGAGAGAAATGGGCGGTTCAACAGATGAGTGCGCGTGGTCGTCGATATCAACTTGACCAGCCCCTTCTACAAGCACCGTCATCTGGCTATATCAACTCCTTCCGCCATTGAAATATGAATTTATGGAGATCACATGGTGGCGGATATCAATCGTACCTTCCATCTTCAATATAAACTACCTAGGTGCCCTGTACCACCTTGGGTAGGTACCAAGATGAATCAACAACAGGAAGATTAAGGTAAGTAGTCAGCTACTTATATACTTCTGAAACTGGAAAGGAGAGGAAAAAACATTCAAGTCAAATTAGTGCATGTTTTCTGCCGTATCCTCTCAATGTTGATTCTGGCGGAATCTCGTACGCATTCCACTCCATCTACCGCTTGGCTTGCGTCGAATGATGAAGGATTTCGAATTGTTTTCCTTGGCCCTGGCAAGTGCTCGGGCCTCGATCACCTATGCTGAAAATCCTGCAGCTCTGATTATGTCTTCGACTGATGAATTACTAGGCCAGGTTGATATCAGGTAGGTGGCCGGATGACTCATGCGGCGAGCCCTTGGCTCAATGCTCACGGATTTAACCTCTATCAACTCGTCTTAGTGTATCAGCGACATTATAAATGAGCCAGGTGACAGTGATCTCAAAGGTCGATGAACCAGATCCCCTCAAATCGCTAACTTTTCTTGACACGAACCACGACGATAGCCCATCAACAAAGCTGCTTAGAGAGGTAAGCAGGCCCCAGTTTCCTCCTCCTACGCAAGACACACCAAGCAAGGATGATATTGGATTTTTACTCGCCGTACTGAATTTACATTGAGGATGCCGTCTGTGGCACCGGTTTCGCCTACTTTCTGATTTCTTGGATCTTGAGAGCCTGCTCTGCGCAGAACCGACGTGTAGATGGACGTTTTTGCTGACAACTCTTTGGGCGATGTCTAGTCCTTCGGTCAAGGCCATCAAGCTAGACGCCGGTCTCGAGTGTAGTAGTATACATCGCATCAAAAACCAAATTATTGATAGTGCAGGGTTGCAACGTGACTCATTCGGTCAGGCCTCTTACTAAAGTTCAGCATGGCTGGGAACCGACTTGATGAGGCCCTGGGGTATAGGCCAATAGCAACTCCGCACCCTTCAGGATCACCTCTATGACTCCGAATTGTCTTGTTGGTGTGATTCGCTCATCCGGATTGATCAGATTGAGGGTAATGTGCTGCCCTTTCATGAAACTTCACCCCTCGCTGTGCCCAGCCCCTTCAGCCAAGCCGGCAGGATGAGCTCGGGCTTGTAGGTTGAATGCAACAATTCAGTGAATGGAAAACCTGAGGAAGTCAGAGCAAAAGTCGACTTGGTTATCGAGATGGCAGAAGGGAAGGAGTCTCTTGACAAGAGATGTGCGACACTCGTCAACTGGAAAGAGGGGCGGCCGACCGAGCCGAGGTTTCCGTGGCCTAGGCGGAGAATAGAGACCAGTCATACACCCGATGGCGCACTCTGAATGATTTCAGGCTGCCTAAATACCTAAGCATAATCAAGTCTGTGACAAGTTGACCTCGTTCTGAAGGCTGGAATACCTCAACGTGTGTCCACGACAATTACATAATATGACCATGTAGTGTCAGAAGCAAAAAAGAATAGGACGCGGACGACGAAGGATCAATAATCTCACCCCGCGGCGTGCGGAGCGTTTACCCCAGACCAGGCGGGGCCCCCTTGTGTCGGGTCGGGGAAAACACCTGCGAGACGTGCCTCGGCAACTGGGCCAGCCCCGTCAGCCTCTTCGAAACCTCGTCGTCGCATTCGCAAAAGCCTGCCATCTGTACATTCAACAGAAATTCGATTCTTCCGAGAACTCACGAATCATCCCAAGCATCATCGGTCTAGAGAGTTCAACACACCTACTCGTACCACAACTCCGGCCCTTTTGCAAGCTGAACATACTCGCACTCCAGTCTCATCCAACTCTCCGCCTCACCCCTCACACCACGAAGCCTCACCATAAGGCTCTCCCCCTTAGTCACCCTCCACACAAACACACACACACACGCCCAAAATGGCAACCTTCAAAGATTACACTTACACCCACTTCCTCGTCACCTCCCCCTCGCCCTTCGTCGCTCACGTCCAAATCAACCGCCCGCAGAAGCTCAACGCCTTCTCCGAGCCCGTATGGCGCGAATTCGGCGCCGTCTTTGACCGCCTCAGCCACGATCCGGATGTTCGCGCTGTCATACTCTCCGGCGCCGGCGACCGAGCATTTTCCGCAGGCCTCGACGTCCAGGACGCCGTCAACAGCCCCCTCGGCGCGGACCTCGGCGGCGACCCGGCCCGCTACGCAACCAATATGCGCCGTCACATCACCGAGTTCCAGGACGCCATCGCCGCTGTAGAGAGGTGTGAGAAGCGTACGTATTCTTTTTGTTGTTTTGGAAGATTCTCATTTCCCTACCCGTCACAAAGTTGAATTTTTACTTGTTTTTGCTTTGGCTTGAGGTCTGAAGATGAAGATGGATATGTTTCATGAAGCCAAGACCCAGTCCATGAGACATTAGACATGCAAGCTTACCTAAATGACCCGAAAATAGCCGTTGTATGCGTCCTGCACGGAATCTCAATCGGCATCGCCATTGACATCTCATGCTGCGCCGACGTGCGCATCTGCGCGCGCAACACACGCTTCGCCGTCAAGGAGGTCGACATTGGCCTCGCCGCCGACCTCGGCACGCTCAGCCGGCTCCCCAAGCTCGTGGGATCCACGTCGTGGGTAAAGGACGTCTGCCTCTCGGCGCGCGACTTCCCCGCCGAGGAGGCCCTCGCCGTGGGCTTCGTCAGCCAGGTGCACGACACCAAGGACGCGGCCGTCGCGGCCGGGCTGCGGTGGGCCGAGTTCGTCGCGAGCAAGAGTCCTGTGGCGGTGCAGGGGACCAAGGAGCTTTTGAACCACGCGAGGGATCACTCGGTTGCGGAAAGTAAGTCTTTTTTTTTTGCATCATTCTTCTCTTCTCCGGCCGCGACGTTGAAGCGGCTCTGCTTCTAGTAGACTGTACTAACGCTTTGGCTCCTAGACTTGCGATACACGACTATCTGGAATGCTGCCATGCTGCAGTCAAGTGATACCAAGACTGCCTTGATGTCCGGACTGCAGAAGAAGAAGCCCACTTTTGAGAAGCTTTAGTCGGCGCGCTTGGAATGCTACAGTAACGCGGCATCGCACGAGGCTACTGCCGATTCCATTCCTATAGAACTCCACATGACGGATCAGAAGCACGATTCTTCTCCACACAAACCATACAGCATAAACGCGGCATGATGTCAAGACGGCATGGCGGAGAGTGGCGGAGACAGCCACAGCGACGGTCACATGCCAAGTAGAAGCAGAGAGACGAGCATATCTAGTATGCAGGAGAAGTCAAATAGTCGGAGGCATCGGGAAGAATACAATGCGTAAACTTGATAAGACCAGCTTCGTCGGCACTCAGTCAGAGTCTGAACTCTCGTCTGGCTGCTGGGTCTCTTTCAACCTCTGCAAGTGATGTATTGTTAGTTGCGCTTGTCCAAGTCGTGTTTGCACAAGAAGAGTGTATACAAACCTCATCGAGCTGTCTCTTGAGCATGCCAACCATGTTCTCCTTCACAACGACATGCTGGTCGTCGAGGTCCTCAATGATGTAGTCATGGTTGTTGGAGTCGATGTTAACGATGATGGACTTGATGGAGGGGTCACACTCGATGAGGACTCCTAGAAAGGCGGGGCGGGAATGTTAGTAGGCTGGGGGCTATCTGGGGTAGGGCGGCTAGGCAAGCAAGCATGCAGCGGATGCTCAGAAGGATGCTTGGGAGGAGGGATCTCACCTCTGATGGCGCGGGGCATTTTGGCGGTTCGGGGGCGGGATAGTGGGGAGATGTAGGCGCAATGATCCTATTCACGCATATCTGTGTTGAAGTACGAATATGGGCTAGGTATCCGTAGTTGGGCTTTGCGGATGAAGTGTGGTGACGATGGGAGGCGGGCGCTCTGTGCCTGGAGTTGGCGATGGCACTTGGAAATTGGGTGGGACTAGGGTTGACCAACCAGGTGTCTTGCTTGTTGTGCCCTTGCTCAAGCCTGGCAGCCTGGCTTACCCGTAGCCCACCAGCAGATTTGCCTCAGGCCCAAGAATCAAGCTCTCCATCCGGGTCCTGATGTGCAAGGGCCAATTTAAGCACCCCTGTCCAGATCCTTGACGGCTCATCTGGAATCCTCCTCCCTCCAGGGTCGCGGGAACAGAGCAATCAAAACTTGACATTGACAATTTTCTCGACTACTAGGGAATTTTTTTTTTAATTTGAGAGAGGCACATGAATGCAAGGAGCTGACTGTTGGCTGAGCTTTGCGATTGCAATGATCATCGACTATGAGCCGCGGAGCGTTAACTGAAACCGTTTCCTCATCGACTGTCCAGCCGGGAGCAACCTGGCCACTCTAATACACATTTCCCAGGCGGGAATACCGAGGCAAGTTTAATGAAGAGTTTGGAGCTTTGGGTCGCAGGCAGACAAGGTATCGTGAGTGCGTTTGCTGCGGTTTTTTCTGCTGACCCCGAGTGCGAGTCGCTCCAACTGCATGAGCCTGCGGGCTGTGAGTTGCGGGCTGCGGGCTGCGGCCGCCCATCCCAGTCGATATTCTACTGATGAAAAGACTTCTTCTGCCTGCGTGTTTGCACACTTGTTTGCAAATGTTAATTTTTTGGGGGGCTTTCCGCTGGATACGCGGTAGCTTTGGAACGAACCGAGGCGGCTCTGAAACAGCCGCCCTGTGCGAGTCACGATGGGAAAGCCAAGTCCGACGGGATGCCCAAGCTGCCGCACCTGGGAGGAGACGGAGAGCCTCGGGTGTGGGTACCTCATAGAGCCGCCATGTAGGGCGCTAGAGCAAGTACCTATTTCTCTCCCGAGTCCCCAAATCCCCAACCTAGGCAGCTCCCAACCTAAAGTTCGAGGGACCGAGGCAGGTAGAGTGGCAGAACGCGTATACGCAGCCGACGTCTGGTGCCCGTCCGATGCAGCAGCGACTCTGCAAATGTTTCTCTTGCTTCGCGTTCTCGCACTCGGCTGGTGGACCGGTTCATCCCTTCAGCAAGTAACACGATACCGCTACATGTTGCTCATGACGTACAACCCCCAAAAGACCAAGGCTTCTCTTGAGGATTGGCATCGCGTCGTCAGGGGTGCCTCCTGTTTGACGGGGGTTGACTGGCTCTCACGCAGCCCCCGTTCTCCAGAGGACCAGAGGAGCCAGAGGAGATGTAACGCTGATTCTCGTCCCCCATTTGCAGCCGCCCAATGGATACGGAGCCAATTATCCTTAGCATCTGCATGTAATCACCTCGACACTACGGATACACTGGACGCTTGACGTGCCAATGTTTGCGCAGTCATGCACGAAGTACAGAGTACCGGCACCAAGATCTGTATGGCATTATCCTCGTCGCGAATTCTATCAATAGAGCCCAACCGTCGCATCCCTTCTTCGTCCCAAATGCATCCTACCCCATCTACATCTGCCTAATCACCTCGTCTCCCCCATGGTTTTCACCCGATCTCTATCCCTCGGCTGTCGTCTCTTGAGTCTTGAACCCTTGGTTATCCTGTCTTTTTATCACTTTTGTGCATCCTTCGCAATCGCACACGGAAGCCGTCCGCATTCGCACGCAGTTCCCGAGGTCTTCGGCCATCCCATCATCGTCTATTCTTTTTAATCCATCGTTAGCCTCCTCGACACCTGGCTACCGACTTTAATTAAATGTTCCCTCGTGAACTATCGGATACGAATCGCCCATCTAAAACCCTCTACCAACCTTGTCTCGCCCTACAGACAAGTCGCACCGGACAAAGCTTGCTTGCCCTCAGTAACTCGCCCGACTCAAGCTCCCCAACCAGCTACTTATTTCCCCGGCTCACCACAAATTCGGACGTCCAGCCAGCCGGCCTCCGTGCTTCATATCTTGACTCCTTCCTTGCAGCCCCTGCCCTCCTTCTTTCCAGCCCCTGCCCGCTGGAATTCCCGCTTTCACCTCCTCCGCTATTGAGACGTGTTTGGCATTTTGCAGCCAAATATCCAATACCTCCCCGCCACCATTTCTTATTGGAAATCTTCCGTCAGCCCTTTCTCTCCCTCTCCCTTCGACCTTTGCTCTTTCCTTTCTTTTCCTCTCAATCTTTTGTCTCGCCTGCTCCCATCCCTTGAACGTCAAACTCCAACCAGAGGGCCTCAACATCGACTGCGCTGCTGCGATCTGCATTTCCCCGGCGACCTGCAATCAAGACAGGAAAACAATTGGGCCCGACTTATCCACCGCCAGTGGCAACACGAATCCTCATTGAATCATCATAGCCCGCAAGCTCCCTCCTTGCTTGCGTCAGGGACCAACGACCGAACGACCAACCATCAAGCGCCCGAATTTCCCGAACCTCTTCCCACCAGCTCGTCACCTTCCCGTATCTCCCGGTCTGCTCCTGCAGCTTCCGTTCAACCCACTCCACCGCACGCTCGCAGCTGCCACAGCTATCAGAAGCTTGCTGGATCGAGACAGCACTAGCGATTTCCGACAAATCTGAGCCACGCTATGATGACGTGAAAGCCCGACGTCTCGCCCTTGCACCACCATAGCTGCCTCGACCACTTCCCTGTTTCGACCTCCACGCCTTTGTAATACGGTTCAATACTACGCCAAGACTCCTTCCCTTTCGTCCCAAAAATAGACGAAGACCAAAGTCAACTCGGCAATTCGAGCAAAAGAAGACTCTCCTTCATCACCAAACTCACTTGTTGGCAGCCATCGCTCCTTTCACGCCTACTTGAACCCCCCATTGCGGATCTCCGAATTCCTCAATCCTTGGTCATACGTTCTCTTCTACTCAGACAACATCTCACTCGCTTTACCCGCTGCCGACGCCCATCATGTCTTCCTCTGATGGTTCCCTTGGAAGCACGGGCTCCTCATCCTCGCTATCCAACATGCCTTACACCTGGATTCTCACGCCGCTCATCGTCTTTCTCGCCCTCGGCATCATCGCGACTCTCGTTCAGTTTCAACGCCGCCGCCGTCTACGCAAGCTCGGGCTCCAGCGTCCTTGGCCCCGCCGCGACATGGAAGCGAATCGCCAGAGAGGAGGTGGTCAACGGTCGTCGAGAAACGGCCGCTGGGCCTGGACTACCCGCAGTGATGAGGGCCTGGACGAGTTCGGCGAGGCTCCTCCTGCCTACGAACCCAAGGCGAAGCCGGGACAGACTTTCGCTCGCGAGGGTAGTTTCGAGATGGCCCACGTCGAGCACACTGCGAGGGGCACCATTGCTTCACCCCCGCTCACCGGCAGCTCTGCAGGTGTCGACCGGGGCTCTCTGCCTCCGGACTATGGCACAGCAACCGGCTCCACATCATCAACCCCCCCGCCTGCCGTCGCCAGCCCGCCTCCGGCGATGACGAGACACTAATACCATCATACCTTACTCTTCACTACCGCGGGGAGTGACAATGCACCGATCAGCTGCCATTCTTCACAATTCTTTTTTTTTTCCATTCATCGGCGTTACAACGAGGCACCAAAAGGGGGTATTTTAGGGAAAGCACAGCAATGATACCATGTTTGAGTTGGGAATTGGTTTCTTTTTTTGTTCAAAGCCACAGAGCATACAAGCGGGGGAAGAGGATTACAATCAACATAACATCGACACGTTACGATAATCAGGACGGCCATCGTCTGGAATACGGGAGGAGGACAGAGTGTTGAAAACGGCCGATCTGTTACGCAGGTCTGGGCGATGAATGAAGCCCACGAAGGATCTTCAGTGAAACATTGTCCCCCGCAGACGGGGAGGCACATTGTAGTCATTACTGAGGCTCAATGCTAAGTGCTGCATATTTCATGTCTCTTGTAGCTACTACAGCGTTGGTAGCCAGGACTCAATCAGAAAACAAGTCAAAACATAAGTGTACTGTTCAGCTTTTGTCCTACGTCGTGCTGCACGCTGAGGTATTTAAACCATCGCGTACGTAACCTTATTCGCCGTGCGCGTCGACTTAGACTGGGGGCACATGCTGTACCTCCGTCGAGCCACGATTTGTAGTAAGTTGCAGCAGTTTGAGCTTAATCCCTCCAACCAAGGACACTCCGATCCCTACGTTCCTACGCCTCTATTCTCAAGCGGTGATGAATCTGGCAATGTTTGCAGTAACAGGAGGGCTGTAGATTGTCCGCGATTCGCATCGATATCTCGCTATCAAAGTTGATTCGAGACTGGAGCTTTTCAACTCTGGATACCTTTGTACCAGCTTCATTTTCACATGGTGTCTGTCTCTTTTGCTGTCGCGATAATTATTTCTAGGTGAGGTACGTGAGATATGTTCTCGGGGAGCAGCCAGGCTGGCCCGTTCGTGAATGCCCAACGTCTGGGCCTTTCTCTGACCTTGACGTCGAGAAGTCCTCCTGTTGCCAAGGAACTTAGTAAAGCTAGAGGCTTTTGGCGAAGGATCTTGTTTATATCAGGCTTGTATGATTATCGCAGGTATAGTGAGGGGCGAATATTATTTCTCTGGGCTGAATTTGTTGGAATTTGCAAATGTATTGCCGACTGCCCATTGTTCGGTCGCTAATTCTATGGGTGAGTCTGGGGAGTACCTACCTACTCCCAGTTCCGAAAATCAAAGCGTTGTCAGCCATAGAATTTGAAGGTAATTTCGCAACTTGAACCCTCGTATGTTCTATGATGTCTCTGGCTCCGTTATTACTCACATGGTGCATGAGAAGTGACTGAAAAATACAGACAGGAGGACTCGAGTAATTGGGTTCGTTTTGATTCGGAGAGGGCATCTTTTGCTTCACGCTTGTATGCTGCGGTGTTCACGGAAACGGCAACGACGGCGGCAGCATAGCCGTCGTAGAATCAATGATGAATTCTTTGCGGGCTCTGGCAATGAGCCAGGGAAACCCGGTGTTTGATCGCAGGATCCCTTGAAGCGTACCCCACGATGCTTACCTAGTTCAACGTTGCTGTGTAGCAGCTTGAGAAACCCTTCATGTCAATGGTCCTGTGCCGCCATGTCGTGGAAGCATCGTAGCTGGCCCTGGAGAGTGTACGAATTCGTGCTCGCTTACCCTCGACGGATTCTCGATTCAAGCCTGCGTACTTCCATTTTGATTGTTGGGATCTGCAATTCGGTTTTCGCGGTACGGCACATGTACTAGTTCAGGTTGGATTAAGTAGTTTTGAGGTGAGCAGAAGAGTCGAGAAGGAGCAAGGATTTCACCCCGATGGATGTTGTTGGCTTTCACCTACCGCTTATTCCAAAATGAATACGATACAAAATTCAAATGAGAAGAGGCACATGGATATCTTTAGGGTAGGAAAATGAGATAGAACAAGCGTCCCCGAACCTTGGTGAGCGAAATCGCCAGTATCCGTCCTCTGACCGATTGCAGCGGCACAGCTGTAATCCACCTTAATCTATCTCACCGAGAAGTGTACGAGAATTACGTCCAGCTTCTCCGCGAGTTAGACTCTGGCCATGTGGGCCTCTGACCATGCCGAACTGAAGTTGTATGCCACGGCTTACAGCAGCGTAAAGGCCGAGGACATGGTCGAGATGCGGGAGGTGTACGGCGAGGCCTTTGAGAAGGCGAAAGAGGAGATCGAGGCGACGTAAAAGGAAGGCAAATTCCCGGCTGCGGGACTGCTCTCATCGTTATTTCAGGTCATGTGGCGCCAACGCGCTTGTAAGATGAAGGTTCCCGTTGTCGAGAATAGCCGCTCGGGAGCCGCCACGACATAACGAGGCTGGGCTCTAATCAAAGCAGGTAACACCCGCGAACTATGTAGCTGACTAGAGTTATTGTAACTTTGAAGGTCCGATTCGAAGGGTAATCAAATTTGAGGTATCGGTTTCTTGGCTTATTGAGCTAGATCATCTCCCTTTTTCTTTTTGCCGAATTTGTAAGAAACCGTGGGCGTCTCCACCAGCTCGTGTCCCAGCTAGACGAGTTTACGTCCAACAAGCGGAGTCGAGATTCCTGAGGCTCTCGAAGCTCGTTAGGATATTAGCATATTCAAGGAACCTGGTGCTCAAATCTTATCTAGGCGTTGCCTCACTCCATCTTCCTTGGCCTCATTCTTCATGTCAACTTGATGACGTGGGACGGGCGTCGTATCTTGACTTCGCGGCCTGATCGACGTACTACCGATTCAATCAGATTTTCTCAAGGGTGAGATACGGAGAACGTATATTTCTTTACGCTTTGTAGCGCCTCCAAAACACACCCAAGGAGAGTAAAAGAAGGCGAATGCCTCCAAGCGTGCCATGGATCATCGCCTAGAAAGCTCCTCGGTCTTCTGTCATTCATCTCACATCACTGTCAACCCGCTGAGACTGCTAAAGTATCGAACGAGCTCACAGTCTGTCCATGAATGGTGGTTGTGATGTTACTGTTGATGATGTATTTCACTTGTTGACAACGTGATCGAGATTCAGAAATTTTGGACCCATGGCTGCCCGTAGGGGCCCGTGGACTTGGGGTGGGTATTTGGGTTGCCCAACAAACAGATTCAAATACCCAAAACTTCCATCCATGGATAAATGTCCAAATATTTGGGTTGCCCAAATAGCCCATAGCATATCCCCATATCGACTAAGCAACGAGATCTATCTGCATATACTCAAAAACGTCAAAAACATACAACACCAGGTATTCGCTGGTCGTCACCGACCCAACTACTAATCCGGCCCTCGTTAGCTTGTATATGGGAGAGCGGACGGGATCCCTAATTTTCCAACGGGTATGGTCGTATGTGACAATTTGGGTGTGAGAAGCTGCTCAAGTCGTGAACTGACGAACACGATCTTGGCCTGGATCCTCATCTGCTTTCTCTTTGAGATCCGGAAACGCTCCCCACTCAAACACATCCACCAATCTTCCCATGTGTACTTCCAAGTCTAGCGGAATTACGAGGGCACCCGCGAGCATTGAGGAAGGAGGCGTAGGCTGAAGCAACCTGCCTCATCAGAATAGTCCGCAATTACTTAACGATGCTGTCAAATTCCAAGAACCACACCAAAGACTTCATAAGATTGCCATTGAATGCTTAAGTGAGCAATTAATGGAGTTGGTTGAACCGATTACGATTCGCACCGTCAAAGACCTGAGTTCAGCTCGTTGAAAGTCGAGGGCAAGCTCTGGGATCACAGGCATCAAAATTAAAGGCTTCCAGATCTGTGCTTCGGAACGCGTAGAGCGCAGTCGTGACGAGTCAGCGGTTTCTTTGCAGTTCTTTACCTTGCTCTTACTGCACCAGCTTTCTCGCTGTAGCTCTGTAGAGGGTGTAGTGTAAAAGTATCACTGGGTGGTCGCAGTTGCGTTGGCCTAGGGAGAAATATGCCACCAAACTATTGCATGAATGGTGTCTTGTATTTGACTTATTGCGTCTGAGGATACTACACCAAGACTTCTTCTTAATGTGGGATGAAGAGGGCACTGAAACACCCGAGGTCCTTCAGGATCTAGACACGTCAGTATCGGCGAGCCACCAAAAACGACGCAACGAAAATACTCGCAGCAGCATCCTGCTTCTTGTTGATTGCCGGCATTCGCAATCCTGGACCAGCTTCTACGTCATGGGGTATTTCCTCGGGAATGGGGACATTACTCAGCCCTCGAGAGACCTGGACAGATCAGCACCGTCTGCACCTGGGTCTACTGGCCTCTGTTCCGCGCGGAGATTTGATACGGGAGGGCAGGAGGTAGTAAATTTCTAGAACGATGGAGACTGACAGCTTGTCCATATTCTAGCAACCACAATCCCAAGATAATGGCAAGAGACGAAAAATAGTTGAGTATCTGCATTTCTCTCTGCTTTTTTATACACAATGAGACATGTTTCTCTAGTCACGAAGTCAAGAAGATCACCAATAGTCAAGAAACTCAAAGTCGACCGACTCCTCCGCAGGAGATTGCAATTACCACGCAGTCTCAATGGTCATGGTCGAGGCGACAGCAATGCAAGATTTTGAGTGTAAGCATTCGCACTACAGATCAAGATGACGAGCTACGGCGAGCTTGAAGGCTTAGCTTTCGAATAAAATCTTCACTGGTTTCGCCGACTTAGCCGTCTTCACCGCGATGTAAAACGCCATTTCTACGAAGATGGTGTCCAATGAAGTAGGTAGCGTTTCATAACCTATGAAAGGTAAACGGGTTACCTTAGTGAGGGGGGTATCGCCGACAAGTTTCAGTTGCCAGGCGTGGGGGGTGGCTGGCGCCGCGAAGCATCGAAATGCCTACTGTTTCTTGACGATAGCATGAGCTTTGCGACGACATTCTCTCTGACGCCGCCCACAGCTCACGCTGATCCACCCTCTTCATTCCAGAAAGCCTGGAAATGAATGATTCATGCTGCTTGATGGATATATCGAAAAGACTAATGGTTCTGAGTATGCTTCTGGCTTACTCCTCTAGGTGCCATCAACAAGATTATGGAATTGGTCTTGTGTTTCTTTTCGGACTACACAATATGCTTAAATTCTCCCAGTATAGTCGGGAATGTTAAATCGATGAGAGAGAACACTTTCTTGGTGGCCAAAATTACGACCCGTCGTGTATTGAACCGTCATGCCTCCTTCCCACCCTCCTTTTCTCTGCGAGAGTTTGGAAAGACGATATATCAAGGAGGGCGAAGTCAAACTAATCCAAGCATCTGTAGCTTTTGCCCCAGACAAACGCAGTCAAATAGCGTTCGTGCCTCTAAAGTATGCAAGCAATCCACTGGATATGAAGTGAATGTGGCTGGCAAGAAGAAGCATAGAAGCGAAGGCAAGGGGGATTTGATTTCACCACAGAACAACTGTCGTTGACATGTAGCGAACGAGGTTTTGGCTATCACACAATAAAGGCTCCTTGCCTATGTGTTGTAATGAGGAAAAATGAATGACTTCATACGATAAACGCTTCCCGCAGCATCAGGCAATGTCACAACGTCTTCGCCAAGCTTCAAAGTCGGTGCGCCCGTAGATCATACGCAGACGCTGATAACCCAAAAGCCGTGGCATGGATCCCAAGGAACAAATCATAAGAGAGCAAATATTATGGACGGGGCCATGTGGCGATGGGGTACGGGAGGGGGGCACAGAGAAGGGCAGACCCTGAACTTCGTTGCAGATCAGTAATATGTGAGATCTCTTAAGAACGTCCTCCGTGCTTCGGAATTTCGTATTCTTTATTTGAAGATCGACCGGGTCCGGGGCCCCTTGTGCATCCGTGTGACCCGTGTCGAAGGGAAAAGTATGGGAAAAGTACCGCAGCGTCCGGCCCTCTACCCTAGAAAAGAGAGAGAGAGAGAGAGAGCCCGCGCGATATTTGGTTCCCAGGAACGTCGAGGATGAGAAGAGGTTCTTGGATTCGGGTACGGAGCTGAACCTTCAGACTTGAGTCCTCATCACGGCCGACTACTTGGACGAATAAAAAGGAAGACTTGTGGTTCAAACCTTTCCTAGAGTCAGACACAAAAAGAGGAGTGTGCAGGTTCCCGTGGTGGCAAGGAGGACAATGTCTTGGTTGACACTCATCTGAGGTTTCATTGTGTGATCATTTACACTCAATCACTCACAAGAACTATATGTACAGTAATGAAACACAGCGAAATCTCATATACGCACATGGATGCTCGCTTGCTCCTGAACTCCCTCTCACAAGATCGCTCTGTATACACAGGCGGTATGCCAAGGATATCGAACATTCGTCAAGGAAACATGAAGCTCAACGGAAAGACTTTGCACGGCCAGCGTGTCAAAGTTGGTTGAGCCCCAAAAAGAAAAAGAAAAGAAGCAGCGATTCCCGCCCTATCCATCCCATCATGCATCGTGAAATGTACGTTCGTACAAATACATAACAGTAACACGATTTATACACAAGCCTGTGAGCACCCTCATCGTCCTCAGAACATGACAGCCACCCTCTTCCGCCGACGAGTGGGCTTCTGCGCGGCGCCCATCATGGGGGGTCCCGGGATAGAATATTCAAGGTTATCTTTGTAGATGTTGAACTTGATCCCCTCGTCGTTGGCCTTGTAGAGCTCCGTCGCCTTGACGCCGGGGGGCTTCTCGGACCCGCCGCCCTGGACGTCGATGTTGAGGCACTGCGGATAATTCTGTGCGCCACCCTCGCGACCAGCTTCGTGCAGCGCGATCGTCTCATGGCGGAGGACGTACTGGCCGGGGGCGATGTTGGCCGGGATCGTCATTGTCCACGACTTGTTGTTGGAGAGCATGTCGTCTGAACCCCACTTCCCGGGCGCCTTGGCGCCGTCGACGACGCCGACAGCGTCGATCTTGAAGAACTGCAGGTCGGCCTTGTTGACCTTGGCGCAGTCGCCGTTGCAGGGGGCCAGGTAGTCCATCATCGGCCCGTGGTGCGACTCGGGCCAGTCGGTCCAGAAGACGGTGACATTGGAGCCCGCCGTCACCTTTGCGGCGATCGGGGCCGGTTCCGCGCCAACGTGGCAGATGATGTCCGCCTCTGCGTACTTGTCTACGGTGACGAAACCGTTAGACAGGTCCTTTGGGATGGACCATCCTACAACCTGTGGCGGAGGCTTCTTGTACTGCATCTGAGGACTGTAACCCTCATAGCTGGAAAGGTAAAAATATCGGGTTAGTGAAGATGAGCTTTTGGCGAGTGAGATCTTGGGACTCGGCTTACAAGACTCCATCCGCCATGATGCCGTTTACTGTGCCATGGGCACTGACGGTGTAAAGAGCGGCGGAGGCCAAGAAGGCATATTTCAAGACAGCCATTTTCGAATCCTTGCGCGTATTCGTGTTATGCGACGTCTTGAAAGTTCCGAGATCGCGTTTTAGTCAGTTTTGCGAGAGAGAAAACGAAGGTCAATTTTAAGGATCGTCGTCGATGGTATGTTTATTTTCAATGGGGGGGTTAGCGACTGTTTGTGGGAAAAAGGAGCGTATTAGTCGACCAGCGGACTATAGTATTATCAAAGAATGTGTAAGTTGCTTCCCGAACGCAACATCGGGAGCGATTGGGGGGCTCCTGGGGCGATGGCTATTATATCATACACCAACAAGCCATCATGGAACGTCGCGGCTGGGTAGTCTTCCGGCCCCGATTCATCCGTTCAAACAAATAAAGTCTTCAGCTTCCCTGTGCGCTGATGTTGAGATCGCCCACAGATCAAGAGAAGGTGCAAAACATCAGACACAGAGAGTAGACGATGACTGCAGATACCAGCCGGAATACAAGCTTCGATTGGCGGAGATCGGATCTTCGCCATCCAGAACGTCGGTTCAGAGTATCACTTGGTCATGTTCCCTGTTTCAAGACTGGGATAATCCATTGTTTATTCGGCGTCCCTTCTCGAGAGCGTCCGTGCAAAACACCCTTCTCAGCCTCATAGAGTTATCTTCAATGACTCTGCACGTTTTCTTTTGTCTGTTGTAGGGTTGGAAAGTTTTGTTCCGAGCTGGGACTGCATGGCCATCCTGGACAAAGTCGGGATTTTCTCTTCCTCTTTGCGAGTTGACTCTCTACAGTCGCCCGGCTTCGTCTCAACAGTTTCCCGATTAGGTAGTGGCCTGGACTGCTCGTCCAGGCCTCTCAGCCCTCGTTTTCATGCGATAGTCTCATAGTCCTGAACTGAGATGCGGCCAAACGTTGCGACCGTTTCATCCGTCCACAAAGTGTTCATCTGCTCGCCCCGCGCAGCACAAGCCCGCAGCATGACGTGCTTCTGCGACGAAACCTTGCTCTTTTGCTTGTAAATATTGACGATTCGCTCACATTCCTCAGTATACTTCAGATGTGATGAGCTGACAGTGTCGAATATAGGTACTGGTTGACCCAATTGGAGGCTGCTTTCGCCAAGGAGCCATCTCAAATATAGAAACCTTCATATACCTATTTGCCGACAAATTTCATTGTTATTGTTGGTCTGTTCTGAAGACCCCGCCACATGCCGTGTGCCAGATGTTCGAGTTGCTTGAGCTTTGCGCATCGGGCAATATGTCAGTAATGGGATTCCTCCCGATATCCTCGCCAGTCGTTCTCTGAGCATCGGAGCTGACTCAAGGCCCGCTACGCAAAGACTCTGCGAATGCGATAGGTCGAATGCTTTTGATGTCCCACCCCCTTTAACTCCATAACACCTCCAAATATTGCGCAAATCCATGTCCCACCATGACGGCAAGCCAGTCATCCGGAAGCAAATCGTCCCGCCTTACAGCAGCTCGAAGTCGTCCAGCTTGTCGCGATATTTCATAATATTTCTCTTGACCTTGCTGCCCACGGTCCATGTAACGAAGTCCTCCATGCTGCGGGTTACCAGGAACGCCGGATCGACACAAGTTTCCGTTCCCACACGAACGTGTCCCTGTTCGATGAGCTTCGTTGCTGCCTGTACGGTTTCGGCCATGCTGCAACATCTCCGTTAGCATCATGCCCAGAGAGGCAAGCAATGATAGTATTTTCCCATACCGAAGGCGAGTCATGACGACTGGGAGACGCCGTCTTGCAAAGGCGCTCACTGTGACATTATGTTCAATGGCCGAGAGCTTCGAGGCCGAGGAAAGAACACCCATGTCGTACAGCTTGTCGAGGAGCAGTTGCTCATGCTTTCGGCGGGCCGCGTTTTCCGGAGGCATGAGACTGATTCTGTGGGCCAGTTGACGGATGGACTGCGGAGCCGTGTCAGTCTATGTTTCGATGCGTATTCGATCTCGGACTCGGGAGGGATATTCGGTGAACTTACGCCGCATAGCCTGTTGTATTTGTGCTGCCCATGTTCGTTAGCGGTGCTTCGCGATGCGGACTTCGGGAGCAATACTCACATAATCCTCAGGCTTCTGAATCATGTATCTGCGCACCTATTCGCATGTCAGACTGTGTTGCGCACATCTTCTCCCATGGAGTGTGCCGTACCACTGCGGCATCTCGGTGGTTGCCATCCTAGTAGTTTCCTGTTAGCAATTGCGCCTCGGTCTGCTGCACGGGAGGGGTGCGGTTTATCACGGTACCTGCTTGTATGTGATGAAGTCGTGCTTCCGCAGAAGCTTCTGCTCGTGATACTTAAGTTTTCGGACCATGGTGGGCTGCTGTCGTCGCGGATTCTTAGTTCGATTTGGTGATTGCAAACGGTAACGAGTAGCCGCGGGAAAGAAAAGTTCTGGAACTGGAGGGACAAAATTCCTTATCGCCGCGGAACCTTATCGGACGAGTGGGGCGGGAGGTTCCGTCGGCCTACCAAAAAATTACCGTGACAGCCTCAACATCGCGCGACAGCCCACACCTCACTGGGACGTTGAACAAATCCTCACAAAACTAGCCATGCCGCCCAGATTACCACTTGTTTCGGCCATTAAGGCACCAAGCGCCTTGATGGCCCGGATCGCGCGCCCGTTCTCATCGACTCCTGCCGCCGCCCGTACGTCAATGCCTCCCTATTCTATTACTCCATCGCGCAATAGCTGACGTCAAACTTTACAGAGTCCTCAGATCCGGTTTCAAACCTCCTAAACCTCGACGAGAAACCCAAGGTGCACTCTGCCGATCGTATCCGTGGTCTCATCAACAATGGAAGCAAGGCCCGCATGGAAGGAGCTGCCGCTCGGAAACGCACCATGGTCGAGTCCCTCCGCGAGAAAAAGATCAGCGACGACTACATCAAGCAGATGCCACGCCGCTGGCGCTCCGGCGAAGTATACGCGCCGCACGATCTCAGCCCTGTTGAGATGGAGAAATGGCGCAAGGGAAAGTCCCTCACGGTTGACGTTGTTGACTTGTTGGGAATCAACCCCCTGGATCATTACAGAGTACGTTGAAATGATATACTCAAAGTCTTCAGAACACTGACCATTCGTTGCAGAATTTCTCTATGATTTCCGAATACATGACGAATTTCGGACAGATCAAACACAACAAGGACACGGGATTGAAGCCGACGAACCAAAGGAAGATGGCGAAGGCCATCAGGAGAGCGATTGGAATGGGTATCCACCCTAGTGTGCACCACCACCCCGAGCTGCTGAAGAAGAGGTTCCGCCTCAACGCGTCGTGGAAGTAGAAACTTGAAAGGACTCAAAGAGCTCAGAGGGGTCGGATAACCTGTAGGGCGTATGGTTTTGTCTCCGGACATTGGGAGAGTCTCCCGTGTATGAATTGTACAATATCTTGGCGTCTATTATAAATGTACAGATACAAGAAGCTCCTCCGGTATTTTATTGTACACATCATGCCTTCAGCACACGCTGTAGCTTGAACCTCTTCAGCTTCTCCGATGTGTGATAGTAGCGGAACTTCTCCACTTCTGCCCACTCCTCTGGGAACTGCTTCTTAGCCCATGCCTCGAACTCCCTCTGCAAGCCTTGCCCAGGCAATGCGTTGAATGGGATGCCAAGCCTATGCGGAAGTTAGTTAGAAACTGGAAAAAAGGTGAAAGGGATTTTCGCACGTCATTGCGTCAGGCCCATAACCAACAGCTCGCTTCATGGTTCTGATTGTGCTCTGCACCTCCTGCAGATTGCCATTGCCTGCAATGCCACCACAGTAAGAGGCAAAGACTGCTGGTGGGACATCGACCTCCATCTTTTCGATCTTCTTCCAAATGTCCCTGGCAATCTGGTCGCCAAAGGCCTTGACTTCGCAGAGGGAGAACACAATCTCTAGACTGTTATATGAGGGGCCTTCTGCCGAACGAACGATGTCCTGCCAGAACTCCAGTCCTAGACTTGGTTTCCTGCATGCTCCATAAGCAATCATCAATGCGTTGAACATTTTTGTGCTGGGCTGAATTTTCGTGTCCATCTTCAGCATGTTATGAACCAACTTGGTGCTGTCCAAGTCGGGACACCTGCCCATACCTTCAAAACATTGAATATAGGCTTCGCTGGTGGGATGAAATGTCGGGTTGACGTGTTGCCGCATGTGACCAAACACATGGATAGCCATGTCAGAGCGCTTGCGGTCGAAAAATGCGTTCATGAGCTGGAGACGACTTTCAACGCTGGTTTCCTGGAAGAACTGGCGGAGGATAGAGTAGGCATCCCAAACTCTTGCTGTACTGTTTTTTCTGTCCAAACAATACGCCACAAATGCATCTCTGATGGATCGTCGTTGTTCGTTACTGTGCTGAAAGACGTTCAACGATAGTGTGTCGATGATTTCGAACTGTTGGTCGTTTTTGAGGAATACTGTGCATAATGCAACCACCGTTTCTGGATCCAATGTTACGATTCGGTCCTCCAAGATGTCCAACATTTCGCGGATCGCCGTCAAATTCGGTTTCGCTTGGTAGCATAGCGCCTGGAGGTACTTGTTGATCAAGGGCAAGTCGTCTTCCCCGCTCAGCTCTGTCTTTGGGAGCTGCATGTAGGCCGCCCTGGCCCCTGACAAGTCTTTTGCCCGGATCTTGAAGTCCATCTGGAGAAGGTATGTCGTCGCATCAGGGCGGATGCTGAGCTCGCTCGAAAACGAAACAAGCCTGTCTGCTAAATAAGGGTCGCTTTTCTCAACTGCGACCTCTAAAAGACCGTTGATCGTTTGGGTGTCTGGCAGGAAAGAGCTATCGTCTGGATTGTGGCGAGCGACAACTTCGAACATGCTCTTGATGTCATCAAGCCCCTTGCCCATGGATAGTACCGCCCATTGATAGATGACATCCCAATGCTCTTTGCTCGGGTTTGCGTCAACAAGTTTTTTGAAGATTGGCGCCGTCCAACCGCGCTGGTTGTTTCTCACAGAAAAATGTAAGATTTCTTTGAACGTCCTAGGGCTTGGATGCTCATTATTGTGAGCCGGCCTTAGAAACCACTTCTTGGTCTCCAAAACGTTGTCTTTCTTCGCAAAGAAAGTTGTCATAATCTCATGAAAACTTGACGTGAAAGGCAAGCCAAATATCTCGGCCTTTGTGACAGCTGCCACAAGCTCTGCCTCCCGACCTTCTTCTGCCAGTCCCTGCAGGACATTAACCCAAAGATTCTGCGCGCCAGGTCGCTCGGCTTCAGGTAACTGAGCCCAATGTTCCTGCAAAATGGAAAAGGCCTCAGGAGATGCGCCAAATAATGTCAGGGCGACTAGGTACGACTCAAAGTCCTCTGCAGCACCAGGATCCGTGGGATCCAATGCTCTTTCCTCCTTGATCGCATCATATAAGAGCTTGGAGAATTCCAAATGGTCTTTGGTATCCTCTCTGGGCAATTTCAGCAAAGCTTCCCGCGCACTCGTCAACTCTGACAAAGTCAGACCCGGTCCCGGCTCGTCGTCCTTATTCTCGATCAGGTATCTCAGCAGATTGCGACAGTGTAAGGCCTGAGTGCTATTGACGACGATGTTGAAGCGCACTTTGTATGCGAACAGATCCCGAAATGCCTCAACCAGCTCAGTTCTCGATGGTGGCCGTACGCTTTCCAACAGGCGATTCCTCCATGTCAAGACCGTCGTCCACCCGGGCTCATACTCTGGCTTCTTGATCTGTCTTGGGGGCTTTTGCAGGATGCCAAAGAACGTCCGGCGCGGGGTTCGTCGAGAGAGGGATATCGTCGATGTTACCGGGAGATGCGTATGACGACACGCTGAGTGGGAGAGAATCGAACAGGCGGGGATGCCGCCCCTAGGAACGAGGACCCGTCGATAGACATGCCGGGCTATTTGCGCCCTCATGGTGTGGGTTCAGTGCTCTGCTCGAGGGGTTCTTGAGGGCATTTAGTTCCGAATCTGCTTGGGAACAGCTTCAAATGGACGTACCTGGGCATTTCCAGACCAAATCAAACTAAGCGCGGCATGTGGTGACGCTCAATGCCGGTATTTGAAGCTCCTAAAGATTTTCGAAATGGAATTTGGGGACACTGGAGCTCCCGGGACTTGGGAATCACGGTAGCTGCCACCAAAATGCGACCCGCGCTTGGGGAAGACCCGCAGATTACCCGAGCTTAGTCATCGAAACTCAATGCATCCCCCGGCGCCTTCGGTGTCATTGACTACAACTTCACTCTCATTATTGGAATCAAACGCAACTTCGGTGTCAAATTTGCATCGCGATCGCTACCTTTTGGGAGGGTTTAATCCCTTAGAATTTACTCTCCATTGCAAATTGGGACTTGCACAAGGGAGCTCCCGCCCAAGTCTTGAACCACTGACATCTGGTCCAATTCAAAGCATCTTAATCGTCATCAGTGCAACCAACCATTTATTCATATCCAAGCTGGCTAAGACTTCCGTTAACCAGTAGTAAGACTTTCTTCAACAATTTGATTTCTTATCAATGAAATAAGCTCATGTGCAGTCACTGAAATCTAATATGTGATCGGAGCTGATCGGACTGAACAGATAGACCACTAGGACCACCGAGAAACCTCATGCTTTTGGGGCTGATTGGTAGCAGTGAGGAACACACGACTGGTCGCTTGTTTGCGATGACAAAAAACGCCATGAGATGGCAACCGCGAATGTGTCGTTGACCTGAGGAGTCGGCAGCAGATGCCGGCGGGAAGAACTCCAGACGATCCGGAGATCTAGCTCCTAAGACCAGCGCTCATGAGCCATGAGAAACGGGCTATGCGTGCGCTCTCAAATCCGGGTTATGACCGGAGCTGGCACCTCGGTGTCAAGTGTTCTTCTTCCCATTCATTTGTCTTCGCCGGGCCGCATGGAGCACAAACACGCTCAGACCCACGATGAAGTCAGTGCGGAACCTGAGCTTAGCTACGATGTCATGGGAACGGACTCATTCAAGTTGCTCGAGTGAGACACATTTACGGTGCAAGTGCATCCCACCGACTTGTTCTCGAAGGTGTCAACTTCATTTCCCAGCACTTGCGAAAACGCCTCAGAAGCAAAAGAAAGACAAAAAATAGGGCACGGAAATTTTCGAACTTATAGTCAGTTTGACGACGGTGACGTGCGTTCTTGTGAGTTCCTGCAAGCGCGAGATTATCCACATCCAGTGTGACTTACCGCAGATAGGATACCTGAAGAGAATCTTCCTGCTATCCCGCCCCGGAGTACAGTCCGACTTAAGCCGCCGGGAAGATTTATACCCCGATAGCTTGACAGTACACCGCCCGACTAGCCGACAGGTCCTTGGACTCACAAACTTCATATGGCCGGCGGTATGTCCAGATCTCGCAGCTCCAGTCGTGGCTCTCTTGCGAAGCAGACGTCAACTCCGCCGCAGAGGACACATCAGCCAAAGAGAAAGAATGGTGACAGAAATGCTCGCTGCTACTTCTGTTGCTGCTGGTGCTGTTGGATAGTCCTCATCTTAGTCGCCCTGTCCTGTGGCTCCATCCTCCTGATGGCTACATCTCTCCCGTTGCCGGAATCGGAGCCGTTTATCTTGTAGGCCGGGGCGGAAGCTACAAAAATCCATTAACGCAGTGACCCCACGACCGGCTTCATGATGGCTACCCTCAAGTCGTGATCCTTTAGGATTCTTGTCTCAATTCGACGCCGTTCACACGCCTCTCGTCCTTCTAGCCAACGACACCACGACTTCAGCCCAGGGAGGATATAAGTTGTTGCTCGACCAAGTCGAGGTTGAGCCTCTGTTCCTTCAGTAATTTTCCACTGCATCCTTCTATTCCACTCTCTTGAACTCTTCATTCGATGAAGATGCCCACCCTGCCAGACTCCATCGACACCGTTCCTCAGGTCACTTTGTCCTCTGTCGCTGTAGGCAAAAAGCGACAGCCCAACTACTCCCTCATCCCGGCCCAGGAGAGGTCCTGATCCGTGGTCCAAGCGACCGGCCTCCTTACTCTCGACCAAAGGCTTTGCGACCTTGACGTCTTCAATGTTGCTTCTCGCCTTCCTCTGGTGCTTGGTATCGACATTGTCGGCACTGTCGTCGAACAGGGTTCGCTTTCGGCTGCTCCAGTTAACACCCTTTCTCCGCCTTTCGGCACCCTGGTTCTTTTCCAGGATAACCATGGTCGAACGCATGCCGGCGGCTTGGCCCCCCGTATGTCCTTGCCGACCCTCGATGCTTGATTGCTGTCCCAGGAAGAGTTTCCTCCTTCCAAGTCGCGACGTTCGTCACCAACCCCTTTCCTGCGGCTCTTTCTCTTTTCCATCCATCTGGCCTGGGGTCCCCTCCTCCTGTCACTGATCCGGGCTTCAAGTATCGAAAATCCCATGTCATCGTCCCTTGGCGCGGCCACAATTGTCGGAACTTTCGTCGTTCGACTTGCGGCGATTGCTGTCATCGGAACCATCATAGCCACCTCCTCCAATGACTCCTCTGCGACACTCCAGCCCTCGGGGCAACTCATGATATTGACCGGTCCTCCTCTTCTATTCCGTCCGAAGCCCAGCGTATTCTCGGATCTGCTCCTCCGCATGTTGTGGAGACAATTGTCTCTGGGCATCCCACCCTTGCTGCCTCTCTTCTCGCCCTCACGGATGTCCCGAAGACTGTCATGATGTTGTCGTCCTCGGCTGGTGCGGACACTGATGCTTTGGTCGAACGAGGCATTTCCTTGCCCGACGTCTATGGCCCCTTCGAGGCCCATCCAGATGCCTTAGAGCTCTGAGCCGCAGCACTTCCCAGGTAGCTGTTGTCTGGCGAGGTGAGAACCCTCTTTCAAAGGGTAGTCCCCAGTGTCGACCCGCGACTCGTCAACGCCGCACATGATGACATCGGGAGAGGTAATGGGGTAAGGTATGTCGTCAACATAGGAATAGGTGATGATGGGGGGAAGACAGAGGAGATATATAGACTAGAGAGCGGAGGCAGATGGGGTAAACAGACCTGGAGTAGACCAGAGGCACAGCAAGCTAAGATGCTGGGGGTGTTGTACAAGATCCGTCACTTTACGGACGATCTTGTCCCATCATCGCCTAACCTGCTGCCGCCGTAATATCGGACAACAGCTCAAGCCAGGGTATTGTATATCCCTCACCCTCGGTCAACAAGAAGTCATCCGATGACCGAGAAGGCCGGCCAAGGGAAAAGAAGGAATGAAAAGACGAGGAAGTGCATAACAGGGGCTCAGAAGAGAAGAAGAGATCAACGACTCACCGCAATATAGTCCAGTATACTTCCTTAACCCCCACTGGGAATCATGTATCTCTTTCTGAGTCCTCCCCTCTCATTTGTCCAAGTTGCTAGTAGTGACAGAAGTCCGTTCCAGACTTGCATTGGGTCCTGGCTCCGCCTCTCCTCCCCCTCTCATTCCCTGCATCTCTTTACTCTAGCCCAGTCACGAAAGAGTCTAGTTGCTTTTTTGCTTGAAGCTCTCTTTTCACTTGTCGTTTGCCCAGTTGAGTCCGCGCGGCATCGTTGATCACGGGGGTGTGTATTTGAGTCCTGTATGGCTGGAAGAATACGGTTAATTCCATCTAGTCCACGGGCAAGAGAAGTGGGTGTGGGAGGATGCCTCCTGAGGCGTTCACGTCTGCGTTTCAGAGATGCAAGTGCAGCTTGCGCTGACTGGCTCTCGTCGACTTCCGGCGCACCCTCTATCTCAACCTCATAGGATGTCGGCCAGCTCCGCGCTATATGTTCTCCTGGCACCGGCCGGCCCTATCCAGTGACGGGTCTCAGATTGACGTCGCGCTTGCGTAAGGCTTCTCCTGAATATGGTAGCGAGGGGAGAACTTCTGGGTTTCGTCTGGACGCAATTGTCTGAAGGGAACAACAAGAAGAGGAACGACAAGAGATGGAAACAGAATCGGCAGCCGGACAAGAGGGGTATACAGAGAAGGCAAGAGAGGGAGACTGGAACGGGCTAATCCTAGAACTGCCATCTGGAAATCATTCTGATGTCGGTGATCCGAGGGAAATTTGATAGACGGTTGACGTCTCGACCGTGCGTCGTCATTCACGCTCCTTCGACACCTTACGATGGGGCTAAAGGGAGCGTTCGGGTACGGACTTGCCCTCACATCACCGAGTCGACAAGGCAACCGGCCTACGCCAAGAACGCAGCTACCGGACGAAATAGCAAAGGGCCAACCGAATCCATACGAGATTTCCATAGCCCGACGCGCCTACTGGCCAGGATTATCACCAGACTGGGACCAGATTGCCAACGGCCAGAGTCTATTTTCAGTTGCTTGAACTACAAGCTGACAGACCTATACAGATGAGTCCAGAGACAATGTGTTAGAGAAGGAGACAAAAGACTGCGGCTAATCGCAGTGGTCAACTGCACACGCGTGGCACGAAACGCGCAACTCCGGAGCTACGCACCGGAATGCCGCACCGGAACCTGCTTCCTGCGGTTAAGAAGAAACAACGACTACCTTTCCCATTTTGCAGGCTGTTCGTTTCCGGCCTTCGTCTCCGATGGCGTTCTCTTCACTCCATCAGATCAGGGGCTTCGGAGGCAGGAACCATGGTTGGCAAGCAGGGCGAGGCAGGGAACGGCTTCCTACTCCGTTGCCCAGGGCCGGGGTTGGGAGATTGGGAGAGGTCAAGATCGTCAGGCGACTGGCGGGACAATACTCTACGGATTGAGATCCTTGAAAGTGTGTAATACACTTCACAGACATGTTGCCCAAAGGGGCGAGAATGTAACGGGAAAGACGCTTACTGGCATGATAGACCGGTCAATTCGGGCACGACATCTCAAACATGACCGACTGCGGACTTGGGAACATCTAGACCACAATCCATTGTGTTGCAATGTCCGGACAACAAAGATTGGTTTACAGCATCAAGGCCCTGGTAAGTATTGGATATCGGGTAGCAACAGCAGCTGGAGTCCACATTACACAATTTACTGTACATTGCAGCTCGACTCTACTCCAGACCGGGCCGTCCATCCTGATCAGTATCAAAGAGAAGCTCAAAGACGGACACTTCTATACTTGACACCATGAGACCGTTCTTGAAGAGGAAGCGCCGTTTGACTAGAAACAACCAAGCCACCGAGGAAACCCTACTGAAGGATCGAGAGCTGGGTCTCCTTCACCTGGTCCTATAATCACCGGACACCTTCATCTAGTCCTGCACGACAAAATAGAAGGAGCACTGCGCGCATACGTCCGTCCGGGGACGACGCTATCCCTACCCTGGACGTCCCGTTGGCGACATTGCGGCTCCTTGGCCATGCTTCAGACCTGACGATCAGCACGTTACCGAGCCGCGAAAGGCTTAGCTTGCCGACGGGGCACATACGGCAGAACTGTCAAGCTTCCTTGCGGTTCTTTCTTTTCTCTGCGGACACCTTTAAATTCCCGGACTTCATAGACGCAAGTGTCCGTAGAGCCCATCCATCGTGTTCGGCGTTGGCCACAGCTAGCCGTCAGCCCATGAATCTTCACAGACGTGCCAGAACAGTTTGGAGTCGACGTCTATCAGAAGCATTACTTGGACGTTCAATATTGTAAGCAAGGGACCAGAACAGGGGGTGCGGGATAAAAATGGACGAACTTCTCGCTGTGCATGAACGACTTGTACAGAATCGTGGGGTGTGTCAACTCGCCTTCGCCCGACGATGCAACAGTGAGATCCCGTCTTGGGATCGCGCAGCTCCATGTCCGGCTAGCAGTTTTCTTCGGACGTGATTAGTTTGGACAAAAAGTATTCACAAAAACAAAAAAGAGAGAGATGGAATCGAACTGTTGGTGGCGCCGTCGAGCTCCTCCCCCCGTCCGAAGGGGTGGCCGCAACCGCGCAACGACGCTTAGTTGGGGGTCCGAAGTTGTCAACTCCGTGATTGTCCGTGGGCACTACCGCGAGACAGGAAACTCGGACGTCAACCTATCCCTTGATCTGCAGAGCCTTTTTCCAACTTTGTAAAGAAATTGGCCAAATGGAATGGTGCTGCAGATTGCCGAGAATCACTTGCACCTTTCCCAACGCTGGTGGCCAGAAACCGCACCCGACCTCCTTTTGAGCGACGTCGTTCCGCGGACGCTTTCCTACTCCATCTTCGGTCTTCTCGGGCAACTCCTGAAGAGCCTCGCACCCGGCGCCCCGGCAGGGAGACGAGGAACATGGGACCCACATCGGTATCGGTCGGTCGGCCCCCTCGGTAGGTTTCCTCGGCGACTCTAGCAACGCGCTCTTACATCATGGCTCGATGGAAGCGGGAGGAAACAAAAGGGGAAACCACCGCGGTTCCTCCTTCAGCCTTGCAAGACGAAAGATCCAATCGAACGACGCTTGCTCTCGGACGGGGTCCCGTCGGGCATCAAGCCAAATTCAACCGCATCAACCGTAGTACCGACACGATGGCTTCGACAAGAGACGGACACCAGCTGACAGCGCGCGCGGGGGCCGTTGGGAACAGACCTCAGCTCTGTCAAAGGCCCTCAGGATACCCTGGATTCATCTTCAGGCTGCCTCGTTCAAGGATGCTGAGAGCAAGAAGCTGACATACATCACGATTCTCAGTTTCCCCATCTTCAAAGACTAGAAGGGCTGGCCTGGAAGAGCTGACGGTACTCGAACTGGGGTAACACGACACCAGAAATCGAAGATCGAATTCCCAATGGATCGACCAGCGGGGAAGCTCATACATACGGTAGCCGCCCGCCCACACCATGCCGGCCTCGGTCGAGCGAACGTGCCTCTGCAGAAACGCCGTGCATGGCCGCCCGCTCCGCCTTCGCCTCTGCACCTGTGCGGGTACCGGTGCAATCCAAGAAACGAGACGGTCCCTTCGCGATTTCGGGACAAGCCAATTTCAATACGCTCCTCGCGACGCGAACAGATGACGAGCTGAACATGGGGGGAAAGGGAAGCGAGGCAAGGCAAGGTACGGCACGGAGCAAAGCAAATACAAGGCATCTTTGGAGCGGGAAAGAGCCCATGTAAGACACGAGACGAGTCAATTACATCAACGTACATTGGTTCAAAATGGACGAGAGAGGGAACAAGCACCGGCAAGGCCAAGGCAGCCTTACGTTTGCTACTCATGCTTGTCAGACGAGAGGGCAGAGAGAAGCCATCCCTTAACGGGCTTGAAATTGACTTGCCCGCATATGCAATCCTCGAAATGATACGAGGATGCAGGCAACCAGGGCTGGGAATGGTTCTTGCCAAGACCGTTGGATTGAAAAGGCACCCAGTGTTGGAGCACCACAGTTGGATGTCTACGGATCATGAGGGACCTTTGGTGTTCAGGAACTCTGGTGCTCAAGGGCATAGGAATCCAGGCCCTATGAGACAGAGGCACATTGCATTTAGATGTCAGACTGACTTGAACCTCCTGATCGTGGTACTGTTGGGTCTTCAATCAGACAAGAGGAATCAAGGCTGAACTCATCCATGTCATATCCCTTCACTGAGAACCAACAAACATAGCCATAATTCCACAATGTCATCAATGATTCCACTTGCCAAAGTCCCACACCCATTATGGTATCTTCACGCCGGGAGAAAAGACGTCGTCAATCTTGCCCACAACTACCTACTAACACCCCCTGCCCCAACCCCAGCTGTCGTCATTGCTTATTCTGCATGGCCGACCGAGGTGGTCAGCTTTCGAGACATGAGCCCTGTTGGGCTGCGTGGGCTGCAGGCTTGCAAAGCCCCGCGGCGAGTGCATTTCCCAAATCTCACTCATCTCTCTTTCTTTGGCCCAGTCCTCACCGACAAGCGAACAAGTAGGGGGGTCTTCCGCTGCGCCCCAAGCACGCAGGTCTCGGAAAATGCAGAGGAGCGGGCGATCCCAGAAGGAATCCCGGTAATGCGGGCCTCGGCATTGGAGCCCCGGTTTGGGGGATGCGGAAGCTTTTGTTTGGTTTACGTGTGCGTGTGTGTGTGTCTATGGTTCTCTGGGGGCGCCTTTTCGTATCATGTACCCAGTCGTTGTAGAAGCTCCTCGAACCGCTGGGCCGCGGGCGGCGCAAAAGAGTTGTGTGCGACACTTGTGTAAGGCCTCGGTCATGGCCGGCCAGGACTTCGTTTTTGGGTTTTGTCACAACCAGAGAGAGTTTTCACACCACAAAAGAAGACAACCTGTCACTAATCTGTCTCCGATTCAATGGAAACATTGACAGGAGTCAAGTTGGCAGAAGATGTGGCGTCAGACTTCTCCTTGACACCACCAAAAAAGGCAACCCCCCCTCAAGTTTCCATTGCCACCCGTATCATGTGGTGTCGCTAATGGCAGCATTGTCGCGTCTTGGGATGACAGGCCCGTCTGTCTACCGTGTCTACCAATTCCTGTGGGTACTTACTTGGCACCACGCGCACTCGCATGGATAAGTCCAAAGCGGGCAGACTATTCCGTCTTTTCGACAACGTCCAAGGGTGGGACCCTGATGAGTTTGCTGAGCCGAGTGCGCGTGCCGATGTTTGGTCCGTATATCGTGATCGATCAGAAAAGCCAATTACTCTAGCTTTGATCCTTTACAATGCTCAACTCCTTTGACAGAGTTTGGTCGATTTGTATAGAGTATTGCCGTTCATCTCTAGCCTCGACATAACTTAAGTGCTTGCAGAATTCCTCCAAGGCCGCTGTTTGAAGTCGTCCGCGCTACTGTGCTTGTCTGCACGCTCGACCCAAAATACTTCTTCTTCACGCTCTGTGGTGGGATGAGGTTCTTGATGGATTCTCTCTGATAAATTGTGATCCGTCAATGTGGACCTAGATCAAGTCCAACATTGATTGCATGGACGTAATTGTTTTGAGCGTACGGGACGAGCGCTGAAAACGACACAACGACATGCCGACATTGTCAGTGATGTTGCCGACTCATGCACTCAACGGCTTCCGTCCTGCGATGCCCTGCGAGGTAGCACGCACCATGAGGATACCGTAGCATCTTCGCACGTACATCTCTCGCAAAGACAGAGCAGACATGGCAGAAATCCCAGCATAGGCGGCCTGGTAGCAGGGATAGAGCCGTGTTGTTTCGTTTCAGCTGAAGTCCTTGCTTGGTTGCATCCGATCAGTGCCATCCCCTGGTGAATTCAAAGTATTCCCCTGCTAGGAAGGTCAAGCCCAGGACACAGACGGCGTCCAGAATGTCTCGACATCTCTTGCAATTGCCCTATACGGCATGCGACTGTGTCGTGATCGTAAATGTAGACAAGTGGCGGCTGTCACAACTGTCTGCTGCCCTGCCAACAGCTTGATGGTGTACAGCTGTCTTGTCTAGGAAGTCGTTTGACAGAAAGGGAAACACCCGTCTGAGCGGCTCTCGGAGTACCCGATGTATTTCCTCTTCGGGATACTAGACCACAAAAAAGGGATTGGTGATAGTAACTCGTGTCGCCTGAAGCAAAGCCGTGGAGACCGGGAAGCTCGGTTCAGTGGACTGCAAGGCGCTGCTGCTAGGTGGAAGTGGATTAGAAGTAGGCTCGAGCAACCGACTAGGCCGATTAGCTTAGGTAGATCCTAACCTGACACAACGGCGAGGAGACTGAGTGTGATGAGTGGGCCGGGTTATTTGTAGAAAGAAGGAATTATGTGGCTGGAAGATGTTCAAAGGTGTGGCTCTGCGCCCAATAACGATTCGGCGGCATATCAAAAGTCGCAATGATTCCGGCGGCATTGGATGGTTGATGAAGCCACCCGGCTTGCGGGAGTCAAGATCGGCGCCGGGCTGGGGTTGGGCGTCAGGATGGACAAGTTCCCGCCGATGGTTCGTGTATAGGTGAAGCCGTTGTGCCGAGTACACTGAATGCATGGGCCAACTCCACGTAAGCTGATTGGGCGTTGTTGTGTCGTGAAGATGAAGTTGGAAAATGTAACGCGGCAGGCGGGTCAACAACCCGCCGGACGGCCAAGCCACGTTTGCAGGAGGTGCAGGAAAACGAGATGCGACGAAAAATTACGATGCTGCACAAAGACAAGCCCGGCAATGTACGGTGGGATCGGTGACGGTGGTGGCTGGCGATAGCCTTGGCGATAGCCAGATGGGGATTTTGCAGTCTCGGGAACGAAGAAGGCTGCGAATGTGAAGAGCAATGAAACGCTTGAAAAAAAAAAGGCGCGTGAGGGCAGGTCAGGACATCGTCGGATCTTCGTCATCTGAGCAAACGGGGCTGCCGATTTCTTATCGAGATGCACGCAGCGTAGCGTTGAGCGCACATCAATGACCAGAGCGGCCGCGCCGGATACGGGAGAGTCACCATGAAATGGACGAGATGATGGCAGTTGAGCTGAGACTATCGGGAACTAGGCACGAATGCCTGCGGGACTGTTCGGACCGCAAGGCTCTGGAAAACTGGGAACGTCGGCTTCGTATGCAGTATTGTGCAATCCTAGGTGACGCTGAAACGGTGTCTGACAGAGAGCCAAAGTTTCTGCCCCTTTCACGTTGAAAGTTCGCATCGCGTCAGGCCGATGATAGGAAACAAGAGTTGGTAGCAGCTTGCCTGTTGGGTACCTTGGTCATTTAGGCGTAGGAAGGTCACCGAGAGTGAACAGTGCAACCATGTGAGGTGGCAAGGAATGGCCGACTCATGGACGGCTCAATGCCCGCTTGAGTCCCTGTCAAGCGAGCCTAGGGAGGCTGACGGAAGACTGGTTGCCAGGGTCGATTGACCAGGATCTCCAGGCCTTGCGAAATGCTGGCAATACGAAATTCCCGAGTCACCGTTTCGACCGTCAATCTGCTGTCCTGAGGCTGTTCCCTAGGTACCCCATTTCATTTGACGACCGTCTGAGCGGTGCTACGCTGTCGCGTAAGGGTGCAAGCGCATCTTTTTGGAACAGCGCGAGGAAGAAGGTGAGGCAGCCGTCGTGAGCCCGTGAAATGCTTGGACTGTGGAGCGACACGGTCGGAGAATTACCCCTTCCCCCAGGAAGATGCCAGTGAACAGCTACATGATTCGCCCGCCCGCTCGGTCCAAGGCGGGGGAGACGTATCTTGTCAAGAGGCGCCGAGACTGACATGGGAGAACCTTGCCTGCAGGTGTATTGTTGTAGCCTGTATCCGTAGGGCGACGAAGAACCCTGGTAACCCCGATCGTGCCCACCCCTGGGCGGATCAGTGGATATGGCAACCATTTTCGTGTGCGGTGGGTGGGTAAGTGGGTGATGATTCGTGATACTGATAGTCGATGCCACAATAGGGGTCTGGCCGGGATGGTCTTCGGTTTCGGATCAGTCATCTGTCGTTCGCAAATCACTCGGAAACGAGGGGAACGAGAACGAAAAGACACTTGTCTGGCTGGCTGGATCCAGGTCAAGCTGGCAAAGACCGAAACTTGGGAATTATCCCACATTGCACCTCAGAGCAACCACATGCGCCAGGATTCTTAGCCGCATAGCAGCCGGGAGCGAAATAGGAGCGGAATAGGAGCGCGCTAGCAAGGACAGAAATATCCAATCCCATTGCGAGGAGCTTATTTTTAGCGGAAGGTGGCGGCGGATAACTGTCGCCGCTTTCTTTGCTTGCTCCTCCGAGTCTTAGACTAGGTACTGCGTCCGACATTGCATTTCTTTTCCTAGAGTGGTGACATGTGGCCTCTGGCCAGGCTCTGGACTTTGGAACAGGCAGTCCAGACAGGATTGAATCAATCGTGAAGACGCAAATCTGCTGGCTGGAGCTCTCTTGCATGTTGCTTTTTGGCTGTCGCTGGCGTGTGCTTGTGCTACGACATTGAATCTCTTTTGTCTAGGCCAATGGCTATGGACGGCAAAGCTACTCTGCAGCGTCTGATGATTGTTGTTGTTGTTCCATATCTGGGTGCAGAAACATGACTCTCCTTGATTAGGTGCGCACAGCCAGAGCCGGTCTGTGGAGATGTTTCTCGAAGCCGCTGTCGACGACGTGGCGTCTGTGGACTCGAGCTGCGCTAAGAAGATGGTTGAGTGATGAGACCACGCGACCACGCCATAATACAATGAGGAGTCTTTGTCCTACAGCAGTTGTAGGAATCCATAATCAAAGGATTAAAGCTTGGTTGCCTTGCAGGGAGTTGAGCCTCGGGGAAGCCATCATCAAAGGATTGAAGCTCGGTTGTCTGGCAGGGAGTAGAGCCTCGGGAAGGTCTTTACAGAGACAAAATAGAAACAACCGAGTAAGTTTGGCCACTATGAGGGTGGAGATGTGAGTGGACACGACTCGAGGCGAGTGGGTAAGATGTGCCGCGTGTGGTGTTTGGAGGAGCCGGTGGGAGGTCCAAGATCTGATCAGAGTGTGTGGATTGATTCACGTTGCACCTGCATTGTGCCTACTTCGTTCGATAGGAGCAATCCTGAAGGGCCACGAAGGTTTTGTGCAGAAGGTGCAACTCGTGGCTCGAATCGACCCTGGCTTCTTTTTCCCAGCTCGTGATGATGACTTCGGTGTGGTCTGGGTTCTGATCTGTGTCTCGCACACGTGGAGATGAGGTGAGCTGGAGGAGGCTTGGCCTGCCGTGGTGAGGGTGTCGAGTGTGGATAAGATCGCTCCAGACAGGCGGTAGGCCTTGGATAAGCAGGAAGGATGCTCAGATGAGGAGATACGACGATGCATATCCGTAAGGTACCTTGAGGTAGTAACTGAAGGTACCTAGGTACGTGTGATAAGGTAGGTGGCACGGTGGGTAGGTGGGCAGGCAGGTAGGGTTGCCGGTACCTTACCTTCGAGGTTGCTGGAGGATGATAGGGGATGATACCTTAGGGGGATGATTTGGGGATGATCATAATTCCCACAAAAATGTGCACGGTCCCATTCCTCTCTCCAGTCTCCCTGTCCAAGCCCCACCTTCAGCCGAGATGTATTATGTCAGCTCGTGGCTGAGTAAGTTGCAGATGGGCAGGGGACCCTTCCGGGCAAGATCCGCTGGAAGGGGAAGCACGACGGACGGGGCAGATCAGGGCGGCCCGGCTTTCGGGAGAGGGCGGGTACGTACCGATAGACTTTATGTCTGCTTGTTCTGCTACTATCCCCAACTCCTCCTTCCCCAATCCCTCCCCAATCCCTCTCCAATCCCGCGTGCCCACTGCCCACCCTACCACCTCTGTCGACTTCATCTCATCTCACACCCTTCGGCGCGGCCGTAACGACAGACACCATCTCACTCATCTCCTCCCTCCCCTTGCTTATCCTTCTTCGCCGCGGACCCTTCCCTGTCTTAGGTGCGACCCTAGCGTTCACTCCCGTCCTCCGTACTATCTCAGTCTATCTGCACCACAAATGAAGGATCGTCGTCAACCCGCAGGGTCATCGTTCACCGTTTAAACCATCACCGAACCTTGCAGTGTTAGCGCAGCCATCGTCGCCCGAAATCGATTCTATTCCCTGGCCCAAATACGGCCCCCCCTTTGGTGTTTTGCCAATCCTCGACGTCCATCCTTCACCAAATCCACGTCGAATTACGATGTGCAACGCTTGTCATCAATGACAGCGACATCTGCTCAACCGCCTGGTCCATATGGACGCTTGTTGCTCGCTTCTCAGCCAGTCAACACACGTTTGATGCTTTTTTCTTGCATCCAGATCTGTTGGCTATCGATTCTGACAGCTTCATAACCTTGTCGTGGCTTTTCTCCGACGCTGATGTGTCTAAGCATACCGACTTACGTATCTGTCGCCGCACCAAGGCTCCCGCGCGGCTTGGTTCTTTTTTACTTCACTATGATCTTGCTGCACTCTTTGCCGCTGCTGCAATGCGTGAGCAAAAGTCTGTTGCTGGACTCTGCGCCAGCGTCTGCGCCAGCGTCTGATACTGCCTTTGCGCAGCCTCAGAAGCAGCGCGATGCGGCTACGCAGCGCAGACCACCCCTTGGCTTCTACGGCTGGTCCAGGTATTGACAAAACCCCCCTTTGTTTAGTGCTGTCAAACGTCCATTTTAGGGAAAACGCGGCGCCATTCCCGCGGGTGGGACTGAGGTAAGGTAAGGCAGGCCATCCCACCCACCCACACGGCGTATGGGAGACACACAGGCTCAGCCCAGCCTCCCACACGAACCGTGACGACATGTCTCCCTCCCCGTTTGCCTTTGCCTGGGATCCGATTGTCCTGCCAGTTGGCACAGGCCTGTCGAGGCAGAAACAGATGGCACGCGCCAATGGCCTCTCAGTCTTGGTCGATCTGCTCCGTGCCTTGAAACCCGGCAACCCGCGGCATTCAGAGATATCCCGGCCAACCAGCCGGCTGTCCCAAGGTCTTCCCTAGCTCACCAGTTGACTATCATGGATCCTCTGTCAATGACCCTCTGTCGACATTTCTTGGCTCTCTTTGACCTTGCTGTTCGTACTCGTTCGGCCGGCAGAGGTCATCTCTACACCCACCCACACGCTTCGCTTAACCTTCTCTGACATTTTCTCTCTCACCAGCCTCAGAACGTTCATGCTTACTTGACTGTTGTCATCCTCTCTCTCAACTCTTTGAACTCGCTGCCGTCTTTCTGTCTGGTCCATCCACAACTGGGTTTACTCGCAAGGCATCCCACCTCCCCTCCTACCCCTTCGGGATCATCCCATTTCTCGTCTGTGCCCTGGCGTTTCTGTTTGATCTTCCACGCCCCTCCTACCCTCACGAAATTGAACGCCGTATCCTTTCCCGCTCGCCGAACGCTCCCTCCCCCTCCACCAAGCCCCATGGCCGTCCTTTATCTCTCCCCGTCGCCGCCGCCACGGCGCCGCGGCCCCTGTCAAACATAAAGCTTACTCAACTGGGTTAATCAGTACGAACGCACTGCTCAGGTACCTCGCACCGTTCCCCCACCTATCTTTGGCCGTTTGTTGTTGGACCTGGCTAGTGCATGGCTCCAATGTACGCAATACGAAATGCCGTGGTCTGTCTGCTTCAAGCGAATGTACACACATACGCATACACAGGTCCCTCTTGATCCCATAGCACGCACTACTGTATCCTGTTATGCAACCTGGTGCCTTGCGTGCCTGTGTACACCTCATCATCATGGTCATTAATGTCCATGTAATGTGACCATGTAATGCCCAGGCTGGCCCAAAGAGCAATGTCTTCGCCGGCCACAGACCTCATCGACTTGTAGTATCCACAAATATCTCCAGCCATGCTTCCAAGACTGGTTCCATGGCGGCTGAACACACGTCGGCGCCGTTTCTCCCTCCCCTCATAAGCCCAAATGCCTGATACTAAACAACCAGAGCCAGTGCCGGGCCACCAAGTAGCCTTGTATCCTTGCTCGAGGATCCATGTTGCACATCTCCATGTGCTCCATTGTCTTGCGTTCAACGACTGTGCGTACTCAGTCTGCTTTTCGTCCTGAAGCAGGCACCGCCTCGGCCTCCCGAGATCCCATCGCCCGTCACCCACACTATTACCAACCCTATCCATCCAAGCTATTCCCACTCTGCTGGTAGAAGCTGATGCCATGCCCAGACCGCTTCCGTATTCGCCGAGCTGACGGGTCCCATGCAACCCTTGCCCGTTGTGCCAGACCCTGCTCCATACATTATTCCTCTCACTCCTCGACTTGGCTTCCGCGATATATTTCAAAACCGTCCACCCTTTCCGCCTGCTCCGTACAGAATCCTAGAGGAACTGTACTTTCTTACTACACGCTCATATTCACCCTTCACCGCTGCTGCCAAGGTCGTAGGCGGAAGTTTGTTCAGAAATCGATTCAGCAGCCTCTTTGCCCAACCGAACCCTGCGCTGTCGACCATTCCGCCGGGCCCCTTCTTATTACACGGCAACCCCTCCCAGTTCATAACTCACCCTTTCTACCTCTCATATTTGATACATACTACACACTCCACTCGAATATCTGTACCTCAGAACTCATTCAACGAGTACGTAGCCCTGCGTGCTTCAACAATCCGACCCATCGAATTCGAACAATACATCGACAAAGGTTGCTTAGGAAGTCGCATCATCCGCTTGCCGCTTGGTTGATGATAGCTCCTATATAGTCACCTCAAACTCGATCGCTTGAAAGCGACCACTTCAAAAACAACCATCACAATGGTCTTCTGTGCATACTGCGGGAAGTCCTTCACCAGGAAAGAACACCTGGAGAGACATATCCCAAGTCGTACGTTGATTCCTGTGAGGACACCGGTCGAGACCGAGCAAACACTGACGAGTCTGACATAGACACCAACGTAAAGCCACACCGCTGCAGTGCCTGCCAGCTTTCTTTCGCACGACGGTTAGTCTGAACATTGAACGACTTGCAGAGACAATCAACTCACACATTTTATTAACAGAGACCTTCTGCAAAGACACCACTCGACATATCATGAGGCACGGGACCCCATGGAGCCCTTGCCTGGTGGTGTGCCTACCGTAGCTGGCCGGACACCAATTGCTTGCCAAAACTGCGCCAATGCTAAGACCGGTTGCGATAAGAGAGTACCCTGCTCGCGTTGCGCAGAGAAAAACCTGCCTTGCGCAGCAAGGTTCGCCAGGAGATCATCAAAGGCCGCAGTCAGAGCTGCCCAAGCCAGCGCGGCTTTCCAACAGCAAATGATGCCGACTGTACCCCAACCGCCACAGCCAGCTCAGCCTGTTGCTTTCATGGATCTCGACCCAACCATGCCTAAGCAGGACTCTCCTGGGAAGATGTCAACCGGATCCCCAATTGCCACCATGGACCCTCGCATGATGGAAGGGCCTGTGAAGAAGAGCTCACCAGCCCAGTCGCACCCCAGTTCTGATGACTTCCCCTCCCCGCACAGCCGCGTGGATGGACTCGACGAGTTTATGCAACTCAACAACGACTTCATCACGCCCGACACGAATTACCAAGACATGATGGTCTGGCCTGAATACCCTCTGGAGCTCGACATGTATTCCAGTCAGCTTTCGATGTCGCGGCCCGACATGACGATGCCGAATTTCACAGAGCTGAGCGATATGTCCTCGAGCTCAGCATCAGAGCCAATGACTGCCTCGTCTTCGCGTGGATCAATTCACACACGAAGCACCAGCATCATGTCCACGGCTGACTTTGACACTACAATGAAGCCAGCTGAGAAAGCATTGGTTATGCCCAATGAATCAGCCATTCCAGAGTTCGAGGTCGTCATTGCTGCGGAGGACTCGTGGCCACTCGCTCGCTGTAATCCGCCCATCTATTCCGGCACTTGCCCGAGAACGGCGATTGTGCACTTGGAATGCCTGGAAAGGAAATCCAAGGAAGATGGCACCTGGAGTTCGCTCGAGAAGTATCTCGAAAACGTGGATTGGGACACCACCGATGCCTCCGTCGTTCCTCTCACATCTCGCACGCGCGACCGGATGCTGGCCATTACGCAGTCGTTCCTTCAGAAGGCGCTAGACATTCACCGGAGCAACAACGGGTACTCCAAGACCGGATATGCTACACCCAGCGAATTCAACTTCATCGTTCTGCCACCTACGAAGATCCTCGAATACTTTCTCCGCAGCTACGTTCGCAGCTTGCAATACTACTACCATCTCATTGTTGCGGGATGTGTTGATCCCAATGAGATGTTGCTGAACAACCAGGCGTCGACATTGCTCCTCCTCTTGATGATCGCCCAAGGCGCTGCGGCAGTGCCAATGGCTGAGGCCCGGTACCTAGCCGCTGGTCTGACCGAAACCTGCCGCATTTCCCTCTTCGACATCATTGAAAAGGATGTCGAGTTGTCTGCGGACCCGGTCGCCTTGAGGTGTGCGCTGCTCTTCACCCTTCAAGGTGCTTGGAGTGGCGACAAGTGGTTGATGGACATTTCGATGGGACAACGGGGGATGTACTTGTCGGTAAGCAGCCACAATCCTCCAGGCGTGCTAAGAATAAGTCCACTGACGTAAAGCAGATGCTCAAACACGCCGGCATGTTGGAGCCTCAACCAACCATGATTCCTACATTGAACAGCACGACAAGCACCGAACTCAAGTGGCGGGCCTGGTTGCATCGCGAGATGCAGAACAGACTCGTCTACAACTGGGTCATGTGCGACCAAGAGCTCAGTCTGTTCCACGACACCCCACCGCAGTTGGCCATCACCGACCTACAGTGCCCGCTCCCCAGCCCCGAGGCCCTCTGGCTTTCGTCAAACTCGGAGCAGTGGTTTGCAAACGTGCAGAATCTCTACGGATGCACTGCGAATGTCAACCCGCAGCTTCTATCTAGCCCTTCCCTAACCCCCTCTCTGTGCGAACTCTTCCAGGACTTCCTCCACGACAACCTCTCCCGCCGTCAAGCTGGCCTGTCCCCCCAACAGCTTCGCCTTCTGCTTCATCCCCTCCAGTCCCTCCTCTGCCACCTGAGACAAATGCTCTCATGTTTCTCCGATGTTCTCTCTACCCGTCGCGCGACGTCTAGGACGGTGACCAAGTCGAGCACCATGCTCCGCTTGGAGGAAGTTCAAGCACTCCTCCAGAAGTGGTACGAGCTCACCATGCTGTACTACAAGAGCAACCCCAACTGCTCGACCACGCGCTGCAACTTGGTCCTTTACCACCTGATCTCTCTCAACGCCGTCACCAACTTCCCAGAGATTGAGCGTCTCGCCCGTCGCGAAGCCTTCGACGGCTCGTATTGGGAGTTGAGCCTGCGCCACAAGCGCTGTGTCTACAACCGCGAGGAGGCCATCTTCCACTGCGGCCAGGTTCTGCGTCTCTTGCGCTCCATGCCCGCCGACCGCAGGCCATGCTGGTGGGCTGCTGGTGTCTACCGCGCGACTCTCATCCTCTGGGCCGACAGCGTCGCACGCCTCGATCCCAACTTCCAAAAGGCTCAGCAGGCCATGCAGCAGTCTTCGTCACCGTCGTCTCAGCACCAGGGTCAAAGTCCCGAGCATCTTAGTGGCGCTGGCGCCTCTAACGCTGCGACGGGTGGACAGCACGGCAGCGCGAATGTCGTCGCGATTGACCAGGTCACGCCGGAAGATCCGTCCGTCATTTCCTACCTGTGGAGCGGAGGCGACGGAATCGCCGTCCTCACCCGCCGTGACGGTACCACACTGGGTTTGGATAAGCCCGCAGAGGTCATCAACTACGGCATCATGGCCATCGAAGAGGGCGTCACCTGCCGTGTCGGCGATGGTATCAGGCGCAAGCTCATCACTCTCAACAAGAACTGGAACGTGGACGGCCTCGCTAATACCGCCACCGCGTAAGAGGTCATTAGCCTCGTCCTTTCACTGAACATGTTTTAGAAAAAGTATTTTATTTTCTTGCTGTGTTGTTTCCTCTAAACTGGATATATGGCTCTTGTTAATACCGTCCTTCAATCCTGTACAACGTCCTTTTGCATTTCTTCAATCGGCGTTTATGGATTATGACGATGGGTTTATTGGGGGAAACAAATAAACATGACGGGCGGAGGCAAACTCTCCACCGACGAACTGGGAAATACGTACGATGTCACTGGCGTTCTGCAAACAAAGCAGCGATTCAGTTTGACCGGGCTCTGGCATTGGGATTGGGTATATTGTCTTCTGTTTCATTTGATGTTGTCCATTATCTAGATACCTCAGGCCGTTGGTCATGATAGGGAGGGACTTCACTTCATAGCGATATGTACTTTAGTCACTTACAATTACAAGCTTTAACTTGGCTATTCATACAATCATGCCTATTACTTTATCTGCTTCTATTTGGTGAGTTTATTTTTCGGCAATCCATCATTAGTATCAGATAATCATTGCGCAAAAGACAGATGAGATGAAATCGCATGAGTTGACTGACATTGACGGCCCCCGTCCCAAATAGGACAAGGCATATAATATATGTGACAAGCGACACTAATCGGGGGACATCTCACGACAATGATGTTTTCGATAAGATTTCCAGCTTACATGTGAGAACATCCAATGAAGACGCAATCTCATGTCTCATGTTGTCCTTGTACAGCCTTGATCCAGAAGGTCAATCCGACGAGACGGGAAGTCAAACCTTGCGGGACTGATACAAAAAGACTTGTGTGGAGAAAAGCTGCTTCGCGCTTGCCCTGATCAGCAACCAGCAGACCGGGCCATGTAAAAAGAGGGGGGGATCGGATGAAGACTGCGCGGCATGGGGCAGTAAGTTTTTTTCGTGTCGGTCACACCGAGTGGGATGGTGAGTAAAGTAGGTAGGTGCGGCGGATGTAAGGAGCATGAGGCTAAGCGAAGTCGCCAACGAGACGCCCACTGCACACCATCACAGGCAACATTGCCAGGATATTTAGGCAGAGTTGGGGGCGCGCGGGAGGGCTAAAGGTTGATCGAACAAACAGTCTACAAAGCGCAACTGAACTGCTTCCATCCTTGTCCTCCTCTGTTCGTTCTTGTCGTCGCGAAAAGTACAAACCTGGCTCTCGCATTGGAAAACCGAAAGTGGTGGACAGGACAAGGGAGATCTACATGCAAAACATGAACATCACAGGATGCCAACGCGAGGTGTGTCGGTGGGTCGGACTACAGTGATGTGGTCCGGTGACCGCTGATGCCGCTCGGTGGTGCCGGGGCCTTCCAAGGAATTGTTTCCTCGGGCTTCCTCTTGGGGGGAAAATTTGTCTATATTCACGAGAATGAGGCACAGGTCTCGACGGCTAGACCATGCCTCCTCGCATTCGGCCGAAACCCGCGGGCGATTCCTACTCCACGTTCCGAGTTCCGCGTTCCGCGGCGAAGCGTGGATACTTAGTGTCAGCGGAACTAGGGGACGGAGAGTCGCCGTCAACGGGATGACGGACTTAGGCGGAGTGGACAACTGTCGGGTGCCGCACTATTTGCCCTCTGCTTATTGTTCACCGAGACCGAGGGAAGCGTCCAAGGGTAACGGTTCACGGCAGAATTGTGAGTTTCCGAGTAATCCTCCGGTTCGAGTGTGGACGGACTGCTACGGAGGAAAGAGAGTCATGTTGTGTTTCGAAACCTCGTGGTTCTAGATTTCAGCCCTCCTTTGAATAGAGACGAGATGACACCGTTTTGGGACGGGAGGCCGGCAGTTGGAACTGGGACAAGTCGGTTTGCGATTTCATGCCTGTGATTGAGGAACCCAGAAAAGGTCGAGCCAAACGGTCCGTTGTTCCCCAAGGGTGAGGCCTCCCCTTTGCTGGCGGAGTCCGATGCTTCTCATGATAGGCATGTGGCGTTTGGACAGTCCCTTTTTGACATGAGGGTGTGGTGAGGGAAGAGTTGGTGGGCAAGACTGCCAGGGTCCCGATGTATGGGCGTTGCCTCGAGGTCCCCTGTGTTGATAGTCAAAGTCAGAACAAAGTCAGAACTCATTCCGGTAAGGGGGTTGTCCTTGAGAGCATGGAAGAGAAGAGACGGGAACCGATTACCAGCGATCTGGTTTCTAGTAGGTGTGATGTCGAAGCAGAAAAAACTCAGCTCAAGTTCTGAACGCCGTTGAGTTTGACGTTCCGATTACGTAGCTCCACGGAAGGGTGTGCTCGACGGAGGCCCACAACTTGCCGACGGGCGAGTAGCGTTGCTCAAAGTGCCGGTACATCTTCTCGGGGTACACACCCATTCTGTTTCGGTGTTGGTCCATTGGGCAGTTGAAATTTTTTTTGGGTTTTTCTTTTCTTCTTTTTCGGACGGGTAGGTAGTCGTGACGGGAGATTGCCAAGATCCCTTCACATCAAGATGGTGGGTGGGTTGAGTGGGGGGACGTAGGGCGTGGGAGGAGAGGGCCAAGCCATTCAAGGTCAAATTAAGCTTGTTGACAACGTTTTGCATAGGAAACGCCGCCAACCCATCCGGGCAATTTTCGTCTCTGTAAACAAGCCGGATGAGAGGGTTTGGCGGCTCGCCCGGCCCATTGCTTGTCGACAATCTCACCGAGGGATCGTGGGTCACCGAAACAATACTATGATGACTGATGTGACAGCAGTGACTTTTCCGAGGCTGTTTGTTCGGCTGAATTGGAGATCATAGCATCGGGCTCCGAAGATTGTTCGAATAGCGGCTTTCTCAGCTTTGGCGAGGGCTCGGCCACATGGAGCGGCATCCCACAGGCGCCGACATGGACTTTTCTCTAAGCCGTGCCGCGAAACATTTTGAGATTGTTAGCCCTGCGGCCCATTTCGCTTTTCTCTCCTTTTTTCCCTCCCACCTTATTGCCTCGGTTAGCCTACCTAGTGCTGGGAAGCACTGCTTGGTTTTTAATACGGCTCAGATACTCAGCACAAAATCATCCGAAAGACGCATTGATCGGGGTCCCGAGGGCCGAGGCCACAAAGCAGGGTTGTTAATGTTGCCATGTAAGCCACTATAAGGTGACCCGAGTTCCAGTCAGGTCTGAAACGAAGCTACGATGATCTTTTAGGATAATCAAGTATTGATAAGATCGTCCGTCAAGATCGAGGCATTGACGATCTCGTTTGGTGGGGACTCGGGAGCTGTTTTCCAGGTGCAAACAAAACTGATTATCTGACCTAGTTGTTTTGAAGATTTGATTCCGCGGCCAATCCGGTGCATCAAAAAGGCATGCTGAGCCGGCTGTAAGAGCCAAGAAAAGTAAGTCGTTCAGCTAAAACACCAGTGGACGCCAATAGGAATCGCACCCAACTCAACCTACTAAGCGAAGTTCCGCTTCCATTTCCAGATCTTGCGTTTCGTTTGCACCCAACCAACATGCGTGTCACAACTGGGGCTGCGAAACGCCAGTCATAGCTCGTGACCTGGGGCCGCGGTATCGTCTGCATTCATATAATGTCGCCCTAGAAAAAAACTGGTGTCCTGATGCGAAGAAGGCAGAAATCTTCATTCAGCAGAACAAGAAGAAGTACTTCCAGCCCTGCTTGAGCTTTGGATTTTCGAGCTACAGGAGTGTCAGGGCCGTGAAAGAGTTTAATTCTGCATGTCCAGGTCGTCGAACCGACGAACTGGAATGAGGCTGGTGCGCCGGAATTCTTTCATATGCAGCTACATGTAGCTGCTTACCGGTCTTGCGGCTCGCTCTTTTCATTATCGCATCCTCTTTTTCAGGTTTCGTTGTTATTGGCGTTCATGGTGTGACAGGGGAACGAGACGAGAGACGTGGGAGGCTTGGAGCGTAATGCGAGCTATCGTCAGGAATGGGAATCAAAATCATTTCAGAATTTGCACACAAGATCCTCAAGCAACTCAGAATCACTAGCTGAGTCTGAATGATGCGTTGTAAGGCGAAAGAAGTCAAACACTGACAGAGAGTGAATAATCTCACCGGTCTGTCCCTGCCCTTCGTCGACAGGATGAGGGCCTTCAGCCTAAGCCAGTCTTATTGATTGACTGAGTGTCAGCCAGATCAAGGATTTCATCTCTCTCACTTTGGATCCCGCCTTGTTTTCTTACTAGGATGCTAACCCCGTCATAGTGTCTGGCATGCTGGCAGTGAGCGGATTAAGTAGTCAAGGCACGTTAGATGACGGTGAGAAAGTCATGCTCAGTTATCTTTGAAACCCTGAATCGACTGGGCATATTATATTCACTCCTTGAGGGTTATTATTCTGGTTCGTCTTCGTTAATACCTGGAGGCATTTGTTGACGAGGATGAATGGCATCGGCTGAGTGCGAAATGAGCCATGTGTGTAAGGCGTTTCACGGCCTCTTCTCAACTGTAAGTCTTGTACGTGAGGGAAGCGCTTGTTAAATTTTACAAGTCCTCAAGAATCAAATCACAGAAATTTCACAATTCGATATCCAAGCAATGAGGAGTGAAGATAATAACCCCTCTCTCTCCAGGGACATCATCCTCGTTGAAGCCATTCGTGGAGGGCATCGCGGGAAGATGTGGATACTCCCGCGGTGCGACCCATACACAGACAGACACTTTGGTTCTTCCTATGGGGTGGTGACTAAGCCACGTTTCTCTTCCTTTTCCACATCATGATCGTAACACACATTGCGGTATCAACCTGGCCTCCATGATGGGATTCGGACTTTCGCGTTTACGATATTCAGCGCGACTCAAACTGACCTGTCTCTGATGATGACCACAGCAACGGGCGGGCGTCCAATGTCACGGGATTTCTGTCAAGGATGACTTCCTTTGAGAACAAGCTGGACCCCTAAGTACGTACCTTACGACCGGACCTCCGTTGGGGCGGGTGGGAGCCCCGCCGTGGCGGCGACGGGCGAGGGGCACCGGTTCCTGGCGCCGCGCGACCGCCCTGACATGGCTTCGCCCCTAGGGCCGCTAAACGCGACGCTACCGCCATGTAGTCGTCGGATCACCACTGCGGGTTCAGTTGAGCGGGAAATCCGTACGTGCGACTGCTACGGCAACCAGGGGGGACGAGCTGTTTGTTCCGTTCGTGACCTAAAGATAGTCAAAGGAAGGGAAACACAATGAACATGGCCAGAGGGCTGAGGATCTGGTGCCATGCTCCCCACACCTCGTCCTTGGCGAGTCTCTTGCAACACACTCCGGCGGTTGCTTCCGGGCGTTGAGGGGCCCCGAATCCAAGGTACCGATGCACTTCCGCCCATTTTCCTTTAGTAACAACCAACCAGCGAGGGTCCGTTGTGGTATACCGGCAAAACCAACAGTGATCCAGGTGAAGTTTCACCCACAATATGAGGTCACATCGACTGCGTTGCAACAGCGAAGTAAACGCGACGTTCTAGCGCTTTTGCTGGCCGAGGGCTTTGGCTTAGACTCCTGTAGGTAGTGGCGTCTGATCTGAGGACGCCGGGCTGTCCTCCTTCGCCGCCCTTTTCGCGAAGAAGCGCCGCCGGGGGCGCGAACGCGTGGACCTCCCCCATCCCGGTTTCCTCTAGTCCTCTCTACTGGCTTTGCTCCTCCTCTTGCTCCTCCTCCTCCTCCTCCTCATCCTCAATATCCCCGGGCCCGACCCTAGCTGCACCCACCCCCAAATGCAAGGCGTTTCGCTACCCGGCGGAGGTGCGGCGGGCAACCGGGCGGACATGCGTTCGGTTCTTCGCCCTTAACTACAAAGCGTCAACTGGACGACAAGCACACGTTACGTCCTCTGTATATAACTTCCCTCTTCTCAACCGTCCTAACCGTGAACCTTGTCCTATCCTCATCCCATCCTTTCCTTCCCTTCCCTTCTCTAGCCATTGCCTTTTCCAACAATGGCTCCTTCCGCGACTGAAAACACCGCTGCCCAGCAGTCTGCCGAGTATGACGCGGCGCGTCCCTTTGTCGGCAAGGTCGCTCTGATCACCGGCTCCGGCCGTGGTATCGGACGCGGCATCGCCGTCGAGCTCGGCAAGCGTGGCGCCAACGTGGTCGTCAACTATGCTTCCTCCGCCGGCGCCGCCGAGGAGGTTGTTGCCGAGATTCAAAAGTTCGGATCAAAGGCCATCGCCCTCAAGGCCGATATCAGCAAGCCCGCCCAGGTTGTCGACCTGTTCGACCGCGCCGTCGCCCACTATGGCCGCCTGGATTTCGTCATCTCCAACTCTGGCAAGGAGGTCTGGTGCCCCGAGGAGGAGGTCACCGAGGAGCTCTTCCAAAACATCTTTGACCTCAACACCCGCGGCCAGTTCTTCGTCGCCCAGCAGGGCCTTAAGCACTGCGGACGCGGCGGCCGTATCCTTCTCACGTCCTCCATCGCCGCCCAGATGGGCGGCATCCCCAACCACGCTCTGTACGCCGGCTCCAAGGCCGCCGTCGAGGGCTTCACCCGCGCCTTTGCCGTCGACTGCGGTGCCAAGGGCATCACTGTCAACGCCATCGCCCCCGGCGGTGTCAAGACGGACATGTACGACGAGAACTCGTGGCACTACGTCCCCAACGGCTACAAGGGCATGCCCATCGAGATCATCGACCAGGGTCTTGCCAACATGAACCCCCTCAAGCGCGTCGGTGTCCCCGCCGACGTCGGCAAGGTCGTCGCCTCCCTCTGCCACTCTGACTGCGAGTGGATCAACGGTATGTTGAGACTTCCTTCTCCAAAACTTTCATCACGACACATGCTAACGTCTTTCACAGGTCAAGTCATCAAGGTCACCGGTGGCGGCACATAAGTGCAATAAACTAACCCACGGGCGTCTCTATCCGTGCGGAGTTGCTATCGTGATAACTTAATGCATTGGATCGTTGGGCGAGCCGGACGTCTGCGATTCATGGGACTAGGACTAGGGTGATTAATACGGGGGCTAGGAAGGCGATTTACATAGCACCTAGGACTGGCGTACGTAGACATGGTAATACAATGCGGAGCTTGACTAGGAACCCTTTGCAGTAGTGTTTGCGTGCGTTTTTTATGATAACAAGGTTTACCACCAAACTGCAGCTTTTCCAACGATCAAATCACGATCACATCGTCGATGGGCAGTGGAAAGTCACCAGAATATCTATGAATCCAAAGGCATTAACCTCCACCGTGCTCGGATACTATACCTTAATCGGGAGATTTCCAAAACTCCAACGGCAAAGTATCTCGATTGCTGTCTGCCTCAGTCGCCGCCAGAACTATCCCCAACCACACCCAGAAACGCACGATATTCGCGGCAGACACGGCAATCATGCATCAAGCCACCACCAGTCCCCGGTCCCATTACGTCTTCACCCTTCTCCCGCATCTCTGGGTCCAGAACGTTCGCCAGGATCGAGAAACTTCAGACCGGAAAGCGGGGGGCGCAGACCGAGGATCGCCAGATCTCCCCTAGGTTCCACGTTCTGGCCGACGAAGTATCGAATACTTGGAGGCCCAAGCAAGTACTTCTTGTGTATTCGACCAAAAGGTCAATTTCTGGTGTAAAACCTTTACAAATAGCACAAAGAGTCACACATCCCTGAGCTGGCATCAGCATGTCAGGGACCGGGTTAGTAACCCGATGTTGGAAATTCCTGGATTCGGCATCATGGTGTCTTTGGGGCCTGGCGGTTGTACGAGTGTGAGAATTGGGTTCGGCCACTTTCGTACAATTAGTCACCCGCCTGCTTCCATCCTCCTCTCCCCACAAAGCTAGATAAAACAACACCGTAATCATCTCGAAACAAGAAGGATCCCGGAATTCCCAGTAAGCTTCTCACGTTTACCCAGATACACGGATATAGAAACTCCGATGTTAGAAAGGGGGAGGGGGGAGAAAGGTATGCTACTGGACGTCTTAACGGTCTAAGCCGGGCTGCGTCATCAGAAATGGTGGAGGCGCACGCAATGAGGATTGTCTTTTGCTGACGGTTTGGGAGCGAAGGCGCGCGAACCCACTGCTGGCGGTGCTGACGCTGGCATCTGTTGGGAATGGACAGTTGTTCCAAAAGTGGCACCTTCTCAACCTTCTCAGCCCAAGGAGCTTTGAGTTGGCTTAATAGTGGTGCGGTAGCGCCTCGTCACAGTCGTACCATGCCAAAGCTGACGGCATGTGCTTTGAGAAGGAAGCAAGAATCTCACCCGCTAAGACTCTCTAATCCATCCGGCATATGCTCAAAATGTTACCCAATGCCATGTGCTCGTCATAATTGCAGTAGAAAAAGTCTGGAAACCTCGGAAGCAGCAACACTTGTGCTGCGTCGATAGGTTGGCATACGGCTGAAGGTAACTAAGCTCAGCCCCGGATCCCGGAAAACTGTGAGTCGCGACGTCCCGAACCCAGACCGGACCCACTGTTTCCCGAAAGTCGGCGGTGGGGCCCGTCCGGCAATGCGGGATCCCCGAAGTGACGGTCTGTGATTCCGCCGGGGACGCAGGCACCGACGGGCTTATTGCCCTTTTGGGTAGTAATACGAACACCGACTCTCTTGAGATTCATGTGCCGTGAGGATTGGGCACCAATCGAGATAGAATAGAATCCTTTTACACAATGCCAGCGGCCGCGCCGCCTGGAACGCAATTTTGCATCGTCGATTTCGCAGCTCGTGCATCGCTACCTGCTCACATGATGACAAGAGTCCCGGATCGACGCTGCACTACAGCAAGATATATCCGCAGATAGCGATTGCCCCATCCCCCTGGTCAGCAGGCTTTCAACGGGCACTTGCCGTACCGTTATGCAGCACCGTTTCTGTCCCATCCACCGTCTTACTTTTACCGACGTTGATTCGCTGGCTTACTACTCTTCCGTCTCACGGTTCGCAGTGGTATCATGATGAATTTCTGGAGGGTCAAAGTCGCAGTGGACAGCCGATGAGCCCTCCGATTCCTTGCACACCTAGAGCTTGCTCTCTAAGTATCTGCAACAAATTCCTCGCCTACTGGCATTCTGGGAATTCGATCAATTGCGGGATCCGAAGGCCACCCCCTCCTGGACTTGATCATGACGTCGGCTCCAGCGAGTCGTCCATCTGCTAATGCCATGATACTCTGACACGCAGATGGCGACCCACACCAGTCGGATCCACTGGGGATTGGTAAGATGCACTGTAAGTTATCCCAAAGATAGATCCAACTGATCGCTAGTAAATCATCGCTGCCTGCAAAAGAGAGCGGATATTTGACTATTTGTGAAGGCGTTTTGATGTACTCGGCAGAATCTCATTATGCGGATTTCGAATCAGCGATTGAAGGTAGACCAAAAAGTTTCGCGTTCGATGGACGGCCAACGCCTATGTCTAGTGGTGCCAAGCATTGGCGTAAAGCTTCACCACGAACTCGGTTGGAGGCCAGGGAACAGTGCCTTGATCGCCTCGGCCAATTCGGATACTGGATTGGTGACAGCGGAAAGCGACTTACAACGCCGCCAGACACGATGATAGCCACAAGGCTTGATGCGAGGTAACGCCACTAGAAAATGAAAACATTGCCAGCGGAGATGCTCGATGGCTTGGGTTGCGTCCAGCTGGCAAATCGGACGAGCCAGAGACATAGCCAGTCAGCAGTACCACGCAGTGTCAGCCTCGCTACTCGCCAAACTCCCCAGCCAAGGATGTGATCATGCTCTGGCTCCAATCGCGGTCGTTTGAGCTTTGGGCGTAATTGGGCAAAAGCAGACGTGTCAGCTCTTATCTAGCAGGTTGGTTTAACGCTGGAAGCAGGCCTCGGTGAATACGTTGATATGGATGATCTTGTGGAGATCTCCAGGCAGCCAGAGCATGGCCTGGAGCTGGGCTGCTCCCTGCCAGCAAGCCACTACTTGCAATATTGAATGCAGAGCCTCCTTTGGGGTTGGCATGGCGAGTGGGTGTGATGCGGAGTAATGTGGTTTGCCACAGATGGGTGGGGGGTTCTCGATGGCTGTTTTTTGCGTGAGCAACAGAGGAATGCCTCTTCTGCGCGCGTCTTGCGGGCGACGGGTCGGGCGCGAGAGTGAGCCCGCCCCTAGGTCGGGCGGAAGCTCTTGCGTAGGGCACGACGACTACGAGTTTTCGTGCATAGTCGAAAGCCACGACTTGAAAGACGTTAGCTTGCGGAGAACCTTGAATTGAATACGAAGATGCGCCGGATGAGACATGGTCTGGGAGGGAGAAGAAAGTTGAGGTTACACAAACATTGTCCACGGGGCCAGTCTGCGCGAGACACCGTTGACAGAAGAAAGGAGATGAGCCAAACAACAAATCAGGTGTGCCCGTATTCCATAAAGTCCACGACGATCGGTCTGATATTGAGGAGTAATAGCTTACAGTGATGAAACCAAAACATATTATTCAACATCAGTGAGAGAGTCCAGGGTCTACAGCCTGGAGTCGTTGGCATTCAACGGGTTGCATCAGGATCCCAATCAAGGTATTTGGACTGACAGCGCCAGGTGGGATTCGCGAATCTGTCAACATCCCGTCATTTCTTGTTGGCGGTTGATCTTTGAGCCGCTGCGGGGTGAATTGAGCCCGGCTCGGGACCGACCGCACACCATGCCGGGGAATTGACCACGATGCAAGCCACTTGGCACCGTTCATATTCCGAAATTAAGGCTAGGAGTTTGATCGTGGATGTCGTATCCATGGTCTTGGATGTCCCGTAGTGAGCAACGAGTGCATGCCAAGGGTTCAAAACTAAGCCCCGCCGGTGCCCTTGCAATGCTGACGGGGCTACTGATAGGTTGCATTTCGAGATGTGCATCGCGGAGCAAAGACATGGCCGTGGTGGTGACAAGCCTTTAAGATTTGTGTGACTGGCCACTGGTTCTGGCTCTTGATGGAAGGCAAGGCCATCGTGATGTGCGGCCGCGGTTCCACGGGCGAGTCCCAATTCGCGAGGATAAAAGTTACTAGAGAAGAAGATGGTGTTGCAGAGAGAAGTTGAGTGCCTGTCTCAAACCAGTCAGATGGCCGAGTGGACAGTGAGCGGCCAGTTGGGCCTATGGAGCCATGAGCGTACCTTCGAGGCCGTCAGTGAAAGCTGATGACGATGGTGAAGGAGGGTAAGAATGGTGGTGGTGAGGGTGGTGCGGGAGAGGAAGAGCCAGGGGGTTCTCGCAGGATGGTTGCACTCCACCTCACCTCCATCAGAGAAAATATCCATCGTGCCATCCCTCTACTCGTCCTGCCGCTCGACTGTTTAGACAGAGGAGGAAAGAGATGGGGGAAACACAGTTACTTCAACACCCTGCCTCGCCTACTCCAAATCCCCAGCATGAACGCCCGACATATCCACGTTTTCAGGTATTAAGTAAGGTAGGTAGGCGGGCACTTTGCCTATTCCGGGCGGAGATAAGGCAAGCGGGCATGACTAAGCCTTCCTTCTTGGCGGGCAAGATCCAGACCGTGACCGTGACGTCTGTTCCTCTTTGTTCGCATCTTGTGCCATTTCCATCCACCAGTCTCTGCAGTCTCAACGCCTTCTCGTCGCCTCTCGTCCAACCAATCTCAAACACTGTCAGCACAACAATGGCCTGATTTCATGTGAGGACTTCGCTGCATACCTTCTCGTCCAACTCGAAGATTGGAACCTAGCCAAACATCGCCCACCTCCGAATCGCCTGGCGTTCGATATGCTCTTTTTTGCTCTCGGAGGTACAGGCAAGTCTAATGACAGCCAATGATTGATTCACCTTTGGTCAAGGCGCCCATACCTTGGTTACTTGCTGCATGCAAGTGGCATGGGCCATCATCGACTGATTCATCTTCCAATCAACGCCACTCCGCTCACATGTTTACCAACAGTCGTATGCTCGCGATTTGTAAGTTATTAGACATTGCGAGTGTTTCCCATGTGAGCGAAAGCAAGTCTCTAATTAACCAGGTTATCTTAGCTCAGTCGGACTCTCACTGATCAAAAGCAGGGAACCTGCCTAGCAGCGAGACTTCAGCACAAGGTCGACCCCGGGATCTATCTCACGGGCTACAATCGATGCCCTACCTGTTGACTCCATGTCTGATGTTATCAACACTCGAGCATCAAATCCAGTGGTTTAACTCTTACTTGCCAATCCAAGGGTACTATTGCCACTGGGAGCAGTGCCCCAATGTCTCCCGCAGGCGGCGGCGGATGTTTCACAGTGCCTCTCGCGATTTACACATTGATGTCAACCATTCTGCCATGTCACCAAGTTACCAGGATCTTGTACTACACCAAAAAGATGCATGGCCGAGGGAGCCACCTATTGGTTCCCCTGGGCCCAATGACATTCAATAGTCCTCAATTGTTGAAAGACAGAAGAACCAAGCGCCGAACTCGTTGTTGCTTACACGCGGATTCTGGCCGTTTTTTTGACTTCGAGATGCCCGGCAAATGGGACAATTGCCGAACCAGGGCCCCCGATAATCACCATGGACCAGCATGGTCTGGGGATGCGGGAGGCTGCTTCTTAGACAAGTATCTCTGGATCGACCTGTAGCCGGCCTTTTTTCCGTTGTGTGGAGAAGACGATCACTTCGACGCCAGAGAAGGGGCCAGAAGGGTGGCTGCGTTTGGCGGCGTCATATTAGTTGGAGATTTGAATCAACGACATGAAGCGCAACTACCAACCGTTCGCCGGTTTCTCTTTGAAGTTGCCTATTTAGGCAACTCAGAAGCTTCTTCTCCAGCTAACATCCCAGCATTTCGAGGGATGAACGCCTCTCACAGAACAGCAACGTAACCATTGGGTCCTTGATAGTTCGAACCACCACAGACCTTTTCAAAGCATCGACTCTTTGAATTCTGCGCAGATTCCGCTCGTCTGAATGGCCGCATCTCTTTTACGTGTGAAATATAGCAATGCATAGATCTCACAGAGCCTTTCCTACAGCCGACACTTCAGGCTGACACTTCATCTACTCCTTCTTACACGACTGATTTCGAAAAGACCCCACTATTGTCGCCCAATTTGTCTGTCACGCAAGATTCCATTTTGTCATTCACTAAGGTACTTGAAACAAAACTTCTACCATCCGGTTCATCCCAGATCCCTTCGAGCATTCGCATAGTCTTGCACTGATTTGAATAATGAGGCCGGCCAGCGTCTCACCTATCGAAACCAACTTCTGCGGTCTTCATCATCCCCCCCCCGCACCACTCCCCGACAACCTGTTGAAACCTCTTCCGACGTCCTGCAGGATGAAGGCATCCAACCTGTTGGTCGATCAGCCCCTGAGGGGCCCAACCGGAGCTGGAAGTCCATGAAACGGGTCGGTCACTAGCTTGTTCCGATCCACGTGTGCTCGATAGCACTTTGCCCATGCATACGTTAAGGATTTGCCCCCGAAAGGTAAACCCCCCCCTCTTGGAATCCCAAGAATCCGGTTGGAGAGCTGGCCGGAAACAAGAGTTTGCAGTGTCTGGGGGAGGCCAAAACCAAAGAACCCTTGGGACTGCATGACAAGATGACCTTCAAAGCACGACGGAGCTCGGTCCTCGAAAGCTAATTGACCCGTCTCTTGACCACGCCGTTGCCTCACGCTCATGCAGGTCAGAACTTCAATCCTCCCACTACCACTATCTGTGCTTCCTGGCCTTCCGAAAGACTGGTTTGACACGTTCATCACTCAGCAAACGCGCTGCACCACAAGATGAACATTGGAGCCAGCCCGTGCCCGTACCCGTGAGATCTCCCCTTATTCGTCTGTCACCAGCTCTCTCAGGTTCGGCACCTGCGTCAGATTAGTGATCTCAAATCATTCGAGACCCTTCGCCTCAAGATACGCGTACTCTGGCCGTCAGCCTCGAAACACTCTCGAGATACTTCTCCTCAATGTACAACTTTTGTCAGCCACGCACTTTTTCAAAGAAATGATTCGTGGTACCCCCGGAAGTACGGCTTGCCACGCCGTGGCTATCATGCCCCCTTCCCAACTAGGCCACCCTCAAACAGCTTCAGACCAAACGTCACGCCGGAGGTTTCGTGTCCTCAGGCTTGCTTCAACGTCGAATCTTGAACCTGCGTCGATCAATCATTCGTCTTTGATTCCGCGTTGCCCGTCGTGGCCAAGTTTATGGTGGCAAGCAGCCAAGCCACTGGGGCTCAGTCTCCGCATCACAAGCTCGGCACTCCCAAGGTCGGCCTCCAGATACCCTCTAGAAGATGGAGGGCAAAAGAAGGGCTTTGGCGAAGAACTCAATGTCATTGGACAAGAAGGCGTTTTTCCCGCGCGCGCGCGCATAAGATAAGCCACAATTCCTTGCGTCCTTCCTCGGACATCTCCAAACCGTCCGTGTTATAAAGCATCATCTCGTCATGTCAGCCACGGATCACAAGCCTAGAGGGAAAGAAGTAGAGAGCCCACCTACTTGTACACATCGGCACCAGGCACAAGGCACGACCGGACGCCAAAAAGGTTGCATGGACGGAAGGGACGGGAGAGGTGCATGAGAAGGAGAAACGGCGCCAGTGACGTGGTGGACGATCGGGTACGGACGGACGAAATCTTGGTTCGGAGAGTCTGTTGGTGTGGCGCGCGGCCACGAGTGAAATACAGAGAGAGAGAGAGAGCGAATTGAGGTGAGTCAAGGTGAGGATGAGGTGAGAGAGAGAGAGAGAGGAGGCGGAGGATGAGGAGGAACGGGAGAGGGGTGCCTGCGACGGCGGGGTGGGGGGGGGGCAGGGAAATCAATCGGCCAGTGCCGAGAGTTGTGTAAGTGTAAGTGTGTGTGAGCATTTTTGGATAGCCCGGCAAGGCTAATGCAACCACTTCGATACTTTTTCATAGAAAGACCATGCAACCACCTTGACCAAAACGCACGTGGGTTGGAAAGAGAAGTCCCAAGTGCCAAGTCACCCAGCCTCCTCTGCCTCCTCTTCCTCCTCCCGCTGCTCCTACTGCCCTCCCCCTGTCTGCTTTCGCATAGCCCTCGCATACCGCTTTGCATGTCTTCCTAGTCCATAGTCCATGGTCTATGAGGGATGGCAATAGAGAGAGAGAGACAGAGAGAGAGAGAGAAGTGACCCCACTCCGTCTCGGATTCTGAAGCGATCGAAGCTGCGTCAGATCCCAGGCTTGGATGTTGCATGTCAGATGTAGCCGTCTAGTGTTTGGGGGGTGGGCAAAGACTTGGAGATGCTACTGTTCCTTGACGAGGCACGATGATGACATTTCCTTTCATTATTTGGCAATCTGGGAGTTTCTGATACAAGCCCCCCCCAATCTGACTGTTTCTGTTTCTCTGCTGCCCTCGCTACACCCAAGCTCGATACTGGACTGGACTGCCCTTTCCTTGTACCCTTTCCTTACCGTCCGAAGAAAGAGTCGAAGCGCTGACGGCATAATCCAAGATGCTCCCTCCGGATGAACTCCTTGACAATTCGCTATGTGATGAGAGACAGGAAAAGGAAAAAAATAAGAGAAAACAATTACCAAAGGGAAAAAAGGGGGAAGGTTCCCAAGAAGATTTGTCCGAAGATTTGGGTAAATTTCCATTTGTGTTGAAGAAAAAAAGAAGATGATCTGAGTTGGTATTCGTGTACGCACAACCATCTCTTTTCCCTATCCCGCCCAGTTGATCCAGTTCCTCACCACCGTCCAATCCGAATTCTATCCGGTCATCTCCCTTACAATAGTTGCGCCCATAGTGAGTGAAATTGGGGTCGACGCGCATGTCCTTGTCCCCTATTCCCCAGAAGAAGACAGAAAATGAAACAGACGAACCAGAAAAAACGCCCACATTGCGCCGTTGCTCCATTGAGAGAGTCCATTCGAAAATATAGGCCGATAATATTCAGTAAAAAATGCCCGAGGAAAATGTACAAAAGTCGATTCCTTAAGTCTCAAAACTGGCTCTCTCTCTCTCTCTCTTTCTCTCCACCCCGTGTAAATAAACGTCCTCTTCTTCCCGAAAGAAGAAAGGGTAACCAAAGAAGAAGTAGTGTATGCTCATATCGGCCGTGTCGATAGAGCGCCGCCTATTCCTGGCAACGCTCTGTTGTATTTCAAAATTCTCCTCTCTTTTTTCTCGCCTCCACTGTCTCTGTGGGTTGGGCCAAAGGTTTGGCCTTTTTGGTCCGAACTGTTTTTTTCATTCCCTGACTAAGCATAGCTCATGTCGCCCTTGCGATGACTGACGACCTCGAGCGTCGTGCCAAGGTTGTGGCCGAGGTAGCCAATCATGGCCTTGCTTACTTCAGGATCCTCTGAAAGATCAGCGCAGACCTCCCGGAACTGCGCGTAAACCTCCTCCAGCTTGCGAAGCTCGCGGTTCAGGATTTCCAGCTCGAGCCACCTGCCATCCTCGCCGCCCAGCGTGTAGGCGCCTAGACTGACGCCGAGCCCGCCCCCGGGGCTGAGCTGGTTGACCGCGGGCACCATGCCGTTTTCAAAGTAGGTGTGCGTTGCGTTCTTGTAAAAGCTCGTGATCTTGCCAATCACGGTCGCCAGCAGCATCGCGGCCGTGTGAGTGCCGGAGCGGCTCATGCACCTGTTGCAGGAGAGCATAGCGGCGCATCCCTCGACAGCCTTGCGGTTGAGAGAGAGGACGAGGTCGAAAGGTGGCGCCTGGGGAGACGAGGCGTTATGCAAGGCCTGGAGAGACTGCAGCAGCACCGTGAAACAAGTGCAAGAGCCTCCACCTCCTGACGATGAAGACTTGTGTCTGACGGCTGGTCGCATGTTTGGTGTTGTTGAGGGACTCGGGAAGTATGCAGCGGCCGCCATGTTGCTCGGGTTCTGCATAGCCGTATATGCCATCATGTCATGCTGCGTTGGGTCTCCCCAGGGCGTCATGTGAGCTGCCATGGCCATATCCATGGACTGCGAGCGGCCGTGGTGGGTGGCCATGTGTGCGGTGGACATCGTCATGTCTGGATATGGAGCAGCAGAGAAGTCGGTGGGTGGTGTCCAGGGCATTCCGCCTCCGTACATATCTGCTGTCGGATCTTGATCTCTTGGGGTTGCATCGTCGACGCCGAGCATGGCAAGCCCGGAAGAGATTGATGGATTTCTGCTCATGGCCCCCGAGTCCATGCTTGTAGGCGTGTGCCAGCCAGGCTCCATCTTGTACATACCCGGGTGTTGCCCGAACATGAGGTTCTTTTCGTCCATTATGGGAGATAGGTCGGTCATGTCCATGTGAACAGTATTTGCGTGGCTTGGCGCGCTGTTATCTGACTTTGGTTTGCCAGCTCTGCTCGAGGGGGAGTAGCGACATTCGAGACCGCATGCGAGGCATCTGGAGCAGATGGGCCTTGCTTTGGAGCATTTGACCTTGGCCAAGAAGCACCCATCGCAAGAAGCCCGAAGCCGGGGTTGGCGAGGTTTGGATGAAGAAGACATTGTTAATTAAGGCGAGTTTCCCGAGTTTGCTTGAGACTACTCTGAAGAAGGAAGAGATTGGGTATCTTGATCTAACAAAGCTGTACTGGTCCAGGGAATGCAAGGTTGGTGGAGGGGCAAGCCACTATTAAAGAATTGGACAACGGCGGAAATTATTAGAGTTCTGTAGGTGGTGCAAGTAAGATGTCTGTGTGACAATCGAGAGCGATTGGGTACAAGGCGAAGGAGGATTAGCAAGCTCTATTCAGGCTTCGTGTGAGAGTGTGACGAGGTGCGGGAAGAGCTCCGAGGGCCACGGATCGAGGTCTAGGGCGGCAGCGAGCGGAGACTAGCCGACTGCAAGGTCGACAGCAACGAGGATGAGAAGAAAAACGGGGTTACGAAACAGGAACGGAAACGGTCACGGCCATTACCAAGAGTCCAAGAGGGACGAGCATGGAGTGAGAGTCCGGGTGTTGCTGTAGGAAGGGATGGGAGAAGGAGCTTGTAAGAGCAAGAAGCATGCGACACGGATGAGAAGGAGCGGACGTTGAACAGTTAAAAAGCGAGGGCCTGATTTAGATATGCTACCCATTGGCTTATACACTGTACATAACCTTGTACCTTTGGGGCTGTGAAGGCCTTCCCAGAGGGCGTGGGCAAATTGGTTCATGATTGACCGACCTTGGTCGACTTTGGTGGCCCACCCTAGAGGGAGAGAAGGCAGAGAGAGACACTCATAAGAGAAGAGAGACTGGCTGGGCATAAGGTGTATGTACCTGTACGTATTATGGTTGCGAGTATGCGTGTGAGAACGAGAGTAGACGGAGAGGCAGTCTGAGGGAAAAAGAAAACGGCCCTTGTACACGCCCAGTTGGTACGTTGGACTCGTCCATTGGTGTGGATATGGGCTGGCTTACCCGCACGCAAAGACCCTTGGGCTTCAAGTGCAAAGGGCATTGGATAAGTCTCTCCTGAGCAGGCCAGAGCTCGCCCTCGACCGCTTGGACGGAGTGGACTAACCGGGGAGATAGAGGACTCGGCAGCTAGCCGGCAGCCAGGTGCAGAGCAAAAGAAAACAGAAAGGACCCAACCAGACCAATTCGAAGCATAGACTTGGACGGTTTGGGCTTGATAAAACCTCGTCTGGGCATGCGGACAACGTAAGTGGCACCCCTTTGGGCCGATGTGGGAAGAGAGGGGAGAAGCTACCGAAGCCATTCATTCAGATGGATATCCTGCCTGACTGGTGATGGACGTTGGTGTGGCCGTTTCCAGCTTCCCCAGCTTCCCCACGGAACTCTGGAGACAACGCAAGTGCTGCCGGCGATCATTTCATATGGAGTTCCCCATACCGAGACCCTGAGTTCTTTAGGGGTTGGGCGGACGGATGATGGGGGGGAGGGGACCATGACCATCCATCCATTTGGTGGGCAGACAACCAGGGAGACCGAAAGGCAGAGAGCAGGGTGGGTTGAAGGACAAGGCATATGTTGGTTTGTGCTGAAAAGCATATCCCAGAAACTGCGCTGTGCTTCGGTGCCGTGTTGTGAAGGCTGATGCTGATGATGGTCATAATGGTTGCGTTAATGGTGGTGGTATGTGCTGAATCTTGGAGCTTGTGAGCTTGAGCTGGGGCCTGATCAAGGACAGGATACCCTGCCCTTGAATAAGGCAAGAGGTGGGACGGTGGAAACGGTTCGTTCCAAGTTGGCGTGGTAAAAAGCAAAATGGTCAGAGACAGCAACTAGGACAAGGAAGTGAGAGTAGAGGGTTGATGACGCGGGCTAAAGTGGGTTATTCTCTCAGCATGCCATGTCTACACACGGCAATCCTCCTGCATACGAATACACTGGGTTCTCCATGTGCTGGAGAGGAAACCCCCTCCAAAAGAACGGAACATGGAAACGGTACGGTAAGATAGTGCAGCGAGGCGAGGCAAGGCGAGGCAAGGTAAGGTGAAGCAAGGCAAGGTGAGGTAAGGCAGGGCAAGGCCAGAAGGGTCCAGGCGTGTCTGTGGGCTGTAAGCTATCCGGCAAGCTCGATCAGACCCAGGCCCGAACCAAGCTGGTGGAGTGGACGACTGAGATAGGGACAACGAGCAATGTGCAGGGATTCGGATAAGCCCCAGGGAAAAACGTTGCTTCGGGAAAAAGAATACAAGGCCTGCTGGAGGACGGGATTGCAAACAACAAAGAGGGATGGGATACTTTCCTTGGCCCAGGTATGCCGGGCAACCGACAGCAGGCGGATGTGCTCGTACGCTGGGGCTGATTGGCTCGGCCGGTTGGAACAGACCAGGCATTGGTCCGAGGACGAATGCGTGTGCGAGGACGATAAAGACAAAAAGGGCGAGCGGGAGGACGAGCTGGGAAAGACGAAGGGCAGGGAGCGAGGGACGGACTGCAAAGACACGGTTGATGGGGGCCGCGGATACGGGCGAGAGGCCATGATGTTGGGGAGGTGGAGGCGGAGCTAAGAGGAATCCATGTCTCTGGGGGTAAAATTAAAAACAATTAAGGGAAAAAAAAAGGGCGGAGGGCAATTGAGGTGAAGTGGCATGTCAGAGTCAGATTCGGATGTGTGAGGTCCCAGGTGAGGAGGGTGAGGTGGAAAAAGACAAAAGTACAAGAGAGCGAATGGGGCGGTCGGAGAAAGAACCGCGCCCAGATTGGATTGGAGCCTGCCTGGGCAAAAAGATGACAATGGAACACTAAGGTGCCTATAAACGGTGCCCCGGGTGACGGTGTCCTAAGGTACGTATGTACCTCATGACTGGAGGCTGGCCATGGGCTTAGGTAAGATGGCGGATGCAAAAGGTACCTCGTACCGACTACCGTTTCCCTCTCTCCGCCACGGCAGTCTTCCGCTGCCTTTCCGTTCAGCGGCAGGTGGGTCAGTACCTTAGGTCCCCCATCCTACCTTACCCTACCTAGAGGTAAGAAGGTAAGGTATGTTTGTTCTTCAGAAACTACTGCCATTGCAATAACACCCACGTACCTAATAACCTAAGGTAGGTACGGAATAATGAAGGCGGGAGAAGAAGAAAAGGAGCGGGCGCCCAATCGATAAGACAAGAAGAGCAGCAGCTTCACCCTGCTTAAGGTAGCGGATGGGTTTTTTCGGCGCCCTGTTTCTCGGAGATCTCTCTGTGTCTTCCACTCTCCATGGCCATGTGACTCGAGGATGATCTCCTCGTCATGTCTGTCTTTCACTGTTTCGTTGGATCACCGTAATTCTGCAGCTTTTCAGCTGCAATGCGCCCTCATAAAGTCGCCGATAGCGTGCTCATATTGGCCCACACATCCTGTATAATGTGCCACTTGCCTCATGCCTCATGCAGCAGCGCGATATCTCGCTTGCACCCCAGCTTTCACTGCTTCTGCCTTGGTCGATGAACTGGTCCAGGCTGCTGTCGCTGCCCCTTCAGTCTTAACAACCTCCTCGTCTTCGTCCTCAGTCAGAGAGGTGAGCGAACTGGAGTCTGGAGCACCTAAAGGGTGGAGCCACGAGCCTAAACATGCACGACACAAACAGGGGAGAAACCAAGACCCCTGCAGTTAGTCGAGCAGGGGGTCCCTGAGTAAACGGCCGGCACGGGGTGAGATTCCCCCTTGTCCCCTATCCCTGCTCTTTTGGGAGAGGACGTACCGACGGGAAGAAGCTTGGACCACAAATACTACGTAACCCGCAATTGGGCCTTCCGTTCAATGCTTCTCCTTGTTTGCCTTTCCCTCTTTTTCCCTTCGAGTCATCTTCTGCTGTCCGAGACTTGCGGCTGATCCACCGTAGAAACTCATACAGTCTTTAATTTCAAGTATCTTCAAGTGAGCGCAATTCAATGGAATTAAGGAGCGAACGACATAATGACGACGCTCTCAACACGCCGTCATGGAACATTGCCTGGCATGCGTCCTAGACACCCTGCTAATAGCTCTGCCTATCATATTTGCACGAGGGTAAGGTACCTAAGCATCCGCAAGTGCCCAATGTAAGCAACGTACATGCATACTCCCAGGTTGGCGTTGATGCGCATGTATCCGAGGTGCACGTAGCCCCCTTGGGTGCGAATTAGACCACAGAACAACGGCCAAATTATATTTCCACTCCTTTTCCGTCTCTGTGACAGGTAAAATAAAGTAGAACTGACTCCTGCAAAGCTACGGTTGCGAACAAAGCGTTTGTTTCCTTTGTCTCGCTCCCGATTCAGATTTGGATTCAGATCCAAAACCATGACAACTTGTCACCAACACATGTCCCAGGCATAAATTGTTAGACAAGAAGCACTATTTGTGTGCATAGACTGCTTCCTTCCGTTGCTGGCAAGGAAATGTACGTACCTACCTCTGGACCAATACGAGCTCCATGGAGAGACATCACAGGGTTGGCTAGCAACAGTCCATTCGTGTTGGCCGCAAAGTAGAGGAACATTGGCCAAGATAAAGCAAAGACATCAAGCTTCGGAAAGCAGATATGATGAGAGATGGGGAGCTCACCCACCAAGTGGCGTCCTCGCTTGGCGAAGTGCCAATTTTACGGCCCGTTATCGTGATTCAGATTTCTTCGTATCCTATGAGCATCTTGCAAAAAGAGTTTGGTTGAATATTGAAGTGTGCTCGTCATCCATCTTGCAGTTGCCCCCCTAACCTCGTCTTAATCATGATAACTGTGGCCGTTGTGATCCGAAGCCACTCAAGCCAAGGCGCGTTGTGGTTTTCCGTTACGTTTTCCTCTTTGAGACTATGTTCCTAAGTTTGACCACCCTGGACCTGTGGGCAGCTTTTCATGGCGCCATCCCGCTTCCTCGAACCCGAGATGATTCGGATGAAGCAGTTGTTCAGAACTGCTGTGTGCTCGACAGCATTGATTACTGTCCCCTCCTGTCAACCAAGGTGGCTGAAGTGTCGCCGAGCAGAGGCCGCCGCCAGGGCGCCGCAGAGTCCAGCGTCTAACCACGATGATGACGGGAACACGCAATTCCCGCAGTTCCTGAGACGAACAGGAGGAGGCGAACGACTCGTTACCGCCTGCCGAAACTCTCGCAGCGTACTGCATCAGTCAAACTGCTGGCCAGTGGCCCGGGACCCCGCACAGAGCTCAGAGTACCTACCTTGCCTTACCTTATCCGCGGAAAGGATAAGATACGGGTTGGAGGGCCCGAGATGTCCTGTAGCCGCTTCTAGACTCGGTGTGGTAGAAGTTTTGAGATGAGTGTGCCGATTTCCAGTCTTGTTCCGTGGTGGTCAAAGTGGCATTGGTATCCAGGCCACCACGCAAGTCGAGTCAGAATCCGAAGCTTAGAGATGGATTGATTGTGTGGCCAAGTCGGAAGCAGAGGAAGCAAGGAAGCGGAGCATCCCAGTATGGATCGCTCTGGCGTTAGCATGAATTTGGATCCAGGGCATGCATGGTGTTCTTTCTAGCTGATCTCAGGACATGCACAGCACAGAGCTGATGCCTTGAGCACATGTCGAGATGCCTGAGAGAGGGGTGAGAAAAAGTATAGTCTCTCGAGGCAACATCGTGTACAGTCGAGGTAAGGTAGGTAGGTACCTTAGTGAGGGTGCCTTCCAGGTTGGGAATGAAAGAGAAAATGGCCGAGACCCCACTTGGCACGGCACGGAAGCGCAGACGGAGCACAAGGAAGGAGGCGGGGCGATGGGGACGGCAGGAACGGCAGGGAACACCACGACGGCTGTGCTTTCCGTCCCCTCATTCAATGGAAGTCCCGTCGTCCTGGGGGGGACATGTCCCACTTTTCACAGCTCAGGGCAGGCAGACAAGTACCGTAGTAGGCACGTTCCGTGTCCTGTGTCCTGTGTCCTGTGTGTGTCTTGTGTCCTGCCCCATCACGCATCGCGCTCGCTCACCCTTCTGTCGCTAACATGCCTCTCTCCCGTCCTTCCTGGTCGATTCCGGTAGGGTGCGCTCGCGCAGGGCCTCTACGGATACTTGCGCTCCTTTGGCTCCTACCACGTCCCTTGCCCTTGCCCTTGGGACCAAGGTTGCCTTTTCTTCTCCCCCGTCACACCCGGACCATGCCCCGACACGACGGCACTACCACCTGACATCGTAAATCAACTTACACTCGATCGACTCGGCATCCTTTGGCTCCCGTCAATGCTGGCCCAACATCGTCTGTGGTCCTTCTCCCCAGTTTCTAGAATCCCATGTTTCGAAACACAAATAGCTGCCGTCGTCCCAGGAACTGCACCTTCCTGTACCCGTGCGACCTGCAACCACACGCTCCCCATCGCCTCCCGGAACCACCATCACCATCAGTGCCATCCATTGGCAACGCCAACGGCTTCACCATCGCTAGCATTGCCTCCTCCATCGTCAGCACGAGCATCAGCTTGACCCTGCCTTGCATTGCACCGCACGGCATTCCGCCTCCCTCAGCTTCTGCCTAGGCCGGCACCCAGACACACTGAGCCAACTCACGGCCGCTTCACCTGCCAAGTACCTTACTACTCGTCAACGCCTCTGTCGAGGATTGCGTGCCATCTACGTAGCTGCAACCTCTTCCGCCTTGTACATTTTTGCAGCTGTCAAGGATCTCATGCTGCGTCAAACCAGCCAAATGGCTACTTACGCATCCTCTTCAACCTAATGCACAATCTCGAGGCCCCCGTCTTTTCTCGGACCTCCGTTGGGAATCTTGGGTCGCTGACCGACGTATTCCACCACTCATTGGACGCCTGTAGTCTTTAATACTGATGACCAACTGAAGCAGCCGGTTCGGTGCCAAGGTTGTTGCAGTAACGCCCACACCCAGGCCACAGCACATCAAGGCCCACATTCGGATGCCGGATCGACGATGCCAATGTGCCGAGATATCTCTTCACCTCTCCAGACAGGACGATAGCTCCACCTTGGTTCGAGGCAGTGAGACACACTGCCCTCATCAAGCTGCTTGACGTTAATCTGTCAGATCAAAGCTCAATCGCCAGTTGAGAAACCAGTGTCTAAGACGAATGGACGAGTGCGAAGAGAGCAATCGTTCCTGAGACCTCGACAGCGTTGATTCCTCATCGCACTTTCCCTGGTCTTTGAAAGCCGCTTCTGCAGCCGCTGTGAGACGTCAACTTGTCACAGCAGCCATTGAAACCCAGAACGGCAATAGCTCGCCAACGGGCGGCCGATTGCGTCGATCGTTCAGCCAGCATGCTGTCGCCATACCCCAGTACTGGGAATGCCCAGTTCAGTCTATCAATGGCACCCAACAGCACAAAGCACGGAACGCATTTCCCATTGCGCAAGCTACGAATCTGGTAGTTGGCCTCCCCGGCATCCCATACTTGAACCGGACGGGCATCTAGCCAAATAGAGTTGAGAGTCAAAGCTATCGAAGAAGAGGCGCAGGTTAGAGCAAGCGAAAACATGCGATCCAGCTCGCTTCTCTACTTTCTCGATCAACCAAGCTGTAACTTTTCTCACACTGGAAAGACATCGGAGAATTGGGATAAGTGAGGCTGA